TGATGAGCTCTTCTACACTCTTTCACCCATCAATGGCAAGATATCAGGAGTCAACGCCAAGAAGGAGATGGTGACCTCCAAGCTGCCCAACAGTGTCCTGGGCAAGATCTGGAAGCTGGCAGACTGTGACTGCGATGGCATGTTAGATGAGGAGGAGTTCGCACTGGCCAAGCACCTCATCAAGATCAAGCTCGATGGCTACGAGCTGCCCAACAGCCTGCCACCCCACCTTGTGCCCCCCTCCCACAGGAAGTCACTGCCAAAAGCCGACTGAAGGCAGGTCGCAGATCGGGGTGGGAAGTATGGGGTGGGAATCCTGGACCTGGGCCTGAGACCCGCTCTTCCACTGACGTGCTGAATGACCTTGGGCAAAGCTGCCCTCTCCATGCCTCAGTTTCTCCATCTGTAGGACAGGAGGGCAGTCACTGGACCTCCTTCACCTCTAAAGTTCACTGAGTTTCTCTTAAAATATTGGGGGTAGTCGTGGGGGGGATGGATAATGACATTGAAAGTTTGAGAGGGGAAATTATCCCAAGTACTCAGAAGCCTGGAGAAACGTGGCAAGGGCTTGGTGGGCACCCAGGTACCTGGGGAAGAGTCCTGGAGCGTCACCTGGAGCAGCTGAGTTTCAGGGCTGCACTGGGCTGTTCGGAGGCAGCAGCACCCATCTGTCCTTCAAAGAGCACCAGGAGGCAACAAAGATGATCTCATTTATTTTATTTGTTTCATGCTAAATTTGGAGTGGGGAAAAAAATAGAGCAGAGAAATAGAGTTTCTGCTTTCTCCAATTGTCTACCAAAGAGAAGACAGAAGCCCAGGCTTGATGCCCCATGTCTTTGTGAGCCCCCATCCCTCCTGCGGGCCCCAGCAGAGCAGGTAGCCAGGCCAGCAGGGCACATGTCCCAGCACCCACTGACCACCCCTGCCAGGCCTCCCTCCAGGTGCTCCCAAGAAAGCTGTGTGTGGTTAGGAATTTGGAGCTCACAACCTCTATTAACCTCTGGCAAGGCCTCTAGTTGCAGTTCAGGTCATGTTGATGTCTGCGGATTAGTTTTTCTCACCAGTTTGCCTGATAGGTTGTAGCAAAGTCTATTTATCAGACATAATCTACAGTGAGGAAAAGAGGCGGTTCTCCTTTCTCATTGTTTAGTGTGGCTCTCAACCACTGAATGTTCCCAAGGGCTGTGGGGGAGAAGAGATCGATCTATCGGGGTTAGACTCTATTTTTGTAGAAAATAGGCATTTTTATTTCCGCTCTTGTTTTTATTACAGGATAAAAAGTCTTTATACAGAAATCTTTCATATAAAACCTTTACTCAAAGACCATGTGGTCGTATTGTGAATGCCGGTCTTGAGGCAGGATTGGGCCACTTACCTCTCCATTGGCTCTTGGGTCTTCCCAAGTCCTTGAGTGAACCTTTCCAGGCCACTCGCTCAAATGCATGGCTCAGATGGAGGTAGTCAGTTCCCACTGCCACCTACCTACTCTGTTGGCCACAGCACAAGGAGGCAGGTGACTTTCAACACTATTTATGTAATAAGAGTCACAAAATAGTTATGACCACATGGCATGGGCCCTGCCAACACCAAAAATGAATGAAATCAAAACAGTACCATGAGCCTTCTAAAAAATTCTTTTTTTTCCCTGTCACCTGCCTCCGGTGACATCAGGATCTGAACTGCAGATTTTAGAGAAAATACTGATTCTGGGGAAGCATCTGTTCAGATGCTAACCTTCTATACCCCCCCACCCCAGTTTGCTTTCTAAATAATTCAGTTAGAAGTAATTACATAATATTTTTAATCTGAATGAGCAATTTTATATTGATACATAGAAGAAAAAAAATTATGATTCCAGTACTGTAGTATGAGCAGATAGTTCTGTGAAGGTAAGGACCACCCAGGTGTGCAAAGGGTGGTGGCCACCAGGGATAGACTGAAAAGAGAGTTGGTTTGTCCAGAGGCCTGGAGATGCCAGGGAGAGCTGACTTTTCATTCAGAATTGCCTTGTTTCTTTAACTTTGCTTAGTTGTTGTATATAAACAAATATATACATATATATGCGTCATGTGAGTATTTTTTAAATTTGTCAATGTGCACACATGTAGATTCATCCAGGTTGTATCTATACAGAGGTGTTTAAGGGGCAGCAGGCTGAGGTTTCTAGTTTCTCCACAGAAGGAAACTTTTCAAGGCAGTGTGGAAGAGGATCACACCTTAGTCCTGCCCCTACTGGTGCCTGAGATGTTCTTGAGAAAAAAAAGAAGAAAGAAATAACTTGTCCACTTTTTATGATACATTCTCACAACATGAAGCTATTCACCCTAAAAAGTTCGCTGGAACCCAGGACCAGCACAAAGGTCTCTGGAATGTTAAAACTATCTAATGTTCTTCCTGAGTCCGAAGAAAACCTATGAATCTTGAAGCCCTACTTTCTACAGTGTATGCTCTCATATAACATAAACCTCCACAGTCTTGATTTAGGGGGTATGTGGAAATTTCAGCCTGTTCCTCTCAACATCAGCCTTCCAGTTACAATCCTGCCAGCGCAGGCCTGCTGGGCCTCACTGTGGAGAAACTGCAGTCAGACTCACCAGAACTCCCCAGGCAAGCAGCCTGCATCAATTCTTTCCTCTCAAGACTTCAAGCTTGCTGCAGCTTGCATGGTCTGGGGCAGGGTCACATTTCACTGGCAAGGGCCATTCATTTCTCTGGGGCTGGACTCTTCTCTTTTGAACCCTTGTCATTGTGTAGCAATGGCATCTGGCTCTGGGACTGTGGCTCCTCCCACAAGGTGCAGGCCTTGAGTTGACTTCTCACATGTCATGGGCATGGGTGATCAGGCTGCTCTGAGCATGGAATGACAAGCAAAATGCCTCCTTTGTTCCCCCAACCCCTGGCCTCATCAGAGCCTCTGGAGAAGCCCTACAGAACCCTGGCCCTACTGTCCCTAGCTGCAGACCTTTCTCCAACTTCTGCTAGGTCTCCTCAAGGAGCCCCCTCTCTGGGCACCTGAAATGTCTTGCCCAGGGCAGGACACCCCCTGCCTCATGGCTGCACCTGTGCCTGGACCTTTCCATTTTGCACAGACCCGCTCCATTAAGCCCAGAGTGATACCCAAGATAAATCGTGAAATTAAGGAAAGCATTTTATTGTTCATTTCCTACATGGAATGTAGCCGAAGAGTAGCCTTCTTAGGACAGATAGCCACTGAGTTTATTCAAGTAAATGGCCTCATTCAAGAGCGTATCAGGTTACATGTCACTTAACCAATGCAGTTAATGCACAACGCTTCTATATTTTTAAATCTTATTTAGAACTGTCAAACAATAAGAGACAGTCTATTGATCAATAAACTTCTGGAAAAAATCACTATTGTTCTCCTGTTGACTCTAGAGTTTGGATGTTGCCTGATGTCTTAGTAGGGAAGTGTGGGTTCCTTGGACCCATTTTGAAATGAGATGGAGAAGTCAGGGAGAGGGTGTGCCTCCTCTCCACACCATCCCTGTGACCCTCAACTCTTCCTGCATCCTCTTTGTAGGGAGAGACTCCCACATGGAACATTCAGCTAGGGACAGAGGAGGCTCAAGCCCCACCTGAGAGGTTAAAAGCCAGGACTGCAGGTAGGCACTTCAGAGGCGGGGACAAGGCATTGCTGAGTGTGCTCCTAGGAGACACAGGCCTGCCTGGAAGGACGGGCGGCTGGCACTGCTCCTGCCTCCTGCAGTGCCTCACAGATGTGCACCACCAACAGTGAACATCTGGACTTTTCCCTCTGGCACCATATATTGTTTGGGCAATGCAGACCTGGACTATTCTTTACAGACCCCTCCCCTCTTCTAACCTAGGTCCTGAGCAATGAGAATTAGGTGAGCTGGACCCCACCCCCTCTTTCCAGGGTGGGTCCTGATTGGCTTGAGCCAGAGTATTCCATCCCCTAGTCACAGATATTTGTTCAGAAATGGATCTGTCACCCAATTCAAACCTCTGAGATCCAGGGCCTCCCAATTCTTGGGAAAGAGAGTCTGTCTTCTCTTCAACCCTGCAATGTAAAGAAGTGAGCCTATTGGTACAACAGTGTGAATGGCACTGAGAGGGACATCAGGCTGGCAGGAGCCACCCTGTGGAGCATGAAGATAAAGGAGGCTTTGAGAAAGGCAAAGGAAATCCAGACCTGTGGCCTGTGGTGATACTATTTGAGCTGCTAGATCAAACCTCACCTAAAATCCTCTTCCTGCTGCATTTTTCAGTTATGTGGCCAATTTAGTCTTTTTTTTTTTCCTGTTTAATTTCTGTTGAAATTTCAATTATTTACAACACACACACACAAAAAAAAAAAAACAAAGTTGACAGGCTGGGGATGTGGCTCAAGCGGTAACGCGCTCGCCTGGCATGCGCAGGGCGCTGAGTTCGATCCTCAGCACCACATTAAAAATAAAATAAAGATGTTGTGTCCACCGAAAAAAAAAAAAAAAAAACAAAGTTGACAGGCTGGGGATGTGGCTCAAGCGGTAACGCGCTCGCCTGGCATGCGCAGGGCGCTGAGTTCGATCCTCAGCACCACATTAAAAATAAAATAAAGATGTTGTGTCCACCGAAAAAAAAAAAAAAAAAACAAAGTTGACACTTATCAACAAAGTTCTTTGACCAGGAGCTACAGTCAGTCAAAGTGAAAGAGGAGATGGTCTGCAGTGACTTTAGATGCAGTTGATCTAGGGAGAAAGAAAAGCAACCCCCCTAGCAACCCCCCTGCTCCATCCCACAACTTCAAACAACCTCTGTTGAGATCTGTGTACAAAGCACCATGCAGTTCAGTCTTCCTCAGTGCTCACACAAGATACCTCCTAGGCCGAGGGTCTCAGGAGAGGAAATAAGCCCAGTCATCACTGGGGTAAGGAGGTAGGTCGGGTCTTCCTAGAAGAAGCACTACTTTAAATGGGGCTGCTAGGACAGGAGAATGTGGATGGTGGGGACAAGGTAGGACAGTCTAAACCAAGAGAATGGCTGGCACCATCCAGGACATGGAGCCTCATCCACAGAAGCTGCCTGGGTGAGAGGGAGGCCTCGAAGGCCTTACTGAAGTGGCTCTGACAGGCCCAGTTTCTCCCGGCAGGTAATGAGCAGTCTTCCTACCTGGGGAAGAGTGGTGCTGTGGACAGTAACCAGGCTTGGTATCCGGCTCTGAGTTCGGGCTGTGGGGACGAGGCCCTGCAAGGACAGCAGTGCTGAAGCAGTGGAAGTGCTGCTGACTGGATCTGAGCCACCCGCAGGGAAGGAGCTGGGCTCAGCTCAGGCATGCAGCAGGCCAGCCAGGGGCAGGAGGAGCTCCCTTGTGAGCACACACCTCTCAGCAGCTGCCTGCCAGGGGCTCAAGGGTTCAGAGCTGACCTTGCCCAGCTCTCTTCTCACAGGCCTTGGCCTCAGAGCATTGGGCCCCCTCCCAGAGCCTCCAGGGTCACTGTGGTTATATACCCTCTGACCCATCCCCAGCCCTGAGACTGTGACCCTGAGTTTAGCCACACAGTTGTGTGAAAACACCACAATTAGAACTTTATTTTCCTCTGGCAGTCCAAGGTCACCCAGGGAAGGAGACAGGAGACCATCCATGGGCTCTGAGCCCACCCTGCCCCCAGGCTCCAGGCCTTAGCCAGCTCTACAGAGACCTGAAGAGTGAATGATGAGTCTCTGGTTTTATAGGAGACTCTCATTTACATAGTCATTTGTAGTTCCAGGTCCCCCACAAAAAGGGGGGACTCCAGAAAGTAGCCTCCTGGGCTGGAGGGAGCCCCACCCCAGGCCCTAGCCAGGTTGGCTGCACTTCTTCCAGGACCAGGAAAGCAGAGCCACCTTCTGATGATGCCCTGTGTCTATGGCTGTTCCTGGGATGGGTGAGAAGGCTGCTGGCCAGCATGATCCTCCCATGCTCCACCCTGCAGTTGCTCCCCAAGAGGCCCTTTGGGGTGCAGGAGGGCAGTCCAGTTAGGGAAGTGGGTCCACAGGCTTCCATCCGGAGGCTCTGCCCAGACTCTAGCAACCTCATGATGTTCCCGCCAGAGGCCATTTCCAAGGCCTCTGTGTTCTGAGAACCAGAACCCCCTGATGACAGGGAAAGCTTCCAGGGGAGAGGGGTGGCAGATGAAGGAGGAGACCCCCAGCAATGGGCCTGGAGCATTCTTGAGCCACCCCCTCCCGTCTAGGCCACTCCCTGAGGCAGGTGGGAGGACAATGCAGCCTGTGTGCCATTATCCCTAGCAAGCAGGCTCAAGAGGAGGGCTGTGGCCTGGCCCCAGCTCCACCCTAGGCCTCTCCTGGTGCCTCTTCCCTTGCTGCACAGCCCTTACTAGCTGCCATCTCCATCCTTGGCCTCCTCCCCTGACCTGGACATCGTCAAGGTGAGCAGTCCCTGTTTCCCTTCCACCTGCCCTGATCAACCCACAGAGCAGAGGCCAATCAGCTGTGGTCAAAGGACTGGTAGCAGGGGCTCTGAGAAGATTCTGGAAGGTGGGGTACACCATTCAAGTGGCAGCCAGGACTAGACCTTACCTAGCTAGGCTCCAAGCCACAATCTCTACCAACCACAGAGACAGTGTGGCAGGTGGGGCCCTAGACTCCTGGCAGAGGGAACATCAGAACACACACTCCTCCCTAGCTCCATGCCCCACAATTTTCAGGGTCTGGGAAACGTCCAGAGGCCCCTTGTCACCAAAGGGCTGCAGGTCTGGTGTCCAGTCAGCCCCATAATCCCCAGAAGATCCTTGGCTACAGGATACCTGCAGCCAGAGGCCCAGCCCCTGAGCTCGAATCCCAGTCCAGGTCCTGTCATGGCTTCTGAGTACGAGATGGGCCACATCCGCCAGCTGCAGGCTCGGCACATGCATATGCAGGAGAAGACTTTCACCAACTGGGTCAATAACATCTTTCGGGTCAGCCGGGTGAGTGTGGCTGGGATCACCCCCAGCTTGGGCCAGTGGACATGGGGTCAGGCTGTCGGTTCATTGGCCTGAGGCTGCTCCGGATCCCACAACAGAGCTGAGGCAGAGCTCCTTCCTCCTAGACAGCTGCTCTGGCCTCCACCTGCTGGATCCCAGGATGGGGTGGGCAGAGCTGACCCTGTACCTGCCCATCCCCTTCCCAGGTGGGTATCAAGATCCAAAACCTGTACACAGAGCTGGCCGATGGCACTCACCTACTACGGCTGCTGGAGCTCATCTCTGGAGAGGCCCTGCCAGCGCCTAGCCGGGGCCGCCTGCGTGTGCATTTTCTGGAGAACAACAGCAGAGCTCTGGCCTTCCTCAGGGCCAAGGTGGGTTCCAGGGAAGTGCTGCTATGTGTGGTGCCTGGCAGGCAGCAGGGACACACTGGATGGTCATCTTTCCTAGGCTGGGCCACAGGGTAGAGCAGAGGATATGGGGCCTGACTAAGAGAAGAACAGCTAGGTTACAGAGGAGAGGCATTAAAGGCTTTGCCCAGCACTCTGGCTTGGAGAACACCCAGCCGGCTGTGGCAGGAAGCCTATTGGGACTGCAAATGTCACTGTCTATAAGACAGAACTGCAGAATCCAACACCGAAAGAATCTTAGTGCTCTCTTAACCTTCTTATTTCATAAAGGTGCCTGCAATTATTTACAGACAAGATCCATGACCAGGCAGCAGAACCCAGATACAGGGCTAAGGGAGGCTGGTGGAGAGTGGGGGAAAAGTGGGAAGAGCCCCAGTTACTGAGACAGGCAGCAGGGAGAGTACAGGACCTACCTTGCAGGAAGAAAGGCCTCAGCAAATAGGAGGAGCCTGAGTCACCAGAGAAAGGGACAGGCCAGGGAGATAGAAGCAAGAGCTCCTGAACACAGTGGGCCCCCATGGCCAGCACAGGGTGGTTTATATTGGGGAGCAGGAATTAGGAAGGTTCCTGGCCTCGGGTACCGAGGCTGTGAGGTGCTGTCCTGGAGGCTATGGGCACTGAGCTGGGCCTGGCCAGGATGGGCCTAAGTGCGTGAACCATCACCTAAGTCCTGATGGAGGTCACCTATAGTCCCTGGAGCCTGGTGTGCTGGAGAACACCAGGAAGAGAAGAGCCAAAGCCAAGGGAAGGGCAGCAACTGCAGTCCCTAGCACCTGGAAGAACAAAAAGCTGCCAGCCACAGAGACCCAGTTCCCATGCGGTCCAAGGTCCTGTGAGCCAGTCATCTGTCCTCCAGGATCTTGGAAAGGGTGTGAGTCCCATGGCCTTTGTCAGAGGCTTTGCAGCTCTCCTTAAGCTTTGATATATAGCATGTCCCTGATACCTGTGAAGGTGACATCTTGGTTCCATAGACATCCAAGGCCAAGTGATCAAGACAGGACAAGAGAGCTGCCCCCAGACATACTGTTCATTAAAGTAGCAGAATGTGGAACGCTGTCATTGATGGAGATGGAGACCTTGCCACACGCTGAGCATTCTGTAGCCCACACTGGGGATACGATAAGCAAAGCCCAGACCCAGTTTCAGGGGAGATAGATTAGCTGAATGCAAATCAGCTGTGTTCTGGGACACGTCCTACAACTGTCTGGGGGAAATCAAAGCACTGGTTTATGTCCTGCTAATCTCCGAGGCATTAATTCTCTCATCATGACCAAGTTCAAGCTGCCAGCTAACATTGCTAAACATGAAGCCAGTAGGATGGGCCCCAGTGAGCAGGCAGGAGCGGACTCCAGTCCCCGCCACCCCACTAAGCAGGTGCCTCAACTCCAAGTGCAAAAAGGATGAATGTGCCAGGGAGAGAAGGGAAGTGCCAGGGCATGGAGAGGGGATCCTTTAGAGGGACACAACACCCAGGGGAAGCTCTTCCCTCAAGGCTGGTGGTCAGCTAAGGCCACTTGCCTTCCAGGTCTTAGGGATCAAGCGTGTGTATTTGGGTAGGAGGAATAAGCCTTGGGTTTCAATTTTATGTAAGGTGATCAGGGTAGGCCTCCTGGAAAAGTGACACTTGAATAGAAACTTCAAGAAAGAGAGGTGAATAAGCATGCTGATAGCTGGGGGATTATATTTTCAGTCATTAGGGACAGTCAGGGCAAAGGACTTAAGGTCCATGCTTAGAATCTTACAGACTATAAGATCCCGTAGGCCTCGGTGCTGCATGATTTGGGAGAGTGGAAGATGTATCCAGAAGGTGATGGGATCAGATCCTATGGAAATTTGGCAATTATTCTGTCCTCTTCTCCCCTTGATTCACCTTTCCTCCTGTCCAAGTGGCAAGATCTAGGGCAGAGGTTCTCGACTTCAGTGTACAGAATGGCCACTCCTGGTTTGTTCAAATGCAAATTCCTGAACCCTGGCCCTAGAAAGTCTGGTTTTGTGGTGCTTGGGACTCGAAATTTCCAATAGGCTCTGTTGGAGAGCCTAATGAAGAAGACTGAGATTTGAGTGTGACCCCAAGGGACCCAGGCACCCCCTTGAAATCCTGAGATGCCCCTGGAGGTAGAGGCAGACACTGGAGTTGTCTGTTTAGCTCACACATCTGTAATGACCCTGCTGAACCAGTGACCAATGGCCCAGGTTTCCCTGTAACCCACATATGGGGAATCCCCTGTCCAGTGGTCCAGCTCAGATCACCCGGCTGCAAGATCACCCAGGTGGGCTGAGACCTAGGATCTAACCACTCAGAAAGCCTTTCCTGTCAGGCCAGTGACTCGGAAGGCTGAGACGGGAGGATCCCAAGTTTCAGATCAGCCTGGGCAACTTGGTGAGACCCTGTCTCAAAACAAAATAAAAAGGGACTGGGGGGCTGGGGTTGCGGCTCAGTGGTAGAGCACTTGCCTCGTATGTGTGAGGCACCGAGTTGATCCTCATCACCACATATAAATAAATAAATAAGTAGATAGATAGCTAAATAAATGTATCATGTCCATCTACAACTAAAAATATTTTAAAAAGGGGCAGGGGGCGCTAGAAATGTAGCTCAGTAGTAGAGCACTTGCCTAGCCTGTGCAAGGTCCTTAAGTTCAATTCCCAGCACTAAAAATAAAAGTCTTCCTTTTTCTGCCTTGTCTCTGCCTGCTTTTCCTGGGGGACCTCCCACTGGGGCAGGCTGAATTTCAGGACTTCCTATCCCACAACTGGCTCCCTGGACTTTTGGTTCCTCTGAGTCCCTTAGGAACATGGGTTTCATGACTTAGTACAATCAACTTTGCCCACAGGTACCGATACCCCTCATTGGGCCAGAGAACATCGTGGACGGAGACCAGACACTCATCCTAGGACTCCTCTGGGTGATCATTCTGCGTTTTCAGATTTCCCACATCTCCTTGGACAGGGTATGTGCCCCATGACCTCACCTCAGGCACCTGGGGACAGCGCAGTTCCACTGCACATTACGTTCCCCACACAAATCCTTGGCATCCTTGGAATTAGTATTCATTCTTCAGTCAGAGGTAAAGAACCCAAGTCAGAGATGTTGCCATATGTTGAAGTGAGAATTAGAAACAGGGCTTCACACCTGACCTGAGACAAGTCACTCACTGGATAGGGACAGGGTGAATTCCCAGCAACACTTTCCACCTGTTTACTGTTCCCTACTTGGCATTGAAACCCTGTAATATTCATTGCACCATAATGCACCCCTAGGGGAAATTTAGCATGTAGAGTCCTACCTCTGGAGGTTCACTAATTCCCCAGTATCCAGAAGACCAATGACCCAGTATTTCCCTCATGGTTCCCCAACTTTTCCCCTTCTATCTTTTTCTCCCCAACAACTGGATCAGAAAGAGTATAAACCAGTCAGGCATGGTGACACTTGCCTGAAATCCCATCAGCTCAGGAGGATCACAAGTTCAAAGCCCGCCTCAGCAACATAGCTTAAAATAAAACATAAAAAGAGTTGGGGATGTGGCTCAGTGGTTAAGTACCTCTGGGTTCAATAAATCTCTGGTTCCAAAAAAAAAAAAAGGAATGAGTATAAACATAATGTTCTTATATTTATCACTTTTAAGTTTTATAATCCCCAAAACAACACCTGAAACTTGATTCTGGTAGGTCAGGAAAGCCAAGCTGGAAAATGAAACTCTATGAAAAAAAGCCACAGATTACAGATTTGGCACAAATCCATGTGGACCTTCAAAACAAATGATGACTATGAGCTACAGAGGAGCAGGGCCTTGTGTGCTCGCAGCTCCAGAGCTGAGCTCTGTTTGGGGGAACAAATGGGCAGATGAACATCTAACTGACCCTAAACCTTTCCAGGAAAGATGAACATCTAACTGACCCTAAACCTTTCCTTTCTACTCACCTCCCCAGATCTTGAGGCCCAATATCCCCTCAGACTTGTCCCTTGGGAGCAGCAGGTACTCCTCGTCCCCTGAGGCTGCCACCTCAGGCCTGCTCCCTGATGACTCAGGCTCCAGCAGCCCTGCTCCCTCCTACGTCCATCTCAGTATGCCCTAGTTCCCATATGGCCTAGCCCAGCACCCAGGGGCTTGGGCCTGGCCTCCTCCCTGGGGCAGAGGGGCCTCCAAATCCTTGAGATGACTCTACAGACCTGTGCTGGTCTCCAGCATCCTTCCTGTCAGAGGAAGGGGAAGAAGTGCATCCTGCTGAGCTGCACTCCTGAATTCATAACAGGAATTGGCGGAGAGGGAAACACAGGAGGGCATCCAGGAGCACAGGAGAGGCAGGGTTTAGGGCAACCGGGGCCAGGGAGTGAGTGGAAGGGGGGTCCCTAAGGGAAGGACAGGGATGCAGGCAGAAAGAAGTTGGAGGAGGATGAAAGGCCAAGAGACAGAAGCACTGAGTGGAAGAGATGGAGATGGAGATGGAATAATAAGGGAAACTATCCACAAAGAGGACCTGGCAGGGCTGGGGGGGGGCTTGAAATCAAACCCAGCCGAGTCATTTCTCAGTCCCTGAAGCATTGAGTACTATAGGTGGGGGGCTCTCTTGTCCTTTGTTGGAGGTTTAGGGGTCCAGGCCAATCCCTTTATCAGCTGGGGCCCTGGGCAACTTTCAAATTTCTTACTACACCTCCTTTGTCTTCTGTAGAATGTAAGTACTAACAGGCTGAGAACCTACTACCTGATCATCAGAAAGCCTACAATACAGGGAAGGAGTCAAATAGGGCCCAGCCTCCATTCTATGAGCCCCAGGTTGGTTATCACCATGCCTGGGCCCCAAACCAGGAGCTATTGCTGTTGTGGTCCTCAACTGCAATACAAAACTAGCTACTCTGATGACAGGTGACAGCTTTCAGTCACCCTGCCTCTTTAGAAGCACAATCAATCAGAAGGACTCTTGGCTCTCTAACCCCTACCTCTATCTGTGGATGACATCAGGTAAAATCAGATACTCTGAAGAGAGCCATCTCCAGGTGGGGTAGGATCACAGCATGAGCCACCCACAGTCTGCAGGTTCTGCTGCCCCCACCTGGCCCCACATGGTGTTGACATGCCCTGTCCTACAGGAGGAGTTTGGAGCCAGCGCAGCCCTGTTGTCAGCCAAGGAAGCTCTGCTGGTCTGGTGCCAGAGGAAGACAGCCGGCTACACAAACGTGGGCATCACTGACTTCTCTCGCAGCTGGAGCGACGGGCTGGGTTTTAATGCCCTTATCCACGCCCACAGGTGTGCCCAGACCTGAGTCTCCAATTACTGAACCCAGGGCTGGGGCCTCTCCAGCCCATTTTCCATATCCGCTCTGGCTCCTGGAGGAGGAGGGGAAGTGGGCCCAGAAGTAGAGTGGGCTGACAACTGAGTCCCTGGCCTGGAGTAGTACCCCCGCACACTCCCCAGGGAATTGCCATGTTTGCCTCTGACCCCGGCCTTCACTTTCTGCATCCCTCCCTTCTCTTCATTGCCTTCTCCCCAGCAATTAGCTGCCCTTTTGGAACTTCTGCCCCCATCCCTGGACCTGGCCTCTATGCCAAATTAACCCATCCTTCAGCCAGGGCCTCAGAGAACTGTCAGAGGAAAATGGATTCACAGTAAGCTGGGTCTGGCCAATAGGAACATGTGCATTTTAAAAAGCAGGACACTCTCCTGAAGAGCCCTTCCTGTTCTCTGCCCAGGCCGGATCTGCTAGACTATGGCTCTCTGCGTCCAGACTGCCCACTGCACAACCTGACCTATGCCTTCCACGTGGCTGAGCAAGAGCTTGGCATTGTTCAGCTGCTGGACCCTGAGGATGTGGCCAGCCTACAACCAGATGAGCGCTCCATCATGACCTATGTCTCCCTCTACTACCACTATTTCTCCCGCCTACACCAGGGGCAGACTGTCCAAAAGAGACTCGCTAAGGTTGGTGACAAAGGGAGGTGGTCCAGCCAGCCATAGGGAGCCACAGCTCTGAGGACAGGTGGGATGAGCACAATCTCCAGAGTCAGGCAGACGTGAATTTGAAAACTTCTTTTGTCATTCATTTGCTGTGTGGCCTTGGCCAAGTCATCTAACTTCTCTGTGCTCCTATTTGTAACATGGAGACAATAACACCTGGATAATAGGGCTGCTGTTGGGTTGGTATTCAATGGAGCTTAAGTGGCCCAACATGGAGCCAGGCATACTGGGAAAGTAGGGAGGCAGTGCCTGCTCCTGCTGCTCCTGCCCCCCCTCCCCTCCCCCTCCACTTGCAGGCTGTTAAGCTCCTAATGGGATTAACAGCCCTAGAGAACCAGGAGTCTGCAAGGACAGGCATAGAAGAGGCTCTGCTGGGTTGGGGGGCTCCATGTTTTTGGAGGACTTTCTTACTCTCTGGACGCGATGGCAGAGGCTGAGGCCTGGGAGGGCTGCCCTCAGGGTTGGTGTCTCAGTGGGGGAAGATGATACAGGCCAAGGACTCTAAGATGCTTGGGGTGGGGGTAGGGGAAAGAATGTTCAGGAAAAGGAGTAGACTAAAGGCCCTCAACCCCCAGAGGTGAGGCAAAAGGGTGAAACAAGATGGAAGAAGGCAGGACACAGTCTTGCCCCCAAGTCATGGAGAGGGAGACCACTCACTCCTGAAACTGGATGTGTGATGCCCCCTCCTCTCTGGGGGCTGGGGGACCCCTACTTTAGTGCACCCTCAGCTGAGAGAAGCAACTGGCTCCCAGAGTCCAACAGGGGAGTGCCTCTATTCCAGGGCCTGATCCTTTCCCTGCCTTCCACCAGATCCTGCTTCAGCTCCAGGAGACTGAGGTGCTACAGACCCAGTACCAGCAGCTGGTGGCTGACCTGCTCCACTGGATCACAGAGAAGCAGGCACAACTGGAGATGCGGAACTTTCCAGACTCACTGCCTGCCATGCGCCAGCTACTGGTGGACTTTGCCTCCTTTCGTGCTCAGGAGAAACCACCTCGGCTGCAGCAGCGAGGGGCCACAGAGGCCCTGCTCTTCAAGCTGCAGACAGCACTCCGAGCCCAGAACCGCAGGCTCTTCCTGCCGCAGGAGGGCCTCAGCCCTGAAGAGCTGTCCCAGCGCTGGGCAGGGCTAGAGCGAGCAGAGGCTGCCCGGAGCCAGGCCCTGCAGCAGAGGCTACTACAACTGGAGCGTCTGGAAACACTGGCCCGTCGCTTCCAGCGCAAGGCAGCCCTCCGGGAGAGCTTTCTAAAGGATGCGGAGCAGGTGCTGGACCACGCCAGAGCCCTGCCAGCCAGCCCAGCCACAGTGGAGGCAGCCACCCAGAGGTTGGGCATGCTGGAGGCTGGCATCCTGCCCCAGGAGGGGCGCTTCCAGGCCCTGGCTGAGATCGCAGACATCCTCCAGCAGGAACACTACCATGACTGGGCAGATGTGGCCCACAGGTAAGCCCCAAGCCTATAAACCATCCTCACAAAAGGGAAAGGCAGACCCTCACGCTTCCACATGCCCATTCCTGGCCATGGAAGAGAGGGGTGGTTTATGGAATCAGGGCTCCTTCTAAAAAAATCAATCTCCCATGGATGCTGGAATTCTGCCATCAGTAATTCATACCTTTTGGTAAAGCACTGTCCTTTTGAGGTAGCCTCTGATTAGTTCATTCATTATGGCATTTATGGCATATCCGCTGTGTCCCATGTGCCATTCTAGGTGCTGGAGGTTTAGCAGTGAAGAGAACAAACAAAAATCCCTCCCCTTAAGAAACTTACACACTATTTTTTTTAAGAGAGAGAGAGAGAGAGAGAGAGAGAGAGAGAGAGAGAATTTTAATATTTATTTTTTTTAGTTTTTGGCGGACACAACATCTTTGTTTGTATGTGGTGCTGAGGATCGAACCCAGGCCGCACACATGCCAGGCAAGCGCGCTACCGCTTGAGCTACATCCCCAGCACAAACTTACACACTATTAAGGAAAACAAATAATAAAAATATAACATGAGAGATAGTGATTTAAAATATAGGGTCTGGGGATGTAGCTCAGTGATAGAACGTGTGATTAGAATGCACAAGATCCTGGGTTTGATCCCCAGCACCAAATTAATTAATTAATTAATTGAATTAAATAAAGCAGGATAATGGAATGCTGAGGGGCCAGTGTGGGAGGTGGTGCAGACTTGGGTGGCTGGAAGAGAGTCATTGGAAGATGACTTTTGAATAAAGACCAGAAAGGAGTGAAAGGGCTGGTCATGCAGATATGGGGGACAGAGTGACCCAGGCAGAGGAAACAACAATTGCAGCATCCCAAGGTGGGTTCCTGCCTGGCAAGTCTAGGAAAAAAGTATAAATGCTAGGGGTGGAAGAGGGGATTGGAATTGGAAAGACAGTAGAATGAATCAGATATAACTTTCCTATTTTCATATATGAATACACAACCAGTGTAACTCCACATCATGTACAACCACAAGAATGGGAAGTTATACTCCATGTATATATGATATGTCAAAATAGAATCTACTGTTATATATAACTAAAAAGAACAAATTAAATTTTTAAAAAATGCTATGGTGACTAAAGTGAGCAAGTTACAGGGGTGAGGTCAGGAAAGCTCAATGGCAAGGGATAGGAGTGGAAGTCAGGCTGGGCCTTGCAGTTTTTACTCCGAGAAAGATGGGAAATCTTGGAGGGCTTGAGCACAGAACTGACTTTTGTTTTACAATGGTCACCTGGATGCCATGTTGGGAAGAGGCTGAAGGAATAGCAGCAGAAGCAGAGAGATCAGTTATGAAGCTATTGCTGGGTGCAGAGCAAGGGAGGCAATAGCACAATAGCAGTGGTGGGATTCTGAATGTATTTGAAGGTAGTGCCAAACAGGATTTATAGACAGGTCAGAAGTGGGGTTGTTGTAGAGACAGACGAGGCAAGGCTCCAAAGATAGCAGAAAATAGTTTTATTTGGCTGCAGCCAGGTTCAGAGAGCACAGCTTTTGCTGTAATCAATCCTCTGAACCCCGAGTTCAGGTAGTTTCAGAATTGTATACCCGGTATGTAATGGGAGGGGCTCAGAAGTTCACAGTTTTCACAAGTTTGCATAAAAGCAGCTTTTTCTTTCACTGTTCAGGGCAAATTAACCTTTCAAGGACAACACATGAAAGGGGGAGAGCTTCTTCTCCCCTTTCTTTCCTCCCCCTGCCAGCTGTTACCATGCAGCCTAATTGGTAACTTACCTTAGAAATGTTGACATCTCTGTGAAGCTCTAGCTCAAGGCCAGTGGCCTTGTTTACACATTTCTACAAACTACTATACTAGATACATGTTTGTGAAAAACTATTAAGGGGGTGTCCAGCACCTGGAGTGCGGATTTCTTTCAGGCTAGGGGCCAAGTAAAATAGGGCAACACAAAAATAGGAAGTTTATCTACATTGAACTCTTTTTTGAGACCCTTTTGCTGACAGTCCTAAAATCAGCCATGGTGAAGATTTCTGGAGAAGCCCAGTTAATATATTTTGTGGAGGAGGGGGTGCCACTACAGGGTGTGAAGACTGACTTAAGATTTTAGTCTGAGCATCTGGAAGGATGGAGCTGCCATCAACTGCCATAGGGACTAGAAGGGGTTGGGGCTGAAGGCCTAGACCTTTTAGGTCCTCTTTTGGCTTCTCTGCTTGTAACCAGGCAGGACACATTGCCCTAGTCTCCCCATACCAAGAGGTTCACATCCAGACCCTGCCTCCAGCCTCAGAGGTCCAAATCATCCAGGGCATCCAAGCCTCACCACTAACCTGAGGTGGCTTCTCTGCCCCAGCCTTCTGGAAACTTCCTTTATTCTTGTGTCTTCCAGGCATGAGAAGATCACACAGCGCTGGAAAAGACTCCTTCAGCATCTACAGGAGCACAGGAAGCAGATGACAGGTGTGCAGGCTGTGCTAAGCCTTCTGCAAGAGGTGGAGGCTGCCTCTGACCAGCTCCGGGAGCTACAGGTGGGCACAGGACCAGCCAACCTCTGGGGAACCCAGTAGAGTGAGGGTCTTTCCCCAGCACTGGTGCTCACAGGAATGCAGCACCTTAAGACTGCAATGACCACTTATCTCTGGTCAGGTGCCAGCCAGCTCCATGACCTGTACACAGCATCTGGCAGAAGTAGTGGAGCTGCTTCAGAGACATGACCTGCTAGAGGCCCAGGTCTCCACCCACGAGGCCCATGTGAGTCGTCTTGCCCATCAGACTGCAGAGCTGGACTCCTCCCTGTTCACCAGTGTAGACATGCTGCAGGTCAAAGCCAAGGCTGAATCATTGGCCCAGCTCTACCAAAACCTGATGTCTCTTGTCAGGGACAGGTAAGAGTCTGACCTAACTCCTCAACCTTCTTTGGAACTTTTCTGTAACCCCAATTATCTCCTGCCCAGACTAAAATACCGTTGGCCTGACAACCTCCTCTACAATGACCCTCTGTCCCAAGGCCTCTGTCTTACCTATTGAGTCATACAGGGAAAAGAAAAGTCCTAAGGACCCCCAGGGAACTCCCTCCCCATGCCCCACGACACCCAAAGTCTCTTGGTGGCCCTTGCTGATTGTCTCCCAGGCGGACTATGCTGGAGCAGACCCAACAATGGGCAGAATTCCTGAACAACTGTGAGGAGGAGGAGGCCTGCTTGAGAGAACTCAGACAGCAGGTGGAGAATTTGTCCCTGGGCGGGGACCTCAGTCAGATCTCAGTCACCCTGCAGAAACACAAGGTGCTCACTCCCTCGCTCCCTGTGGATCCACACCTTTTCCTCACCCATCTGGCTTGGGAACCCAGCCCCCTCTCCTTTCCTTCCCATCACCAAGCTTTCCCACCTCAACCGGGCCCTGCCCTCTAGGCCCTGGAAGCCAAGCTCCACCGCCACCAGGCTGTGTGCGTGGACCTCGTGAAGAGGGGGTGCGACTTCAGCGCCCGCGGATCCTCGACGCAGCCGGATCCCAGGGAGCGGGCCGAGGCCGTGAAGAGAGAGTGGCAGCTGATCTGGACTAGGATGGAGAAGAGGGGCTTGAGGCTGCACACATCCCTGCTTTTACGGCAGGTAGAGAAGTGGGGCGTTCCAGTCAGGGGGCGGGGCCGGGGCGGGGCCGGGGAGGGCACCTGCCTGTGCTCAGCCCCGCCCTCCTCCCCTCAGTATTTCGCCGACGCTGCGGAAGCGGCTGCGTGGCTGCGCGAACGGCGGCAGGAACTGGAGACTGCGTTTTGTGGGGAGGACCAGGCGGCAGCCGAGGCCATGCTGCTGCGCCACCAACGGCTGGAGCGCGCCGTGCGCTCCTTCGCAGCCGAGTTGTCCCGGCTGGACGAGCAAGCGCGGGCCGCCGCAGCTCGGGCGTCACTCAGGGTGCGCGCCAAGACTGGGAAGGGACTCAGACTTGTGCGCTTCCAAGACCAAATGTGTAGTTTCTGCTCGGCACCTAAGTCCCATATTCCACCGCCCGTGGGCCACAGAGGGCGACAAATGGTCTTTGTGGGCTGGCCCGGGAATCCTGTCCTTCCCTTGGGCGTGGGCGTGGGTGTGTCCCTCCATCCTTAGGCAGGTCGCCTGCTGGCTAAGACCTGAGGTAGAATCCTGTCTGCCCAGAGAATCGAGGTCATCCTAGTACAACTGGGTTTGGCTCACTTTGCTCAGCACAATTCCGGAGCATTAAGCAAGTTCCTCCAGGAATGTCCCTTTTATTTTCACCTCCAGACCTAAAGTGACCCTTAAGCCCTTATAAGTCTCTCTCACCTGACGGCCCTTGTGGGTTTTGTTGGATGGTCTAATCACTGCACCAGACTGCTCTGAAACCTCTCCCGCAGTTCACTGAGCCCCTAGTATCCAAAAGCATGTGTAGTAGGTTGCTGAGTTCTGTCCTCTTCCAAGAAACCTTGCTTGTCGCTGGAAGCAGTGGTGCAGACCTGTAATTCCAGCAATTCAGGAGGCTGAGTGAGGCAAGAGTATCTCAAGTTGAGGCGAGCCTCAGCAACTTAGCAACGCCCTGAACATGTTAGCAAGACACTGTCCCAAAAGTTAAAAAAATAAATAAAAAGTGGCTGAGGATGTAGCTCAGTGTGAAGTATCCCCAGGTCCAATTCCCAGTGGAAGGAAGGAAGGAAGGAAGGAAGGAAGGAAGGAAGGAAGGAAGGGAGGGAAGGAAGGAAGGAAATTGCTTGTAGCTCACAATGAAGCTAAGGAGGCCCCTAGACTCTCTGTTCATGCTCCACTCCTCTACCCTGAGCTCCAAGGAAGTTCCATGTCCCACTCCCAGGTCTGAAAGGCCCATCTTTCCCTTTTCTTTTGTGTTTATTCCCTGGATAACATAATTATTTTTTTAAAAAAATTAATTCATAGTATATCACCAATGGTCTGGTCCAACCCCCTCTCTTTACAGATGATGTAACCATGGTTCAGAGGGTCCAGGTTATTAAGAACATGTAGTTATCCCTACCAGAGAGTCTCCTGACTTCCTGTTCTGAGCTGTATCTACCCCACCCACAACTATATTTCTGTGATGCTATACTAATACATAACTCTCTAGGTATAGGACAAAAATATGGGTTCTTCCTATTCTGTGTGTCCTGCTTTTCTAGTTTTTAATTGTTTAAATGAATGAATGGGAGCATCCTAATCCCTTTTTTGTGTCCTCTGTTGTCCAGCCTGTGTTGGTAATGATGGAGAGATCCTGCCTGGCCCCTGGCATTTTAGACCTTTGCTTTGCCCAATGCTGAGTGGCAAAAGCAGAGCTGCTCCTTCTGCTGAGGGGTAGAACCATTAGGCACCTGAGCAGAGCCTTTGCATCTCCATGCAGGAGGAACCCTCAGAATGCTGGAGCAGGACTGATGAAGAGACAATTGGGAGACCCCAGAATGGGTCCCAAATCTTAGCAACACCAGCCAGCCAGCACCCATGCCCCCAGGGCCAGATGCACTTTGCCTCCAAAGGTATGAGGTCAAGAGCCATATAGGAGCCTTAACAGGCTGTCATGAATGAAGAGATTAAACATATTCTATGTGGTGGCTCTCTGGAACATCCAACAACTGAAGGGAAGAAATTTAGGGGAGGCCAATTTGGGCTACTCAGAGACAGCACTGGACTGCCCAGGGGTGTGAGTTCCTGTCACTAGGCAGCCATGGAGAGGTGGTTTTACACCAGCGAAGTTTAAATGAGATGGTCATATAGGTCTTGTCCAGCTTGAAATTCTCTTGAGTTCCCCTTTTCCCACCCTCTAGTTCTTGATCTCTCTCCCTTTCTCGTACTTTTCTTTCATCCCCTCAACCCAGTCCTGAGCAGCTTGGGCTGATGCTGCCACTGCTGTCAACCCTTGCCCAGGGACAGAGGTAAAATATGGCACAGACTGGGTACTTATCCATCCCTAAGGAGGCGCACCAGCCTGTTTCCCCAGTCTTCTCTTCCAAGCTTCTACTACCCCAGCCACCTTGTCTTCCCCTCTGCAAATGTTTCTTTTCTGGCAGGGCCTACTGGGGCCCTACCTTGTCCTTAAAATCTTTTCCAATACCCCACACCATTCTGGCTCCCCCTCCCCCACAGATACCTATATTACTTATTTCACTTGATACATTCTCTGCCTACCTACAGACATCCCAGGATAGTGTCTTACCTGCTCTGAGTCTGTGAGCCTTGCAATTCTGAGAGGTTTGTGAGCCCCTGGATAGGTCCTAAGTTAACATAGGGTCAGGCACAGGGAAGCACTAAAATAACAAATAACCCCCATCTATCCCCATGGTGAGCCTCTGGGTAGAGAAGAGGAGCAGGCCCTGAACAGTGCTCGCAGCCTGTACTCCCACAGGGCCAAGGCTTACCTGGCTCTCAGAAGTGGCCCTGGACACCCCTGAGCTGAAGGACTGGGGAGAATGCCAAGCCAAGGTGCCCATCAGCCATGGCATGGAGCAGGATCCCCAGGTACAACTGTCCCCCACCCCCCAACCAAAGCCTCTGCAGCTTGGTTGGAGCCCCATGTGGACAGACTGCTCTATATCTGCACAGGTGGTGTCTTCCCTGAGCCCTCCAGGGAAAGGTCCAAGCATGGCTCTCTCTGCTGAGTCTGACCTTGATTTTGACCCCAACACCATTCTCCAGACACAGGACCACTTGAGCCGGGACTATGAGAGCCTGCGGGCTCTGGCAGAGGTAATGTTCCTTGTTCAAAAATTGTTCATCAAACCACTAGCCCCTGTGTCTCCATCCCAAAGGACTGATCAGTAACTGACATGCTTCCTGCCTCAAGAAATTTATGTCATGGCTGAGCATAAGTTGACAAATCTGTATATGGATGCAGTATGATGGGAGCCCATGAAAGGAGAGCCCAAGTCAGCGTGGGGGTCAGGGAAGTCACTAACAAGGGAAAGACATTTAAACTGAGACTTGAACAAGGAGAAGCAGAGAGAAGGCAACCTTTGTGAAGTAGGCCAGAACCTGAGTAAAGGCCAGGAGTAAGCTTGATGGAGGAGGCCAAAGCCAGAGTGCCTGGAACACAGATGCCAGGGCGGCAATGGCTAGCAGAGAGCTGGGAGAAGCAAGCGGGGCTGCCTGGGCAGAGCCAAAGCCCACAGGGAAATGTGGATTTGACCTATGAGCTTACGCCAAACCTAACCTCTTATGTTTCCCTCTGTGAGAGGACATGGGGCCAAGCATTGGCAAAGACCCCTTCTGGCCCTAGCAAATGCTGGTGGGCTTGGGTGGGGATCTGCTCTGAGTGCCCTGTAGGGGGCACTGACCCTCATCCAATCCTCACCCAGCCCACCTCTTCTCAGCTCCGCAGGGCCCGGTTGGAGGAGGCAGTGGCTCTCTTTGGCTTCTACCACTCCTGTGGGGAGCTCCAGTCCTGGCTAGAGGAGCAGACTGTGCTGTTCCAAATGCTGCAGCCGCAGGCCAACGACTTGGAAATCATGCAGTCCAAATATAAGGTACAGCCCCTTGAAGCCAAGAGGGGCCTGGAGTGCTCAGTCCCTCCTCGCCTTGCTCCTGCCTCCCTGTTAGTCATGTGCTCTGGGTCCCCATGTTAACTGAGGTCCTATCTGGGAGGGGAGCAGGGATAATAAATAGACCCTCAAGGTTAAGGACTTGGAGTTCTGCCCTTCCAGAGGCAAGCAGCATAAGCATCTCCATGTCAGAGCTTGTCAGACGTTCTTCATAGTCCTATCGAAAGGAAACAACCCCCCCACTCCAGAGGCTGGGAATGGTGGCATATGCCTATAATCCCAGCCTCAGGAGGCCAGGGCAAGAGGATTGCAAGTTCAAAGTCAGCCTGGGCAATTTAGTGAGACCCTGTCTCAAATTTTTTAAAAAAAAAAGTGGGGGGGGATGTTGGGGATGTAGGTCAGTGGTAGAGCACCCCTGGATTCAATCTCCAAGTACCAAGAAAAAAACAGAGGCCTGGGTCCTCATTCTCTCCAGAACTTCCTCTTTGCCCTGGCTGTGAGAAAGGGCCACTGGGCTGAGATCAACAGCTCTGCTGAGCAACTGAAACAGAGATGTCCTGGGGACTCCACAAAAATCCAGCGTCAACAAGAGGACCTGCACCAGAGGTAAAAATGAGGGGGAGTGCCAGGTGATGTGGACAGGGTGGAGGTAAGGTCTGGTGCCTCCTATAATGACAGTGTCAGGGACAGGGACGAGAGGGCAGGGGATAGCCAGTCTATCAGCTTGTCATAAAAGATTCTGGTCAGGGCCTCAAAATGGATGGGAAGGTATCCCTGTGATAGAGACATCCCTGTACCCTCTTCCCAGGTGGGGCCAGCTAGAGGCCCTGAAGAAGGAGAAGGGCCTGCAGCTGGCACACAGCATGGAAGTGTGTAGTTTTCTGCAGGAATATGGACACACACAGGCCCAGCTGCAGGACGTTCTACTCCAACTGGAGGCCCTGGAGCCAGAGAGCTCTGAGGCCAGTCACTGTGCCCTGCAGCTGAGCCAGCAGAAGGTCCTGGTGCTGGAGAAGAGGATCCACTACCTCCAGAGAGTAGCTGTAAAGTATGACTGGTGACAGTGCCCTGGGAGGCAGTAAAGTCAGAGGGAGGTCTGAGCAAGGCAATGCAATGAGGAAGGGGACAGAACCTGGGATGGGAAGAAGCACATCCTCATGCTGTCTCCCACCTCCTGGGTACAGGTGGGAGACAGCATGAGAGTGCTCTTGGGGAAAGAAAGAGCCATGTGTCCATGCTGCCCCTAAGTCAGGGTGGAGTGGGCATTCAGAGTTGTTAACACTTTCCTGGGAAATTCAAGACTGAGCAGATGACATATGTATGGAACACAGGGCCCAGGATAGGGCACTGACTATGCAGTTGCCTGTCTCCCAGGGTGGAGGAGTTAGGCCCTGCAGAGAGCCAACCCCTGCAGGAACAGATGGAGATGCTGCAGGGCCTGCTGAAGAAAGCACAGGGGCAGGTGACCCAACAGAACCGGGTGTGGGCTGAGGCTCGAGCCTGGCAGAGCTTCCTGAAGGAGAGCCAGCAATTGCTGCTGTGGGCAGAGGGTATCCAGGCTCGACTGTGCCACGAGGAGGAGTTGGTGGATGTGGCCTCAGGCCAGCGGCTGCTGAAGAAACATGGAGAGCTGCAGGAGGAGATCCACCTGCAGCAAGAAAGGTCAGGAAGGGAGGGCAGGCAGGGTGCACTTCAGGCTGGGTGAAGCCTGAAGACCTCGAGCCCAGAAAAGGAGAGCAGGAAGCAGTGTGGTCACTGGGGGAGTGATACCTGAGACAGGTTTACAGGAGGGACCTAGGCTCAGGTCAGGAAGCCCATAGACTTTGGGGAAGCCCCAGGTCATTGAGCTGCCTGGGAGGCTCTATGCTGTGCAGGCCCACATGCCCCTCCAGGTGAGTTAATAGATGCCACCCCACCAGGGCGATCTAGCGCTGCATTCTGGATGAGGCCGACCCTGCGGGCCCTGGAGTCAAATGGCTCAGAATCCATCCATAAACTACTATACCTGCCTCCTCGGTATAGTGATGCCTGTCCTCCTGCAGGGATGATGTGATGGCCCAACGGGCAGGGCCACCACAGGCAGTGCTCAGGCTGTGAGCCAGTCTTCAGGAGCTTGGCAGATGTCAAACAGACCCTGAGATACATCTGCCCTCTCTCTGATTGCCACACCCCATTCATTACCTGGTTCAGGCTGCAGCAGCTCACAGGAAGTAGAAGGTTTTTTTTTTTTCTACTTCTCACAATGGTGTCACCTATTCCCCATCTGTATGACTGCACCCAGTTAAAAGGATCACCTGTCCTACTTGTGCAAAGGCTCCATGTGGGCTTGCAGTGGCCCTGGATGCAGGCAGACACGTGGTTTCAGTGGTCTGTCTCTGTTAGTTGTGCTGCCCCAACAGGTTCATTTGCTTTGGCATTGGCCATTAGCCAGGCACATTTAGAGGATGGTCAACAGGAGTGAAGGTGTGGCATGGCAGAGAGCTTGGAACTATTGGGTCCTAAGCACTGTGCTGGGCCCATTACATTCACTGCATCCTTCATGAACCCAGGTATGGCTGTCCCATGGGACAGGTGAACTGATTGGCAGACCCCTCCTGCCAGTTACCCTCACATCAGAGCTCCACCGTGAAGGAAGCATGGAAATGAGAGAGGAGGAAGCTGGGAGAGGAGCCAGATAGGGGTTGAACCTCTGCCTGTTGTCCTGGACAGGTTACAGCAGCTGGAAGCTCAGGGCATGACCATGGCAGCCTTGGACTCCCCACATTCCCAAGAGGTGGCCAGTGCTCTGCGGCTTCTGGGCCACTGTGGCCAGGAGCTGAAGGCTGCATGGGAACAGAGACAGCAGAGGCTATGGGAGGGATTGCAATTGCATACGTTTAGCCAAGAAGTGGATGGTTTCATTGCCACCTGTGCCAACCACAAGGCCTTCCTGTGCCTGGACAACCTGGGGGTATGGAACCAGGGATATGGAACTGGGTTGTTACTGGGTTATCAATCCTCCATCACTGGAGGGAGTTCATCTCCTTGGGCCCAGAAGCCCGGCTGGGCACGAGGCCCCTGGGTCCATGGTGGGTGAGATGGTGCTGCCCTCGTCCTCCCAGGAATGACTTCAGGTCTCTAAACCCTAGGAAGATGTGAGGGAGGCCCAGAGCCTGCTACAGCAACACCAGGCCTTTGGGTGGCTCCTGGGAGCCCTGCACCTTAGAGCAGAGGCTCTGCAGGCCCATGGCAAGAAGCTAGTTCAGAACAAACATCCTGCTGTGCCCAGGTGAGCCTGGCCTGCTATTTTTTCTCCTCCTGTGCAGACTGCTGTGCTGGCTGGAGAGTGGGAAATCAGAGGGGTATACCTGAGCTGGGTGGGCCTCAGGGCAGAGAGGAACCCTCCCCTTCCCCACCTCCAGGGTCAGAGAGAAGCTGCAGAGTGTCCAAGTACAGTGGACCAGAGTCCAGGAGAGGAGTGAGCAGAGGAGAGGGCAGCTGCTGGCTTCCCTCCAGCTTCAGGTAAGGGGCTCCCTGGGTATAGGAGGCCTCCCAAGATCAGTGCCTGAGAGTCCACCTATGTGCTAACCGTGTGATGACAGGGAGCATTTCCGCTTACAGAGCACTCTTCCCACACATCACATCGTCCCTCCTTGCAGCACCTCCTGAGAGGCAGGCTCTGTGCCTCAGGTGTTTCCTGATGAGGATAATGAACTGTGGCCACTTGGCTGTCTGAGACTGGGCCAGGCCTAAAGTGCAGGCCCCTTGACTAACCCACCACTGCCTCACCCTGCTATCCCCTTTCCCTGAGTTTCTGGCACACTCTAGGGTTTTATATGGGTCATGCAAGACCAGACTGTGGTTCTGTGAATATTTGTTCAGTTCCAGAACAGCTTTAGGCTGGGCCAGGCCACAGGCCTCCCAGAGCTTTGGCCTATCAGAGCAAGATGGCCAAACATGACCTGATGTTGGCTAGAGGAGTGGGAACCTGACAGGCACTCCTCCTATCTGGGCACAGTGTTCCTGTCCCCAGTTTGTTGAGCAGTAACTTCAGGCTCCATCTCCCTCATGCTCCAAAATTGGCTGTGGGTCTTGCTTTCCCCACAGGGGTCCCTGAGGCGCCCCTTATATAGGTAGGTCCTTGCACCATCCTTGTCCCCAGGCTATGATAACCACCCTCTGGTTGTTGAGCATTCCTGGTTTGGGGGCAGGAATGGAAGCAGGACGTGGTGGAGCTGATGCTGTGGATGGAGGAGAAGTGGTCAGTGGCAGCACATGAGCCCTCCCGAGCACCCAGCAGCATTCTGCGGAAACTCAGGCAGCATGAAGCAGTTGAGAGGGAGCTGATAGCCACCCGTGGGCATATGGAGGACCTGCAACAGGTGGGGGACACTGCATTGAGACAGTCCACACTAACCTACGCGTTTTCATGGAGCACAGTCATTGAAAGAAGAGTCAATTCTAATTACCATGGAATCAGTCAATTCTAATTACTTCCTTCACTTGGCTGGGTGTTCCTTTGCTTGGTACCCAAACCAACATAGAAAGCTGCCACCACCCCTGCTCCCTCCACTCTCCAGGACAAGCCTCAGAGCCTGCCCCTTCGCCAGAATAAAGCTCTTCCCTACCTTCCACTTGGACCTGCTTGCCCTCTTTCCTCTGCCCATAGCTAGGTAGGGGACACATGAACTGCTGGAGCCCAGACAACCTGTGGAAAGCAGCTTGCAGCCTGTCACCTGACCCCATATCCCCTGGGTCCAGCCTGCTGTGGTCCAGCAACCCAGAAAATTGCCTTGTGCCTTTGTCTCTGTGATCCAGGCTGGGAGAGAGCTATTGTGCAGCAGTCCGCATGCCCAGGAAGACATACAGTCCAGGCTTCAGGGCCTGGGGCACAAGTGGGAGGAGTTGAATGGCAAGATGGCAGAGCGTGGGGATGCGCTTCAGCAGGCTAGACAGCAGGAACAGCTCCTGGGACTGCTGCAGGTTACAGGAGGGAGACTTGCTGGACTGGGGCTGGGTGGGAGCAGGCAAGACAGAAGGCAGAGGGAAGGAGTCTGGGTGTTCTACTGCCTCTAGAATGGCACCATGAAGTCCTGTAACCTGTGGAGGCCTCTGGCCCACAGCAAATTGAGCATGGCTTTACCCATCAGAAGGCCAGAGTGGCTCTTCTGTTTCCAGGTGTAGTCAACAACTTGAGTCCTCCAGAAAGAAAGAAGCATGAGGGGCCAGGGAACAGTGTATGGGCACTGCAGTTTGGGAATGACAGCGATAGGTCCCTGGTGAGTCTGGTATTGTAAGACCTGAGTCTCATCTGCTGTGCTATAATGGAAAGCCTAATATACCCCCTGTGGCCCTACTCAGGATGCCAAGGAGAAGATGGAGCAGCTAGAGGGAGCTCTGAAGAGTGCAGAAATGGGGTCCAACCTGTGTTCAATCCGAAGGCTGCAGAAACAGCACTGCCAATTGGAGGATGAAAGGCAGGCACTGGGCAGCAAGATGGCTACCCTCATCTCCCAGGCCCATAGTATGGTCACTTCCCAGACCATCCTAGAGGAGATCCAGAAGTGCCAACAGAGGTGAGGCCCTGTCCACAGAGTGACCTCTGTTCTGTCTTCACCCTGCTGTGTCCTCTCACTCATCCTTTGCTAACCCAAAGGCCCAAAGTGTGGCAACTATGTGACCTGGATGTCCAAACCTCCTTTCTTTCTGAGTGGAGATGTTCTGGAGTAGGAGGGTCAGAGATCCCAGTAGGCATCCTAAGCAGGACACCCCTGTCTGGTCAGGCAAGTCCCCTGGGTGGTGAAGTGGGCCCTGTGCCTCCAGCTGCCTACCCTTTTTCAAATATGACTTTCTTGTATTCGCTGGCCTTGTTCTTCATAGGTCCCTGGCTGGGCCAAGGAAGCAATGGGTCTGGTCCTGGCCCCATTCCCAACTTCTCCCATCTTCTCCCTCCACTCAGGTTCAAGTCCCTGCAGAGCCATCTGGCCACCCAGTGTCTACAGTTGCAAGCCTCAGTTGAGCTGTATGAATTTGACCACCTGAGCAACCTGGAGTTCACATGGGTGGCTGAGCACATGCCCAGGACCAGCCCTACCAGCTATACCCAGTGCTGGGATAGTGCCCAGAGCCTTCAACATAAGCACAAGGTGGTGGTCCCTTTTCCTCCCAGGACCCCTGACATCCCATTCCCAGACCTTAGAAGCCTTCTGCCACTACTCAGGGTATTCTGGCCTCTAAGTCCCTTTTCCTGGATTCCATATCTCTGCCCTAGCTATTCTTGATCTGGGGTCTTACCACAACTGAGTGCTGAAGTCACTTCCATGCCTCTGCTCTGGACCCTGTTGTTAAGGGAACTTCAGAGGCAATGCCTGTCATGCTTTCCTGTGGCAGGAACTCCAAGCAGAGTTGAGAGCCCACCAAGGGCAGGTGCAACGGGTGCTATGTTCCGGCCAGAACCTTGCAGCTTCTGGGCACCCCCATGCTCAGCACATCAGGGAGCAGTGCAAGGAGCTGGAAGGCCGTTGGGCAGAGCTGGAGCAGGCATGTGAGGTGCAGTCACGCTGCCTGCAAAAGGCCATCGTTTTCCAACAGGTAGGATAGAGAAAGCACAAGGTCAGGGGAGGGCAGCCCCTGTGAGGGAGCATTTGTGCACACTCAGGGAGGGAAGTCAGTGGTGAGAGCCTGCGCCAGGAGCTGGCTGGTCCCCATATAGCCAGAAGCCCCTCTATGCAGGCTGCTGGTGAGCACAGTATCCTCAGTGGGTGAGAGAAGGTTCTGAGATTACCCAGTGAGTGGTACTATTCTTGGCAGTACTTTCTTCATGCATCAGAGCTGGAAGGCTGGGTAGAGGAGAAGCGGCCACTGGCAAGCAGTCAGGACTATGGCAGGGACGAGGCAGCTACCTTGGAACTCATCAGGAAGCACCAGGTACCCTGTCCTAAGCAACCCCACAGGGTGGACTTGGGTGGTGGTGGACCATGAAGAGGGGGTCTGTCTCACCCCCAAAGGGAACATATGACTTCTCGGAGGCACAGAGCCCTGCTTTTTCTTCCTGAAGACAAGCCCACTGCCCACCCAACTCCTACGACACCTTCCTCCTCCCCGGCGCTCCTTCTTGCCAAGGCAACCCGAGTGCTGGGACCTGGGAACACTCTCCCTCTGTTGCCTCTCCCTGCTGCCTTAGCCTCTGGGTGTCTCTGCTTCCTCTTCCTCCCTTTCCTCCCCAACACTTTTCTACTCCTTCAGGGGCACCTGCTCCAGCTCACCCCACATCTTCCATGGTATTTTCCTCTCAGGCTTTGAATATCACCCTTAGAGTTAACCAGATGCCCTTCCTGAAACCTCCTTCCTCCCACAGTATGCCCTAATTAAAGGGAAGGAGGCCTGGAAGCCCCCTCCTCGTTTCTGGAATTGAACTCTCAGAACCACACAAGCTCCACAGCTTGGACCCCATGACACTACTATTTCCATGTGTGCTGTGCCTGAGAACCTTTAGTGAACCATTCCTTTAGGATATGCCTAGAGTCTTGGTCCCATGCAGCCCGTGGCCCAGGCTTCCTTTATTCTGTCTTCCTTTATTCTGAGTGAATGGATGGAAGATGAATGGATAGGTGTGGGGAGGGTGGGCAGGTGGGTGGGTGGATGGATAGATGGAGAGTCATTGGGTCCTAGCCTTGCATGGGTTCTTATGTTGGCAGGTGCTGCAGGAGGAACTAGCTCTTCATTGGAGCTCCATGGAGAAACTTGACCAGAAAGCTCAAACCCTCTCTGGTCCAGAGGCCCCTGAGCAGCTGGGTGTGATGCAGGAGAGGCTCCGGAAACAGTTGTGGGTGCTACAGGAGCTGGTAGCCTCACGGTGAGAGGCTTTGTAACCCCTCTCATCAGTGGGTTCAGGGGTCTTAGCCTCAATTGACTGTCCCCATGTCACGGCCGTAAGTTGGTACATATGACCCCAGGCCTATATAGATACATCAGGAGAAGGATATATTTGTTGTTTATACATAAATTCTTCAATCATCGCCCACTGGGCAGGAACTGGGTGCCTCAACTTAAGGCCATTCATCTCTTCCCCACATCTATACCTTCCTTTTACCTTCCCCTGGTCTTCCTGTGCCTGCTTCTCCCTGAATCCTGGATCATAATTTAAGCAGAGACCATGAAAATCCCCATCCTTCAGGTCACTCCCTTCAACTGGCTCAGCTGTCCCCAGGGGGACAGCAACTAACTCCTTGGGAACCATGGGCTGTCACCACAGGGGTCGAGAGCTGGAGTGGACCCTGAAGCTGCATGAGTTCATGAGGGAGGCTGAGGATCTGAAGAGTTGGCTGGCCAGCCAGAAGCAGGTGGCCAGAAGGGAGGAGAGCCTTGGAGAGGACTATGAGCACGTGCTGGTGAGGGGGCGGGGGTAGGGGAAGGACTGGGGCAGGTTATGGGGGAAAGGTAGCTGGTCCTGCTGGGTTAGATGGAGAAGGTGCAGTGGAGTCACGAGTCCTAGCTAAGGACAGGCCTTCAGAGTAGAGTAGGCGGACTATGCCTGTCCAACCCCACATTTTCCTGTAGGTCACTGAGATGCCCCACTCCCCAGGCTGCCTGCTGCCTGACCAGTGGGTACCACACGAGTTATCCATTACCCTCTCTCCTCAGCACCTCTGTACCAAGTTTGCAAAGTTTCAGCACCAGATGGAGATGGGTGGCCAGCGGGTGGCAGCCTGTCAGCAGCTGGCAAAGAGCCTGCTGGAACATGGCCATAACACTGCCCACAAGGTCCATCGGAAGCAGCAGGAACTGCAGTGAGTGCAGGAGATAGGGGCAGGGGCTGGGAGCAGGGGAAGGTGTCGGGCAGGGAGTCTGGGGTATTAAAGAGGGTTGCATCCCTCATTGTTATACAAAATTACATATAAGAGGTTGTGAGGAGGGGAATGGGAAAATAAACAAGGAGAGAAATGAATTACAGTAGATGGGGTAGAGAGAGAAGATGGGAGGGGAGGGGAGGGGGGATAGTAGGGGATAGGAAAGGTAGCAGAATACAACAGTCACTAATGTGGCATTATGTAAAAATGTGGATGTGTAACCAATGTGATTCTGCAATCTGTATATGGGGTAAAAATGGGAGTTCATAACTCACTTGAAACTAATGTTTGAAATATGATATGTCAAGAGCTTTGTAATGTTTTGAACAACCAATAAAAAAAGATTATATAAATAAATAAGAGGGAGGCATGCTCCAAGGCCCACACAGGTTCTGCCTGTCCATCTGGAGAGGGGCTGGTGCCAGGGAAGACCACAGGTTGAAGTCTGTTTTGGGAGGTGAGGCGAGAGAGCCCTGCCCAGGGCTTTTTCCCACCTACTGATCCCAGAACTTGTAGGAGGAGATGCAGGAAGACTTCCTGGGCCAGGGAAGGGGCTTTTCCATGGGTTCCCCCAGCTCCCATAACTGCCTCCTACGCAGCCCTTACACTCCACTTTCCTAGGTTCCACCCAGCTGGTGTGGATCCACCCCCAGCCTGTGAGCTTCAGGCAAGGTTATGACTTTTCGTAACCCCTAGCACAGGGCCTGGCGTGGTGGAAGCCTTTGAGCTCAGCCAGAGTTTGCTGGCAAATGAGAAATGGAGAGATGTGTCCTCTGCCCCCAAGGCATTTGTAATTTGATTGATATATTGAGAATGAAATGTGCAAGATGTAAGGAGTATCACATAGGAGAGAGATCAATTAAGTGCTGAGCATTATACCAGCAAGGGACCAGATTCACAGTGAAGCTAGAGAGAGACTCCTGGAAAGGAGGGAGGTTTGCAGATGGGCCAAAGGCAGGAGGCACTAAGGAAGAGGCCCATTCAGGAGCTTTGGACAAGTTATGGATACAACCCAGGGAGGAGAAGGGTTGAACAGACCTAACAAGGGAGGGGAACTCAAGGCTGATCCCCTGCTGGTCTCCCATTTGCCGCCACCAGGGCTGCCTGGTCAGAGCTATGGGAGCTGACCCAGGCTCGAGGCCAACTGCTCCAAGATGCCAAGACCACCCTCAGAGTTCATGGAGATCTGCTGGAGGCCCTTACCCAGGTCCAGGTGTGAGCTCAGGGGGAGGAAGGGATTCTTTGTAGAAGTGGGTTCTTCCCAGGCTCAGTACCCTACCCACCATTCCTGACCCTGGTGGACCTCTGCTGTCCTCAGGAGAAAGCCATGAGCCTCCCCAGTGATGTGGCCCAGGACCTACATGGGGTGGAAGCCCAACTGAGGAGACAGGAGGGTCTCGAGCATGAGCTTGCGCTCTGTGAGCAGCAGGTAAGCAGATGGGCTGCCTCCCCCACTTGAGCCCTGCAGGTCCCTCTGGCTTGGCCCATCTGTTCTCCTAGATTCCCCCACTGTTCCTCAGCCTCCAGTAGGGCCCATTGTGCATGGCAGGGCATGACCCAAGGAGGACCTGAGTTTTCCCTGGTGGGACACATTTTGGGATGGTCAGGCCTCTGAGGACACAACCCTTCCTCTCTATCCCTTATATAATAACAGCTGCAGAAACTGCTGGAGGCTGGAGGGAGGGTGCAGAAGCTGTGTCCAGGGCCTCAGGCCCGTGCCATGCAGCAGAGGCAGCAAGCTGTGACACAGGCCTGGAAGAACCTGTGGTTGCAAGTGGAGCAGCGCAGGGCCCACCTGGAGCGGGCATGCCTCCTGGCCCGTTTCCACACAGCAGTGAGAGTTTCTTCCCCTTTTGAGGGGCCTCTGTGTGTGTGTGTGTGTGTGTGTGCGCGCGCGTTGTATTATACCTTGTGTGTGCATGCACTAATGAAAGAAAACTGGTGTCTTTGGGGGGGAATGGGAAAACAACATGAAAAATATGAGCCCATCAAGATGTTAGTCTGGCTGTTCACGGGTGGAGCCCAGGGGACATGGCAGGGACTTCTCAGGTTTGGATGAATGCCAGCACAAATGAGTGACAGGGTCCTGGCCAGGGCTGAGAAGTGAGAGCCCATTATTGGAGACCCAGATGTTCTAGACAATATCCTCTGGATCAACCTGCATCTATTTAACATCTGTGTTGAGCCCTCTGCTAGGAGCTGTGGGTGGAGAAAGGAGGGTGATATGGAAGATGAAATTTCTGCCCTCATGGAACCCACCCACATTGGGGACATGAGCCTAATACACCAAGGAATCAAATGAGAACAGTGATCCTGGTAGTGAGGTCCCAGGAGTCCCTGTGTTCCAATGCCTGGTAGACCAGGAAGCTCAACCTATGACACTATGAAAAGGCTTGAGTTTAGGGTGCACTCTGTCACTTTGGAGCACTCTGAGCAAGGCACTTGGCTCTAGGTTGTTACTCTCTGCCAGTCAAGCATCTATAATTTGACACATACATGGTGTCACTATCCCCTTTCCCTTATGCATTGTTTGGACAAAAGCCCAAGTCCCTCCAGCTCTGACACTATGATCATCCACAGTTCAATAGAAGACAGCAACTTAGCAAGGACCTAAGCAACTCATCCAGACCCTGTCTCTAAATAAAATATAAAAAAGGGCTGGGGATATGGCTCAGTGGTTAAGTGCCCCTAGGTTCAATCTCTTACAGAAAAAAAAAAAATAGAAGACAACTGTAAATGTTAGCTCAGAAGCTCAGAGTGGGAGAGCAGGAAGACATCAATGGACAGGGAAGGCTGCAGAGGCAAAGAAGGCCTCAGCCCTAGAAGAACAGGGGAGCTATTTACTCAGCAGCCTTTGCCAACCATCTCCTCTCACCAATTTTCCAGGTAAAGTTTTTAGAGATGGTAAAGAAGGACAAGGGATGCTAAGCAGGAGGACAGTAAGTGCTTAGGAAGGAAGGAAGTCTTGGTGAGGGCAAGGGCCTGACACACATGGAAGGTTTGTGGACCAGGGAGAATGGAAAAACAGGTGTCAATAGCTCCAAGCACCTGAGGCCCCAACCCTGGACAGCTCAGGTGGCTTCAATGTGCAAGTGTATTCCAGTGGGCTACAATTGTGCCTCTGTGCCTAGGTCCCTGCCACCCACGCTTCTTCCTCATCTCCTTGATCAGGTGTGGGACTACACTTCCTGGGCAGCCAGAATGAAGCAGGAACTGCAGGCGGAAGAGAGCTCCCAGAGGCCCAGCAGCAGCCTGCTCAATCTCAAGACTCACCAATGGCTTCAGGCAGAGCTGGAGTCCCGAGAGGAGCTACGACTGCAGGCCTCCCAGTTGGGCCAGCAGGCACTTCTGGCTATAGGGACACCCACCAAGGAGGTGGGCCCCTTTCCTGGCACTCCCAGCCTACCCTGACCTAACCTAGCATGCCTGTTCCTGGGGATCTCTATGGCACACAGGCCTCTCCTCAGAGGCTTCCCCTGGGACCCACTTCCATCTTGTTCATGCTACCATCCCCAGCCCTGCCTCTCCATGTGCCCATCCCCAGGTCCAGGATGGGTTACGAGCCCTGCAGGAAGAGCGAGACCAAGTGTTTCAGGCCTGGTCACAGAAACAAGAGAGGCTACAGGCTGTGGAGCAGGAAGAGCTCCTCCTCAGACGGTGCCAGCACCTGGAGAAGATCCTCATGGCCCAGGAGGCAGGTCCCCTGGGCACGTCCCACCTCACATGGCATTATCTCTCGCTCCACTTCTCCCTTTCCCTTGAATCTTTGGCATTTTCTTTGACATAAACACAGAGGCTGTGTGTGAGTCCTCTCAGGTGGCCAGGGTGGAGCACTGGGCCCCAGGCCAGTTTCACACTTTCTCCTCCCCATCTCTGACCCCAGACTAAGCCCCAAGGGAGATTGGTCATACTCCCCACTTTGTGCAGAAGTCAAGGCATTGCTGGCTCCAACCCAGGCTCTCACTCACACTGGTGGCTCCTCTGCCTGTGCTCATGCTTACATCAGCCACAGCCACAGCCACAGCCAGGCCCTTCGTTCACCCCGGGGCACTGCCTCAGCACAGGGAGGGGCATGCTGGCTGAGAGCCCTCAATGGCTTCTGACTTTTCCATGGCCTGATCCAGATATCCCTGAAAAACGGTGCCCTGGGCAGCTCGGTGGAAGAGGTAGAACAGTTGATCCATAAGCATGTAATCTTCCAGAAGGTGCTGACTGCCCAGGACAAGAAGGTGATGGACCCGGGGAATCCTGGGCACAGTCAGAGTGTTGGGGATGGGGAGAGAGTCTTGTGTGGGGAACATGGCAAGCACCCAGAGGCAGCACTGATATATCTATGGGGCAGAGTAGTATGTGTGCCTTAAGTGAGGGTCAGGGATGAGGTGGGCAATGCTGGAGGGGCCACAGTGGGTGCTTGGTTCTGTTCATGTCACATGGTTACCGGGGAGCAGCGGATTGGCCAGCCCTTGGCAATGTTAGGCTGAGGGAAAAAACTCCAAGACTCTGGAAGAAAGGACTGTGAGTCCTGGGGCTAGTCCGAGTCTAATCTCCCAGGGTGAGAAACCAGTAGCCCTGCTTCTGCCTCACAGGAGGCACTTCTGTGTGAGCAGCTGAAGGTGATCCCAGGCACCAAGAGACAGGACTTGCTTCACAGCATACTGGAGCACGGGGCTCTAGTGAAGGAGCTGGCAGAGAGCCGAGGACACGCCCTGCAGACCTCCCTGCTGATAGCCAGCTTCACCAGGGCTGCAGGCCAGGTAAGAGGGCCACCCACCACCCATTTGGACCACATCTGGAAGTGCTTTCCATTTGGGCCACATCTGGAAGATTAAAATGACCTTCAAGCTGGGCACAGTGGCACACGCCTGGAATCCCAGCTACTAGAGAGGTTGAGGCAAGAGGTCTAGGAGTTTGAGGCTAGCCTCAGCATCTTTGCAAGACCCTGTCTCAAAATGAAAGATACAAAAGGCTGGCGTGTAGCTCAGGGCCCCTGGGTTCAATTCCAGCACCACAGAAGAAAGGAGATGACTTTTATACCATAATCCTGTAATGAGGAAAACTGAGATTTGGAGAGTTAAATTATTTCCCAGGCACCATGCTGGAGGACAGAACATTTGATTCTAAGCAAGTGTGTGGAGACTTGTTTCTTGAGTGCTAGCCAGGCCAGGACAAAGGGGCAAGGAAATGAGCGGAACAGTTCAGGATCCCAGGAGTAGGGGTCATATCTCTGAAGCGAGATCCACCGAAAGCCCCCTCACCTAGCCACTTCCTGTGGCTAGGAGCCAGCTAGGCCTGGGACATCTAATTTACCTTCTGGAACCCATTTAATATACCACACACTGCCGGCCCTGGCCCTGGCCAGTAACCCACCTCCTGGTCTCAGCTGAGGGGGCAGCCTGGAGGTTGGGGCATCACAGAATTATGTTTCCACTCCCACCAGGCTGAGGACTGGATTCAGGAGCGGGCACAGCAGCTGAGAGAGCTGATCCCTCCTAGGGACCTGAAAGATTATTTGAAGCACCTCCAGATACACAAGGCCTTTGAGTCTGAGGTCCAGGCCCACCAGCAGGTCATGACTTCAGTTGCCAAGGTAACAACAGCCCTAAGTTATAGCCTGCTTTAAAGTGTGGACTCCAGGATGACCCAGGGTAAGGTCTCAGGCAGGAAGAAAGGCACCTGCAAGTTCTCTGTCCCCTCTCTCCCTAGCAGGGGGAAGCTCTCCTGGCACAGAGCCACCTTCGGGCAGGAGAGGTTGCTCAGAGGCTACAGGTGCTGCAGAAGCACTGGGAGAAGCTGAGGCAGGTGGTGGCTCTCCGGGGCCGGGACCTGGAAGACAAGCGGAACTTCCTGGAGTTCCTGCAGAGAGTGGACCTTGCAGAGGCCTGGATCCAGAAAAAGGTGGAGACCCAGCTGAGCAGGGGCTGGCTGGGGGCTGGAGGCTGAGAATTGGGGCAGGGAGGAGCACAGGCCCATGGTTCTCTGGCTCCCTGACAGGAGGTTGTCCTGGAAGGTAGTCCCAAAGCGTCTACCTGCCCCTTCCTACCCCAGTACTTGGTGCCAGGGGACTGAGTGCCTGGAGCCAGAGCTCAGCATGCTGTCTTCCCCTCCCTTGGCCTCTGTAGGAGGTGATGGTGAACACGGGTGACCTGGGCCAGGACCTGGAGCACTGCCTGCGGCTCTGCAGAAGGCTCCGTGATGTCCGAAGTGCCACGGCCAGGGTAAGGGACTCTGCCAGGGAGGGGTTGGGCACAGCATCCCCCTTTGGGAAATGCAGCTGGGAGCAGTGAAAGAACATGGGCTACAGAGAAGGATGTGGCCCAAGTGTCAGTTCTGCATTCACCGCTTGCACACATGCAGTCAGCTTCCTTCTGATCAGGACTTCGTTTCTTCACCTCTGTATTGAGGATCATGCCTGCCTCAGAGGTGGGGGGCAATTACATGAGTCTCTACCTGTGAAAAAACTGCACAGACATGTTTTTCCTACACACACACACACACACACACACACACACCAGCAACAACAGATGAAAGCTGAGTTGAATCTGGTTTGGTTAATAGTATTATACCGATGTGAATTTCCTGGTTTTATTATTGTATCATAGCACATAAGATGTCACCAAGAGAGAAGCTTAGGGAAGGTACATGGAGCCTCTCTGTACTACTTTTACAATTTCCTATGCATCTATAATTATTTCAGAAAAAAAATTAAAAGAGATTGCATATGCCTGGGTGTAGTAGGTAGTCAATCCCTCCCTCCCTCAGTGTGGCTACTTCAGTATCTTAGCATCCCTTCTTATCTCCTCCCCATGAATTACACCAAAACTGTTTCTCTTATGTGGTATAGAAGAAAGCAATTTGGCAATGTATTCACAATCAGCTGTTAGAACTCAGATGTGCTAATCTCCTCTCCTTGATGTAAAAAAAAATGATGGTTTTTATTTTTTTAAATATTTTTAGTTGTAGATAGACAAAATACCTTTATTTATTTATTTTTATGTGGTGCTGAGGATAGAACCCAGCTTCACACATGCAAGGCAAGCACTCTATCACTGATCTATAACTCCAGCCCTATATGATGGTTTTTAAAGGCTGCATTGCCTAATCTGAACATGTCCTTTGCTTGTGGTAGAATTGTACCATACAGGTGTTGTGCCAGATGGTATAGCAGGGAAAGAGTTGGAAGTAGCCTCAACCCAGGCTAATCATTGAGGGCAGGACACCCAAACTGTAGAAGATTGGAACACACCATGTACCTCTACTCCTTTTTTTTCCTTCTTTTATTCCAACAAGCTGCATTTTAACTTTTTTATATTTATTTTTTAGTTGTAGGCAGACCCAATATCTTTATTTCATTTTTATGTGGTGCTGAGGTTTGAACCCAGTGACTCACGTGTGCTAGGCGAGCACTTCCACTCAGCCCCAGCCCCAGCCCCTGCATTTTAACTTTAAAAGCTTCTGGTCTTGATCCCTGGGAGAGGATCTCCTGGTCTGAGAGATTCTGGAGCTGATGACTCTAAGCTGATATCATTCACTCTTCCTGGCAGGGGTGGCCTCTGGCCCTGCCACAGGAAAGGAAGCAACTGCTTCATGTGCCTCAAACACACTGCTCCTAGTTCCTGAGTGCCAACTGAAGTGCCAGGAAGGGGCTCTGAGCAGGTGGTACCAGTGGCCTTACCTGCACCTCCCCCATAGGACACAGTGGGTGACACCTACATCAGGAGCATCAGTGACTTATCACTGCAGCTCAAGAACCAGGACCCTGAGGAGGTCAAGACCATCTGCCAGCGGCGAAGTCAGCTCAACAACAGGCCAGTCCCAGACTGGGCAGGGCAGGGGGGCCAGGAGATGGGCAGACAGCCATCTCAGGCTCCCCTTTTTACTACCACCCCTTGGCCAGGTGGGCGAGTTTCCAAGGCAACCTGCTCCAGTATCAGCAGCAGCTTGAAGGGGCCCTGGAGATACATACATTGTGCAGAGAGCTGGATGACATCACTGAGAGGATTGGGGAGAAGGTAAGCAGTAAAAAGGGGACCCTTGTGCATTGAGTCAGGGAAGTAGACCTAAAGTATCCCGGTGTTCCACTCTTCAGCTAGGCACTTAGAGGTTGGCCCCATCAGAGTTCCACTGGGGGTGTCTGATAAGGGATCAACAACAGACTATAGACCCACTTGCAGGCTCCACAGCCAGCCCACCTGCTCATTTTCTTCCCCAGATGTGCTATAGGACTAGAGGCCAGAACACGCCCTCTGTTTCCTCCAGCCCCTGAGCAAGCCAAAACCTTACAGGAGGCTTGTGCCAGGGTAATTTCAACCACCACACAGATATAGGCGCTAAAAGCTGTTCAGAAGGAAGTAAAGTCACATGCAACCTGGGAAGTCCCACGTGAAACAGGGCCCTTTTCTGGGCCCACCCAGCTTCCTCCTCCTCCAGTTACCCTCACACAGAGAGACCCAGGACTCTGTGCTGCTTGCCCCTTTTCCTCCAAGGTCTCCAACTCCCCAGGGATGGGAGTCAAAAGAAACAAAATATTAGGAAACACCACACATAGAAAAATTCTTACCTAAGAGGATTCTTTCCACATTGCCACTGTGGGGCTGCCTAGCCCTCTGCAGTGAGGGAACTGGAAGAATCTAAGGTCAAACCCATAAATATGGCCTCTCTCCCTCACCCCTCAGGGATCCCTGATCCAGACCCTAGAGGGTCAGAAAGATCTGGAGAGCATTCAGACGCTGATGTGGAAACACAAGGTGCTGGAGCAGGAAATGGGCCTCATCCAGGTTCAGGTGGAGGTATGCAGCTGGGGGTACAAGTCGGTCCAGGCCATGATTGCCTCCTCCTGTGGTCCCTAGCAGCCAGAAGGCAGAAAGGGCTTTAAGATCCTGCAAGCCACATGCCAGGGGCTTTCCACAGCCAGAGCCTCCCCTACCCAGCCTCTGACCCTGACTTCTTCTGCAGTCCCTTGAGCACAAAGTGGGCCACCTCTGCCAGAGAAGACCTGGGGCAGCCCATGGCCTCAGTCACAAGAAGCAAGAGATGATGGGCAGCTGGTGGCAACTCCAGAGCAGAGCCCAGAAGTGGTATGAACCCCCTGGGCCTCACTCCTTCACTGACCCATTCCCTCCAGAATCTTAGTCTCCATACTTCCCCTCAGTCCCTGTTTTTCCCTAAGATTCTGTATTGCCAACTCATTCATTCCCAGCACAGAGCTCTTGTGTGCTGAGGGGATTAAGGGATAGGAGACCACGTGGGTGGGCATGGGGAAAGAGGGGACTGGTGGCCTAGGACTAGCCGATGAGCCCTGTGGGTAGGAAGGAGTTGCTGGATGCCCTGCACCAAGCACAGAAGCTCCAGGCACTGCTGCAGGAATTGCTGGTCTGGGCCCAGAGGCTGCGGGCTGAGATGGACCTGCGAGGTGCCCCTTGCAGCCCTGCAGGAGCCAGACACATGCTAGATGAGCACCAGGCACGCAAGGTGAGCAGCAGGGTCACTGGGCCTCTCTGGACTTTATCTCCTCCTTGCTGCCCCTTCCCCTGATTCCCATTTGTCCTGCATCCTTTCTCTGTCTCCTGCTTTCCTCTGTCCTCTTCTGTCCCACCCCTCGGCTGTCTTTCTCACCTCTCTCCTTCCCTCTGGGCCTCCTGCAGCCCTCAGCCTGCAGGAGGATCTGAGCCCAGTTCCATTCCAGGCTGAGATAGATGCCCGGAGAGACAGCATCAGTCTGGTTCAAAGCACTGGGCAGCGCCTCCTTGCAACTGGGCACCCATCAGCTCCTGGCATTCGGCAGGCCCTGGCTGCTTTAGAACAGGAGCTGAGTGGCCTGCAAGGAGCTTGGCAGGAGCACCAGCGGCAGCTGCAGCAGGCCCTGGAGCTGCAGGTAGGTACCACCCCAGTGTCCAGCTTGTCCTCACTGTCAGGGTCTGCACTGGTCCCACAGTACTTTTGGCTTTCCAGAGCCAAAGCCAGAGGGGCTACTGAGCTAGGGCTTTCCCACCTGTCCCTGCTTAATTTGCCCACAACAGGTTTGGCTTGGCATGGACTTGATCCCTGGAGCTGGGCCCCTGGTTTCCCCATGTGGTCCCCCAAAGGGTCACCTCCCCTGAAGCAACTAGACACTCTGCTGACTTTCTTTTGCCTTATCTTTTCTCACCAGCTATTTCTGAGCTCTGTGGAGAAGGTGGAATGTTGGCTATACTGCCAGGAAGTTTCCCCAATCAGTGAGGGTGTTGGGGTAGGTGCCCAGCAGGAGTCTGAGAGGAGGTACACGAGCAGGATGGAGTCGAGCCAGCAGGGCTCCCCAGGCCAAGGGTCCCCTCCTCTTCCTCCAGCACATCAGACACTGAGCAGTTACTCACCCATCAGTGCTTCTCGTGAACCCAGGGTCATACCCTGGGGAATACCCTGAGAGCTAGAAAGTGAGCCTGTGGCCCTGTCCCCTCCTCGCCTCCCTCCCACCCACCTCATCACTGCCCTCCTCTCTTCCCACACTTTTCACTTTTTCCACCGCCTCCCAAACCCTGTGACAGACAAGTGGAACTTATAGAGACCTCAGAAAATAATTCCAGGCTGACAGAGTCTCATTGGGAGTGCAGAAGAGAGGGGGAAAGCTCTGCCTACCTGGAAATTGACTCTAGACCCAATGCCCCTGGCTGAGAAAGCTGGAAGCAGCCTTGACAGGTTCAAGAGATGGGTTTGGACAGAGCAAGTTCTTTGGTGGAAGAGGATTTAGCAGGAAGGCTCTGGAATGTGAGGAGCAGATAGCTTAGGACAGGGAGGGGACAGCCCTGTGAACACCATCTGGTTTTGCTCCCCCTAGGACTCTTTGGCCAATGTGGAGACCCTCCTATGGAAGCACAAGAGGCTTGAGCAGGGCCTGAAGGTACAGATGGAAAAGATCAGCACACTGGAGGCCACAGCCCACAGCCTACAGCAGGCTGGACAGCCAGAGGCCCAGAGTGCCCTGACCAAGTGGCAGGCCATGCTCCTGAGGTGCCTGTAGTTCTGGGGTGATGGGAATTGTGGGTGGGCTGGCATGGGCACTTGGCATCCCAGCTCTTCCCTTTCTACCCTTCTACCCTTAATTCACGCTCACCAGCCTTTTCCAAGGGCTGAGCTCAGATGCTACAGTCCCCACCCCTCCTGCCCTGCAATGTATTGGCCTGCAACGTATTGGCCTGTAATCCCACTTCCTTCTTCGTTCAGCTGAAATAAAAGGGAGCTTTTTAAATATTTTTTAAGTTGTAAATGGACACAATCCCTTTATTTATTTATTTATTTGTTTGTTTATTTTTATATGATCCTGAGGATCGAACCCAGTGCCTCACACGTGCCAGGCAAGCGCTCTTCCACTGAGCCACAGCCACAGCCCTAAAAGGGAGTTTTACTAAAAAGCACACACTCAGAAACTTAGAGGGCAAACAATCTAATGAAAGGGAAGGCACCAGAGCACAGTGCTTAAGCATTAGCCCTCTAGTGCCAGACAGCCCTGGATTCCTCTGCCACCCACTCACTACAGGTGGAACTTGAGGCAAGTTCCTCTCTGTCATAGAGGAGTCTTGAACCTACAAGGGGCTAAAATACTGTCTCCAGGGGGCTGGGGCATCTCAGTCACAGGCAGGCAGCAGATCTCTTACACTTAGGTAATTTCAGTCACAGATACACATGAGCTTCACACTTATGAGACGCCAGACTCTGCCTTCTTTCTCATGAAAGCTCATCCAGTTCCGCTGCCTCGTCCAGCTCTTGAACTTTAAGATTGAGGCAGATATGGCCAAAAGCTGGACCCCACATCAGCAAGGACCATCCTTCCCAGAGAGCCCACCAGGGCCTATTAATTTTGTGATTCCAGGCCATCTCCTTTCTTTTTTTTTTTAAATATTTTTATTTTTTAGTTCTCGGCAGACACAACATCTTTGTTGGTATGTGGTGCTGAGGATCGAACCAGGGCCGCACACATGCCAGATAAGCGCGCTACCGCTTGAGCCACATCCCCAGCCCGGCCATCTCCTTTCCATTCTTTTTTTTAACTTTATTTTTTATTAGTTCTAATCAGTTACACATGACAGCAGACAGCTTTTCGATTCATTGTACACAAATGGAGCACAACTTCTCATTTCTCTGGTTGTGCACAATGTGGAGTCGCTCCACACGAGCAGTCATACATGTACCCTCTCCATTCTTGCAGGTGGACCTCACCTGTGTGAGGAAGTGTTTGAAATGACAAATGGAAAATGTTGGTTTGCTGGTCTCCGTCACCTTGGGTGGCTCCTGGCAGGCCTGGCTGATTCTGGCACAGTGCCACCCTGTCCCCTCCGGGGTTTCTGCCACCCTCAGGAGGAGGTTTCCCTTCAGTTAGGCCCATCTATGCCTCCACCACCCACCATAGCCTCTGGCAGTGGGGTTCACACTCTCACTAGTGTGGGGAACTCAGGTGGGGAAGTGTACAGCGTCTACAGGGGTGAAGGGATATGAGAACCTCTTTTTCTATATCTCTTGTAGGTCTCATTTACAATCTTTATTTTCATGTATGTGGCAATGTACTTAATACAGTGGTACAGAAGCACATATATAAAATGCATAAATTGGTGTATAACATATATACCTATATTACATTTCAAGTGTTAAATTGTCATAATCATAAATTATGTTAAATATTATCTATCTTTATCTATCTACATTTGGAGTGCCTGCTTAAAATATTCTTACTACTAATAATGCATAATTAAAAAGTGGCTTAGATACTGTATAAGTCTGTTTGGACTGCTATAACAAAATGCCACAGGCTGGGTAGTATAAACAATAGAAACTTGTTTATTCATAATTCTAGAAGCTAGAGGTCCAAGATCAAGTTGTCAGTAGGGTCGGTTTCTTGGCCTCTCTCCTTGGCTTATAGGTGGCCATCTTCCCTCTGGACTCACATGGTCTCCTTCCTCTCTGGGTGTTTCTGTGACCTCATTAAGAATACTTATTTTATCAGATTAGGCCCACCCCTATGACTTCATTTGAACTTGGTTATCTCTTCAAAGACCTTATCTTCAAATACAGTCCCATTCTGAATTTCCAGGAGCTAGAATTTCAACGTAGGGGATATAGCTCAGCTCACAAAAAACACTAATATAGAGGGGATGTTTCTGGATTTCAAAGGAAACCTGATTCAGGACTGTGATGCCAAGAAAAGATGTTCTAGGCTATGTGCACATGTTACACACGCATATACACACCTGTAGCAGCTCCAAGTCCTGATGGGTGAGACTGGGGGCCTATGAGACCCTCCTTCTGCAGGAAAGAAGCACTGGTGGAGCGAGTAAGGACCCGGGGTCGTCAGCTGGAGGAGTTGCAGCAGCTGCAAACCTTTCTGCAGGATTCGCTCGAGGTTCTCCTTTCTTGGAGCAGGAATGGTTGTGGGTGGGGGAAGGAGATGCCCCAGGGAAAGGTCACCCTTCTTCCAGGGCACCCCAGAAGTTAGGAAGGGAGGAGAGTCCAAGGCCGCAGAACCTGGTCCTCCCCATGCACCTAGCTGGCCACGTGGCTGAGGGAGAAGAACCTGGTGGCTTTGGAAGAAGGTTGGCAGGACCCAGCCAAGCTGCAAGCACAGTTATGGAAGCAGCAGCATTTCCAGGCTGAGCTGGATGCGAGTGTTCCCCAGCAACAGGAGCTGCAGAAGGTGAGACACCATGGGGCTGAGGGGGCCACAGACTGCCCCTCAGAGCCTGGAAGCTGGTCTGGAACCATGGTTGTGACAGCTGATGTTCATCAAGTGCTTTCCTTGTGCTAGTGCCTCGCACTGACATGTAGTGGCATGCACCGGCATGCAGCAGGTTCTTCCTCCGGGTTCCCTCTCCAAAAGTGGTGACTTTTCAATAATCTTAAAGGTAACATTTTGACATGTTAAGTGCAGTTAAGTGCAGATAAGCAGTTATGTAGGTAGAGGCAGCAAGACATAACACCTTTAAAAACATTTCCTTTTCTACCTACAAAGGCAGGTCTCGACTCCAGGCTGACATAAAGTGACCTACTAAGTATTTCACACACTCTATCTCAATTAAACAAATTACTATTATTATCTTCACTATATGGATGAGGAACATATGGCTCAGAGAGGCTGAGAAACTTGCCCAAGATCACATAGCTGTGGGGCTGGTCATTGAAGCCAATACAAGGGCCATGGTACCAGCAGTCCTGAGTCTGTGAGGTATATGTCATGTTGTGAATGCAGGAGGGGCAGAGACTGCTTCATGGGGGCCACCCAGCCTCAGAGACCATTCAAGAGCAGCTGCAGGAACTGGAAGAGCTCTGGGCTGAGCTGCAGGCCAACTGCCAGAGGAAAGTCACCAAGCTGCAGAAGGCCTGTGAGGTAAGGTTGTGACATGCTATGGAGCAGTTGGGTGGGCTATGGCCTCCCCCTTATACCTTGTCATTTCTGCCCCAGGTCCTACATCTACAGCAGAGTGTAGAGGAGCTGGAGAGCGGGCTGGAGCCCATTGAGGGCCAGCTGAAAGCCCCTTTCACAGGCCAGAACCTACCTGGGGTAGGCAAGCTCCTGGGGGCACAGGGGGAACTGGAAGTAGCCCTGGACATGCAGACCAGGCAGGCAGAGGTCCTACTGGGTCAGGCCCAGACCTTCAAGCGGGATGGCTACTGCCTCACCAAAGATGTGGAAGAGCAGGCCCAACAGCTGCTTCAGAGGTAGATAAGCATGTTTCTTCCTCTTCCTCCGTTCCCTAGAGGGACACCCGCCCCTCTTCCCAGCTCATGTCTTCTCATTTTTTCCCCTAGTCCATGATGAGGGTCACAGAAGGGGGTAAATTCTACGTCATAGTCCAGGCTCAGTTCTGATGACTTGTTCCTCTCCTGCTTCTGCCCTCCCCTGCTGCAGGTTGCAGAGTCTTCAAGAGCCCCTGCAGGAGCGCAGGGCAGCCCTGGAGGCCCAGAGCCTCCTCTTGAAGTTCTTCAGAGATGTTGATGAGGAGATGGCCTGGGTGCAGGAAAAGCTGCCCTTGGCCACTGCCCAGGATTATGGCCAGAGCCTGAGTGCTGTGCGGCACCTGCAGGAGAAGCACCAGGTGCTGGCTCATGCTGGGAGGTGCTGCCTTCAAAAGTGGGAAGGGTTCACAGATAAGGAACATGCATTATGGTCCAACTAGGCTCTCCCTGCTTTGGAGGGCACCATGGATTCTTTGTGTACTTGGGACAGGGGAACAAGTCTGTGGGGTGCCATGAAGCTTCAGGCACAACCCTTGAGGCACCCCAAGTGTCAGAGCATCCCTGTTTTTATTTTATTTTTCCTCCTCCACAGAACTTGGAGAATGAAATGAGCAGCCACAAGGCTCTGACCCAGGTGGTGGTAGGCACAGGGCGTAAGCTGGTGCAGGCTGGGCACTTTGCTGCCCATGAGGTGGCCGCCCGGGTGCAGCAGCTGGAGGCAGCCTTGGACCAACTACAAGCAGAGATGGCTCGGAGGAGACTGCTGTTGCAGCAGGCCCAGGAGGCCCAGCAGCTTCTGATGGAGGTGAGAAGATGGAGCACAGCTGGGGAGGGCTGGACCTGAGAATCACCTGCAAGGGCCAAGTGCTGTGCATCTTCTCTCTCCCCCACTAAGAGGTTTCACGTCCCAAGTTCTTTCATCTGCCTGTTCCCCAGAAAACAGGCCACTGGATTGTTTGCTTTGTTTCACTGTTTCTTCTAAACCAGTGGTTCTCAGCCAGGGCTTTGCATCAGAATCACCTGGAGACTTCATCTTGTGATTCTCCCTAAATTACCTCACAATGGTGAATACATTTGTATAAGAAGAGAAATTAGATGAAGTAATAAGAAGTAAAAAGGAAAAACATGGAAAGGAATATTGACTAAAATCTTGTTCTAATATCATGTGGCAAAACCAAAATCTATGCCTGAGAATCTAGAATAAAGTGTCTTTACTTTGTGTGAAAAAAAGAATCACCTGGAACCTTCAGGAAACATTGATCTCTAGGAGTGGCAGTGTTCCCTATAGTCCCAGCTGCTCAGGAGGCCAAGATGGAGGGGAGGGTCAATCACTTGAGCCCAGGAGTTCAAGACCAGCCTGGACCACATAGTGAAATCCAGTCTCAAAAGAAAACAAAAGAAAAAGACACACTGATGCTCAGACTTCATCCAAACCTGTTGAGAATCTGCCAGGGTGGGGCGCAGGCTTAGGGAGTTGGTGAGGACCTCGACCAGGGGATTCCAGCTGACAACTACAGCTCTAAATCTCAAGGCCACAAATCACAGGCTGGAGTCCCAGGGTCTTCATCCAGGGAAAAAATGATCTGTTGTCACCCCAGCTCCTGGAAGCAGGATCCTGGCTGGCTGAACGGGGCCATGTCCTTGACAGTGAGGACATGGGCCAGAGTGCTGAGGCCACACAGGCCCTTCTGCGTCAGCTGGAGGCCACCAAGAGAGACCTGGAGGGATTCAGTCAACGCATGAAGCAGCTGCAGCGGTCAGCAGCCCTTCTGGACAGCAGGCAGAACCCAGACAGGTGGGCCACAGCCACACCTTCCTGGGAGGAGAAGGGTGCCCCCCACAGAGGTGGCTGAGGCTGGCTACTCCAGCCTGCAGAAGGGTGCCAGTCCTAACTGTCCTTCCTGCTGTAGCCCCAAGGTGCTGGCTCAGCTGCAAGCTGTGAGCAAGGCCCACGTGCAGCTGCTCCGGAGGTTGGAGGGCAGGGGGCAGGGCCTGCAGGAGCAGCTACAGCTCCACCAACTGGAGCAAGAGACCCTGCTCCTCGATGCCTGGCTGACCACAAGGGTGGCCATCGCTGAGTCCCAGGACTATGGGCAGGACCTGGAGAGTGTCAAGGTGGGTCAGTCCTGGGCAAACCTGGGGGACAGTGAATTCAGGCTGAGAAAGAGTGAGGAAGGCCTATGTTTGAGGATGAGAGGGATGCTGTGGGGGTGCAGCAAGGAAATGGGAAGGGGCATCTTTAGGAGGATCCCTGTGGTTCTAGAACCAGGGCCAACAGATTATGTAGCCATTGGATCCTGCCAAGCTCTTCATGAGCTCCACAGGCTTCTAGACACTACCTTCAGAGTGACACTACCTGGTTCCACAAACTTGCAGGTGCTGGAAGAGAAGTTTGATGCTTTCAGGAGGGAAATCCAGAGCCTGGGGCAGGTCAAAGTGCAGGCCCTGAAGGATCTGGCAAGGCCCCTGGAGAAAGGAGCACCTAGGTACTATCCCCAGATTCAAGCCCAGAAGAGCCGCATTGAGGCCACTTGGGAGAGGCTGGACAGGACAATCAAAGTGCGTACAGAGGTAGGCACCCACAGACCAGGGTGGACAGGGTAGCCAAGGGGCTGGCCCATCCTGTTCACTGCCAGGACCAGAAACAAGCAGCCCTATCAGCTGTGGAGTGTGTGCATGCGTGCACTGGTCTAATTCCCAAAGACAAGCAGGTGGGGGGCCTCAGTCCCCCCATCTAGCTCTCTCCACTGATCTGGCTTCCTCCTAGTACCATCGACAGCTTCAAGAAGCAGCAGGTAGTGTGTCTGGCTAGCTTCTAAATCCATTGAAGCCTTTCCCTTTCCCAAGCATGGGCTCCAGTTCTAATAAGACAAACCTTGTCCCTTCTCTTCTTCAACAGTCTCACACTTAACTCCATGTGCTCTCTCCTCTTGCAGTGCCAAGTTCTCCCCCTTCTCCCTCACCCACTCCCCAAATCTAAATGCTCTGAGTGGGTTTGTTCACTAAGGAAATCCGTTTTCTTCCAGAACCTTAGCTCTTGACCATAGCTGCTGGTTTCTGAGAGCAGTCCAGCTCATTGAGCCCTTGACTGACCCCACAGCCCAAGGATCCTGGCCTGGGGCAGTCAGCTCCAAAGCTAACCCACTCCTCCTGTCCTGGCCCCAGCAGAAATGCTACAGCTGTGGCCTGCCCAGACCCTCCCACAGACCAGCCTGCTCTTTACATGAATGGATGTGTCCTCAAGCACTCCAGGGCCACACTTCCATGAGATGAGTACTGAAAGCTCCTTCTCAACCCCAGTAACATCACATTCATTGTGTAGCTGCCACGTCTAGGACATTTCCTGGGGGTCATGGATGAGTCACTACATCCTCATTCAAAAGGAGGTAGCTGAAGAGGCCATGTCTCAGGGAGAAGGGACCCTGGGAACAGAATGCAGCCCTAGCAGGGCCTCCTTTCTCTCCCAGAACTTGGTTGCAGCCAGAGAGGTCCGTGGCTTAGAGAAGGCAGTTACAGAGCTTCAGGGCTGGATGCAGGAGAAAACTGCCCTGATTGAGGGAAAGATCCATAGCCACTGCCTGTCATCTGTGCAGTCCTTGCAGCCCCAGCACAGGGGCCTGCAGGTGAGGACCTTGCCCAAGGCCTGCCCATCTGAACACCTCCCAGAGGCCAGAAGTGTATCTGTCCATCTCAGCCCCTTCCCAGAAGTCCACAGGAGTCCTCTCCACCCAGGGATTCTATTTGGGCCTTCCCCCTCAGGGCCCTGGAACTTGGCCCAGATTATAGAGCAGAATGTAGGGTGCTCCTTAGAGAGACCTGGGCTTCTGAATGGGGAGCATGCATGAATGGGGGTACAAAGGGGAGACTGTGGGCTGATCTTGTGTTCTGGTTGCAGAGAGAACTGGCGGCTATCAAAAAGGAGTTGGCACGGGTACAGATGGAAACCTGCAGACTGGGCCAGTGGCACCCTGAGGCTCAAGAGGGCCTGGCCACGCAGCTGGCCAAGGTGCAGAAGGCCTGGGCCACCCTGGAGGCGAAGGCGCAGGAGTGGGACCAGCAGCTGGCACAGGCTGCCCAAGGCCATGCCTTCCTTGGGCACTGCCGGGAATTACTGTAGGTGGTCTTCTGCCTTGGCAGTTGGTTCAGCTTTGCCTTGAGGGATGGCAGTCATCCTGGATTTGGGGGAGCAGAACTGTCTCTGCCCTTGTCCCCCAGGCTGTCCTGCCAACTCTGGTAGCAGCTTTCTTTCCCTGCAGAGCATGGGCTCAGGAGAGGAAGGTGCTGGTGTCTTCCCAGGAGCTGGCTGGGGACATGGTGGGGACTGAGCAGCTTCTTGGGCAGCATGAGGAGCTGCAGCAAGAAATCCAGGAGCATTGCCTTCAAGCCCGGGACATACAAAAGGAAGGACAGAAAATGGTGGAAAATGGCCACTTTATGTCCCTGGAGGTGTGAGCATAGAGGGTGGGATGAGCCCAACTTCCCAATGCCTTGGAACCTGAGCAGGTGTGAAAACCAGCAGTACAGGAAGGCCGGGGAGGGACAGAGCGGCCACAATGGGGAAGGTCCCTCTGGTTTCAATTTGGTTCTCCTGCCCTTCCTGGAGTGGGAGTGCCACGAGTGCCTAGCTCTCATTGCAGCTGTCCTTCCCTTTCAGGTGGCAGAGTATCTGCAGGACCTGCATTGGCAGCTGCAGGAGCTCCAGGAAGAGTGGACCGTGTGCCAGCAACGCCTCAAACAGACCTGGGATCTGCAGAAGCTGAGGCAGGGTGTGGAGCAGGCAGATGCCTGGCTGGCTTCCAGGGAGGGCCTCTTGCTGGAGCCCAGTTTTGGGGTGAGTGGATACTACCCAGAGCCAGATGTCCTCTGGCAACCATGGCCCAGGACAGACCCTACTGCTGTTCCACTCATTGGTCACCCAGGCTGGGTTGCGGAGGGTGAGGGAAGGCTCTCAGCACCCAAGAAACTGGACCTTACCCTGACTCACTTCTCTCTAGCACTCAGTGTCAGATGTAGAGCTGCTGCTCCACAGACACAAGGATTTAGAAAAGCTGCTGGCAGTTCAGAAGGAGAAGTTTGCCCAGCTGCAGAAGATGACAGAGGTGCGGGGACGCTGGGGCAAGGGGCAAGCAAAGGCTTTGTACACCTGGAGAACAGAGCCTGAGGGTAGTGCATGGGGAGAGTCTCTAAGCCTGAAAGTCAGGGCTCCCCTCACCACCAGCATCTCCCTGGAGCATATGGCCAGACAGCAGGAGCCCAGGAACTCAAGGTGGTAAGGACCCATCCCCTGGAACAATCAGCAGGAGCTGGCACACTGTCCATAGAGTTGAGGGACATTAGAAATAAAAAAGTAGAGTAGGAGCAGGTTAGGAGGACCTTCCAGAAAAGGATCATTGTGCTGATCCCATCTTTTCAGGAGACAAAGAGTACCCCTGCCATGAAGGGGTCTCTCGAGCTTAAGCAGCAGCTCCTGCCTGGGGGGAAGGTGGTAAGTGCCAGAAAATTCCCCATGCAATCCCCCTTTGCAAAACCACTCTGGCTCAGAAGTGCCACCTGGGGCTTGGCTTTTGGATTTGGATAGAGCAACTGAGTCCCTGCTCTCAGGTACTTCACAGCCTCTGTCCCACCCAGAAGGGGTAGGGCTGCTCCTCTCTTCCTACTTTTCTTGGTTTCCTTGTTAGAGTCCCTCCTGGTTCTAATGACCTTGGTGCAGCCCAGGACTTCCCCTGGGGGGCTCTGGATGAATGATGGGGCCAAACCTGGCTGTTGCCTCCCCTTTATGTGCTACCTCACCACCTCTCTCCACAGCATGATGCCAGCTCCTGGGACAGTTGCTATGGGGCCTTGGAAGGCAGCTCTCTAAGGTTATTCTTGGATGAGAGGATGGCAGTGGAGGTACCAGACAGCAAAGGGAGCAAGAAATGGAATTTGGGGGCTGGAGACAAGGCTAAGGGGTCAGAGGACAGAAAGAAATCCATAGGGAAAAGCGTAGATGTCCACAGTTACCCTGTACCTAATTTCTCCTCAGAAAGTGGCTTCCACTGTCCCTCTGGACCTTGAGGGAGCCCAGTGTGAGAAGATGAAGGACCACCAGGGCAGGAAGCACGTGTTCTCCTTAAGGTGAGACTGACTCCACCTGCAGCCATAAAGCTGAGGGGCTGGAGGCACTGGTTGAGTTTGACCCATGGCTGCTTGGGTGCCAGGCTGAGCAACGGGGAAGAGATCCTGTTTGCAGCACCATCTGAAGAGCAGGCTGAGTGCTGGCGGCAAGCCCTGGGCAGTGCAGCAGGTAGGCTTATGGAGAAGGATTGGTGATGGCAGGGGCAGGGTATTGATTCCCTGGGTCCTAAACTCCCAGTTCAACTGGCACTGGGAAATTTCACATCAAGTATTTCTAACCCCTGAGAAATACCTGGGACTTATTTTCTTTCCTCAAAGAATTCAAGGCCCAGAGATGTTAAGTAACTTGTTTAAAGTTACGAGGCTATTTGGCAGGAGGTGGAGCCTGTCTGACCCCCAGCTGCCTCATAGTCCTGTTCCGCCCCCTTTGTAGTCTACCACTTTTGAAACCCACACCCAAGCCCTTCCTGCCAGGATCCTTGTGGATTCTGTTCTGTCAAGGATATTACAGGTTCTGCTTTATCTGCTCCTAAGGGATTTCTCTAATCCTCAGACACCTCTGAATGCTACCTCCTTGAGGTGTCTTGTGAACAGTGATCAAGCCCGGTTCTACCACCAGGAGGAACACCAGAAAGCACCCCCTTCAACCATTTTAGCCTTTGTTGGGTTGTAGCAAGGCTCTGTGTTGACAGTGTGATCAGGGAATGTCCTGGCTCCATTCCTCAGTTTCCCCTGGGCTCTATCTTTGTGGACCTCTTCCCACAATTCCCAAAAGACCTGAAGTTTCTTCAGTTTTCAGCACCTCCCACTCATCCAGGCTGCACCTCTCCTGGCTGTGTTGAGTGTCCAGGAGACAGGATGCCCTGGGGAAACTGCTCACCCTCACTGTCCATGTGGGATGCTCAGTAGAGCAGGGCAAAACCTCCAGGGGCAGGAGGAAGGAGCAGCAGGGGAGTTGGCTGCCTGGGATGGCTTGGGTCTGGGCCAGGGTAACTGTCCTTTTTCCCTCGCTCTACAGCCCAGAATCTAAGCCTGGAACCCAAGGCCAGACTCCTGGCAGAGAATACAGCTGCTTTGCTCAGGTGGGATGCTTGAGTAGGTGAGGGGGGGGCAGGGATTCTGAGCTTCAGTGACTGGCACCAAGGCTATTCTCACACCCAAGGTCCTGGAACTCTGACCTGTTCTGCTGGGGTATGGGGGGTCCCTTGCCTTTGAGACCCTTCAGCTACCCCTGGGAAATAGGAAGCCCTACACCCCTACTCTGGGTGCAAACCCCATTCACAGTTGTGATGGCAGAGCCCAGGCTACAAGGTTCTATTTCCCCACAGATATGACTATCACCTCCCAGAACCTCACTCCACTTTGGCTCTGCCTGCCCCATCCTCCACATTGGGCCAGACCCAGCAGATGGCCAGCTCTGCCACAGAGGCTGTATAAGACCTTTCCTGCTCCAGCCAGCCCCAAGGGAGGAGGTATCCCAGGCTTCCCTTGCACATTGCTAGAAAGCTCCCCTTCTTTCCTCTTCAAACAATGGTGTTCATTTGCAGCATAGCCAAACCATCTGCCCTTGCTCATACCCTGCTCTATCTCCATCCTCTCCGACTTCCCAGCCCTGCTCCTGAGGGACAAAGGGCCAAGATGTCAGCATGTCCCTGAGATTACAGACCAAGGGCAAGAAATGCAAAGGCTAGGAGAGCATGGCAGGTTGAGGCAGAGAAACACACGACTCTTTTTTGAAGGTCCTCAGCCTCCTATAGATCCTAGCATAATTCTGATATTTAACTACCTTACCCACATCTTTCCCACCTCCAAACCAGTGGAGAGGACACTTGAGTTGGGAGATCATGGGAGAGAGATTGGAGACAGACAGTGTGAAATCCTCCATACAGGGGACCCTAGGCCCAGTATCAGTCTGTATGTCACATACAACCATGAGCCCTATAACAGGAAGCAGCTGGCTATGGTCTCTGGTGTAATTATCCACTCGTACTCCTGCAGAGCCCATGGGTTCCAAGTTTAGGTGATGTGTTGCTGAAGGAACTTGTCCTAGACACAGTGAATTCTGGGACTACCAGGATAGCCATTTTTTTTCTGCTCTGTGACTCCAGACACATGCCTAGAGAAGGATCTGAGAGTCACTTGGTCAGGTCTGGCAGCTATAGCAAGTTGAATCATGAGAATCAAGGAAATTACCTCCCATTCTTTCTACAAAACTGTTGTTGCCTGTCAGCTTCTGGAAACAGCTTCTAGAAGGAGTGTTCCAAGAGAGGCCAGAGAGCTTGATGACTGCTCAGGGAAGATTCTGGGATGGCCAGTTCCTATCTATCTCTCTCTCTTCTTTCAACAGGCCTGGGCCTTGAAGTGAACCCCAGGGCAATACCAAACCTCCAGGTGCCACGTGAAGACTCTATCTGGGGAACCAGTGACAACTATCAGCACAAGGACATCCCTACCCTGGCTGCTTCTGGGATAGACAGTTCCTGTTAGATGTATCCCATCATGATCACAAGCTGCTAGTTATCTCACTGTTACTAGTCTCTTTCTTTGGTTCATCTGATCCCAAGTCTGGCAACCCCTACCATGTGGCAAGAAACGGCCCCTTAACTGGACTGTGGCCTCACCCCAAGATCCCTGCATGGGTAAAGAGGACAGCCTGTGAGTCTGCTAACCTAGGCAAGGCCAGGGCTACAGCATTAGTGACCCCTGGACTCCACTGGTCTCCACTCTGCTTAGAAAGGGTGACCCAAGCATATGCCCTGCTCCTTGAGGGGAATCTGCACTGATGAGCTCACTACACCAGGTACCTGGGGAGATGATGTGTCAATTTGCTTTTTAAGTCAGTCCTGACCATATGCAACTAAGAGCCTGGGATGACAGATAATTTCAGACAGTACTTCCTATTTGCAAGAGCTGCTGTAATACATAAAGTGCTCCACTTTACTCTGTCCATTTGGCCACTTTATCCCCATCTCTACCCATTGCTGTCATGGAAATGTTGAGCCCCAAATCCCATCCCCCTTTGTAAAGAAGGTAGTCCTGGTCCTCTCCATGTGGAGACTGGTCCTAACTACAGCTATAATGATCTGGGCCCCTCACTCCCAGCCTTCTGAAGGAGGAAGGGAGTCCAGCCTCTCTGCTTACAGGCTTCAGCCTGGATGCTGTGGATAGAGTCATTGCTGGCTTCATTGCCACCTCTAGATGATCCTCAGAATACACCTTGGTTGAGCTATGCATGGACATCAGAGCTCCAGAACATTTGGTGATGCTCAAAGAGTCAAAGCTGGCAGGCACCAGGTGGGAGCCCAGCCAGTGCACCTCCCTGGTATCACTCAGGTCTGTGTTGCTGCTTCTGTCTCCGCCGATGCACGGCCTGGTGCAGGGCCTCCAGCAGCCGCTCCTGGTTGTTGCAGATATTGTAATGTGTCAGGTGAAGCAGCTTGTCTGTGTCCTCTGGGCTGTAGGTCACTTTTGTGTAGTGGTATGGGGAGTCAGAAGGAGAGAGGTTGACCTCCCCAGCTGCCTTCTCTGCAGGTGTCCGCCGCACCCCTGGGGAGAGAGTACAGCCTAGCCAGGGAGGGAAAGGGCTCTGGAGAGGTAGGTCTAGGGTCACTTGAAGAGAGACAGGAAGGATGCAGGTAGAGCGTGGCTTACCAGGGGCTGAGTATTCCTGGAAGGAGTCATTGACCAGAGGGAAGTGCAGCACAGCAGGGGCTTCAGGCTGGGCAGGGTCAGAGAAGGCATGGCACTCCTGAGGCTGGTGCTGTTCTTCTGGACTGGGTGTGATGGGTGGGAATGGGATCCCCTGCTTCTGGCAGAACCGGCCCAAGAGTTGCAGCTGCTGTAGGGCAGGTAGAAGGCATCAGAAGAAGCAAGTTCTCCACAGTGGGGAGTTAATAGTCTGTGTTCCATTCCACATGGTGTCACTGCCATGCCTCCTAAGGGAAGCTGGGCCAGACATTTACTGAACTCCAAAGCAGATCTTGCCAGGGGCCAAGACAGGCCCAACTGGAATTGGCCCACTACTTCCCACTCCTGCCCCAACCTTCCAGTCCTGTAAGAAGTCCCACCCACCCCACTCCCAACCTGAAAAGCTCCATGGAGATTGTAGTCCAGTGACAGGATGAGGTCCACATCCCGGGTGGGCTGCAGGAGGGGTGGGCAGCTAGTATTGACAAAGTAGCCGACATCCAGCAGGCAAAGGTGGGGTTCCATGGGCGTCAGCTGATTGGGGAGCCCATCCAGTTTGGTAGCTGCAAAAGTGTGGGGATGGGGCAGGAGAAGTAGCAGCAGTCACTGACTCTGAGGGCTCCTCAGGGCTGACAACAAGTCTTGACACTGGTAAGAGGAGAGACTGTGTCCCTGGGCCCCTGCTCTCCTGCTAAAGAAGCACCCCCACAACCTGAAAGCTCCAACCCAAGGAGAGAAGAAAGGAGTCCCTGCACCCCACAGCCAGGGCACTGGTCTCAAAGGGTGTGGTGCCAAGGAGAAAGAAAGGCGAGAGTACAGTGGGTGCCGCAGGGCTCAGGCTTGATGGCTAAGACCAGGGCAAAGAAGCGGATACCTTTCCAGGTAGAGAAGTGAGGATGATGGAAATAGTCCTTGTGGAAATGGAGGCCACGCAGGAAATTATGAGTGGCCTGGGCAAGTGGGCGCCTCGTCAGAAGGTCAGTGAAAAACTCAGCAATCCTGCCAGCTCTTGTGGGTGGTTCTTCTATCTTCAGATGGGGCACCTGCTCCTTGTCTATACAGGCAGGGGTGGGAGGAACCTTTATCCCAGCCCCTGTGATGACCCTGGAGGGAAACAGTTGAGGCCCCCAAAGACCCAAGAGCCACCTCCACCATACCCCAAACATTTCCCCAACTGGCTGCCCCTTTGCATCCCATAAAGGAACCCAAGCACCTACCCAGGCTGGCCTGATCCTGGGCCCAGCGGTCCCAGAACTGGCTGGGCTCTGAGGCCCAGTACAAACTGTCCTGGAGGCTGGCTGCATACAGATTGCTCCAGATACCTGAGAGAGGGACATGAAGGGAAGAGTCCCCTATCCCCATCACAATCCTCATGGCCCCTCCTAGACCAGGAAACTTCCCAGTGACTAAGCTGGCCAGGCTGAAGACCCACTCTCCCCACTCCACCCAGTTCTCCAGCCTGGGTGGAGAAGATGTTGCTCACCTTCCAGGTAGCAGATGCGGGACTCTGGGAGCTTCTTCACCAGCTGCCCCATGAAGAATTCAGAGCCGAAGAGCTCAGAGGGGATGAAGGCCCCATACTTGGGGAAGCCAACCTCATAGGGGGAGAACTCGCACCACTCTGTGAGGAGGCCATACACTCAGCCATGGGGCATGGGACCTTCAGACACCCATACATCCACTATGGATTTCACTTGAGGACAGCCTGGTGACTAGGAGGCTCAGACCTTGTTGCTGTGACTTTAAGTGCACAACCTAAGGCCCTTGCTTCATCCAAAGGCCTGGTAAGATGACAGTCTCTGGGAAATGGCCAGCAGATGTGGGTGTAAGATCCACCCCTTATAGGCCAGGTTATCCCTTATCCCACCATCCATAAGAGCATATATCTCAGCTCTGAGGCCACTCACCGGCAAATTCAAAGGTTGTCAGATTCTGCTCCTTAGTGTTGAGGGCACAGTAGATGGGCAAAGGATTCTGGCCACGACTCAGGGCTTCCCTTTGATCTGAGAGTCTGTGGTCACAAGGCTGGGGAAAGATGATCAGCACTAAGCCTATAGCTCCCTGGTGCCTGGAGCCCTTCCCACCCTTTACCAGGGGACAGGCTCAAGTTCTGAACCCTGCCCTGGCTTTGCACCCCATCCAGGGTCTACCCCCAACACCTCATCATGCAGCAGCGCCTCATTAATGAGGGCCCATAGGTTGGTGAAGCAGGTTGGGTGACCCAGGCGGGCACGCTCGGCCAGCTCCTGCCGATACCACTGCAGCCGGCTGGGAGCCAGCACACCCAGCTTGCTCTTCGTCACTTGGGTCTTCAGCAACTCGGTGGGCCCTGCCAGGTCCTTCTGAGACCATTCTGGGTCCTCATAGAGGTTGGCCAAGGCCCTGAGAAAAGTCAAAGACCAGGGGAGGGGGGATGTCACTTAAGGATCCCATCCAGACTTCACATGCCTTAAACTTTCTCTTCTAGGACAACAGGTACCTCTGGCAGGCACCTTTGAGAGAGCCTGGGAGCATATTTCTCCCTAGCACATGCGTTTTCCCAGCCCTTCCAGTTTGCTCAGAGCCTCTGGGTCCTAGGATCACCTTACCACCTGCACTCCCTCCCACAATACAACCAGCCACACATGGGCTACAGCACTCAACTTGCTACCAGCTCACCAGGTGGAGCCTGAGGCCCCTGTGATGTAAGAGACGCAATCCAAGAGGCCCAGCTCCTTCAGGGCAGCCAGCTGCCCATATAGGGAAGTCATTGCCCGGATCCCTCCGCCAGTGGCCATAACAGCTACCACTGGGATCTAGAAGAGAGGACAGTCAGGCTTGGAAAGGCCTGAGGGATGGAAAAAGCCATGCAAGAAAACATGTCAAGGGGCTGGGGATGTGGCTCAAGTGGGAGCGTGCTCGCCTGGCATGTGTGAGGCACTGGGTTTGATCCTCAACACCTCATAAAAAAATAAAGATACTGTGTCCACCTAAAACTAAAAAATAAATATTAAAAAGAAAAAAGAAAACAGATCAAGGAGTCATTCAGCTTGCTTCACAACTAAGACCAGTCAATATGTGACAGGGGGACTTGGGCCAGCTCTGATTCAGAGAGGGCCTCCTGAGGGCTGAGCTTCTCCAGTTATGAGGGGTCGGGGCCTGACAGATGCTAGGCCTCATTTCTCCCCCAGCCCCTAAGTTTCTGGGATCACTTTCTGGAAGCCTCAATACAAACTCCAAAGCCTCCCTCTATTTGCTAGATGTCATTCCCCCACTAGATGACCCAGACCCATGGGACTACCCATGCCAGGAGGCCATCCTTATATTAGCTATCTTGTCACTAATCAGTTAGATGGGACCTATTCCAAAAACCTGGACCAGGGTAAAGACCAAGAAATGAAGAGAAGGAAAGCCAGCCCATGCAAAACACTGCACTTACAGCCCCTGACTACATCAAGCAAGAGGAAACAGGGCAGGGTAGGTGGCAGCCACAGATGTAGGTTGGCACCAGCTCTGGGCTCCTTATAAACAACCAATCTGTGTTCAACCCAGGGCCCAAGCAAGCCCAGGGCTGCCCCAACCAAATCTTGCTCAGACCCATACCTCATCCTCATGCAGGTCTCTGTCCAGCTGCAGGGCCTGCTTCAGGGCCCCAGCTACCACCTGCTTCCTCCTGTTCAAGAAGGCCTGCTCCTCTGCACAGGGCCTGCAGCCCAGACGCACGGCCAGCTCTTGTGGGCTGAAAGAGGAGGAAAAGTCTGTGAGGCAGCTCCCAACCACACCAGAAAAAGGGAATGCTGGGCTTGCCTCAACATAGCCACTAAACTCTCAAGATTCCCCGTTCCTCAATGCACACCACCACTCCTATGTGCTCAGAAGCCTGACATTGTGAAGTGTGACAGGGAGTTGAGGAGCCCAGACCCACACATGGACACTCACATGAGCCTGGGAATACAGAGACTGAAGGGGCCACTCAGGCCCCCGATGCAGGGAATCTCACTTCCAAGGCTCATCTTCTCTCTATTACCCACCAATTTAAAAAATGACAATAGAGGGGGCATGAAAGAAGGTCCAATGCCCTCCTCCTCTCATGGTGAGAAGTTACTTCCCAAGACAGAGAGAGCTGATGGCAACTCCTCCTAAGAAGGCATTTAAGGGGCTGGGGTTGTGGCTCAGTGGTAGAGCGCTTGGCTAGCACATGTGAGGCACTGAGTTCAATCCTCAGCACTACATAAAAACAAATAAGTAAAATAAAGTTATTGTATCCATCTATAACTGAAAATATTTTTCAAGGAAGTTTTAAAAAAAACATTTTAAATTAAAAAAAAAAAAAAGAAGGCATTTAAGGTCCATCCACAATGGCTCCCACTCAAACAGCACAACTTCCTGTTTCATTTTCATTGCCTTCTCTGTGCCTCAAGCCCTGCTACTATCCTCACCTCCCCACCTGTTTTTTTAGCCAAACATTTATTTATCCAGGGCCCAGTGTCAGGCACTGGCACCCCTCAAACTAGAGTAGAAACAAATGTAAAAACAGTTAAGAAAATAAGCTTTTTGAGGCTTCCTCTGGCACTTTGTGCTCTATCTGTGAAGGAAGCCGTGCCGAGAGGTGCAACTTTGCTGCAAGCTCCCCACCTCTCCCTGTCGCTCCTGCAGGCCAAAGGCCCAACCTTCACCACCCCTACCTGGTTGCTTTCCCAAGCCCCAGCCAGGCCTCTCACCCTTCTTCTTTCTTCAGTTCCACCCTCAGTAAGGGTTCCTGGAAACCATGAAAACCCCATCACAAAGGTTGGCCACCTCTGTTCGGCCCTTCCTCTCACCGGGCCCTAGATAGCCCCATACACCCTCAGGCCCCCAACCAACTCCATAGGAGCCACCCTCTTACCCAAAGCCTGGCCCTAGCACTTGTTCAGGGCACAGCCTGAGGAGAAAAGTAGCTACAGAAGCAGGCCTCTCCCTTTAAGGAAAGGGCTGGGGTCAGTGCCAGCCCAGTCTATACCTTGAGCTTTCCTTCTCTGGGTGACCAGTACCTGTGATGTGGGAAAGATGAGTCTCACCAACTGGTCAGTGGGCAGGGTCTGTAGTGGCACCTTCAGTTGTTCCTGAGGGTCATTCTGTTGGGGAACAGAGAAAACCCATGAATCCTTATACCCTCCCTGTCAGCAAGAACCCCACCAACTCCCCTTGGCAGCGAAAAAGGAACAGGAGGGAGGGGAACAGGAACCCCATACACTCTACCCAGGGGGCTGCCTGCCTCTGTCAGGGAGAAGGGTAAAGGAAGTGGGGTACAGGCAAGCAGAGGTCAGGCTGGGAGGAGGTGCAGAGGGCGTGAGGGTGGCCTTGGGGACCCAGCTCCTGGGAATGAGGCCATTACCTGTAGATGGATGTTCAGTTCCTGCTCCCAGCAGGCTGGGAAATGGAAACAGAAAGAGCCAGTGCCCACAGAGGCCTCCTGAAGACCCTCACAGGCCCCTGGAACTACAAGCTGAACTCTGGTCTCTGACCCTGGAAACAGGAAATAGAGCAGAGAGGAAAGTGCTAGGATCTCTGCCCAAGGCATCTCTCACTATTCCTGGAGGGCATTTCCTTCTCTCCGAAATGGAGGGTTGGTTGGTCCAGGTTGGATGTTGGAGCCCACACCACACTCTAAATACTAGGTGGAAAATCTTGGCTCCTGTGAAGCCCCAGCACAGACTTATTCTCTAGCCCTTATTCCTGCCTTTGGGAACTGAAGGCAGCTACTGCCTTCCCCTTAGAAAGGAGGAAGATAAGGAATAAAGGTGGAGGGACTTGGGGCTAGGGTTGTGGCTAGTGCTTGCCTAGCATGCATGAGGCACTGAGTTCGATCCTCAGCACCACATAAAAATAAATAAATAAAGACATTGTGTCCACCTACAACTAAACAAACAAACAGGGACTATCCCAGTAGGTTGGGAACTCACCCTTCTGGTCCCCAGTCTTTTCCAGCTGAACATGCAAGCAGGAGAGCTTCCGGGCCTGCGTTGTTAAGAGAGCTCCTCAGCTATCATCGTCACCCTGCTTGAGGACCCCACCCTCCCAGCACCCTGTCTCCTCCTCTTCAGCACTTCATTACCTTGGCTCCCAGTTACCTAGCATTTGCTTGAGATTGTACTCCCTCAAGGCCCTGATACCCCAAAGCTCCCCAACCAGCTTACTCTGACCCAGGCAGCCATGGGTATAAAGAGTAAGAAGATGTATGAGGGAACCTGGGGACCCCTAGTCACCCCCCAAGCATCATTCCTGACTCACCACCAGGATGCCATTGCTGATAAGCTGCTCCACACAGTCTGTCCTGGAAAGAGCCCCCAGTGACCCTTTGCAAGAACCCAGGTTCTCACCCCCTAGAGTCCTGGGCAATACTTCTCCACCAGGGAATGGCGCCAGCTCTGGGTGGCACTGTCATTCCCAGAAGGAAGCATTCCCACCTGGGACTGCCCCATGGCCCAACTCACAGGCTCTGCAGTTGAAACTCAACTTCCAGCCGCTCCTCACCCTGGGGAGATAGAGAAACAAGTTAGAAAGAATGAGAAGAGCAGTGTGTGTGTATGTGTGTGTGTGTGTGTGTGTGTATATTCCAACCCAGACACCAGCTAGGGATGCTGAAGTAAAGGTGAAGGAAGGGGTCTGAGGGAAGGGCCATTGTCCCTCTCCAGGCTACTCTGTCCACATTCCTTGGGCTGTTCCAAGAAAGCTGTTCTTTGGTTCAGAAGGCAAGAAAGGATGAGGAAGGTCTGCTCCTTGATGAAAAATCACTCCTAACTGGCAGAGGCTTCTGGAATGTGACAGATACCTGGGCCAGCTACTCTCCAAAGTATCCCCTTTCCCAGGTTGGGGAGCCCCTGCTGCCTTGAGTATAGCCTTGCCTGTGAGCTCAGCGAGAAGCTCTGGTGACTGAACTCCCCAGGCTGCAGGGTCCCCACATCAAAAAGCACTGACAACACTGGGTCATCTTTGGTCAACAGGTCCTGGTCAAAGACTTTTAATTCCATGATATTCTGGAAAGGAAACAGAGTAAGAAGACTGCAGAAAGGAGGGTAAGATGGAAAAGGGGGTAAGGCAGGCAATGAGGGCCTGGGAGAGGACAGGTAGCAGTGGCTTCATGGGGATGGTGAGTAGGGCTGGATTTGATGCCTGGCCACCTTGAGCTGGCTGTGGATTCGGAAGTGAAAGCTCTGATTCCAGATGGGGTTTCTGCTGTTCTTGACCGTGCGTGTCTGAAACCTGTGGCTGGAGGCCGTGGGCAGCCAGAGAGTCACATAGCAATCAGAGGGGGTCACTGCAGGGAGGATGAACAAGTGCGCAGTGATGGCCAACAGCCCTTCCCAGCCCAGCCACCAGAGTCTCCATCACTCATGTCTAATGGGTGGCCCCACTGCCACCATCTACTCAGAATCTCCTCCCAGCACTCTATTCCAGGACCCCTCTTCCTATCTCTTCCCACTGACACTGCCCACTGAATCCAGCTGTAGTACTCTCCACTTTCCTCGGCCTAGCACAGGGCCAGGGGAACAGCACACTCACCTAAGTCCTTGGAAGGCAGACCATGGGCCTGCAGGACACGCACAGTGAGCAGGCAGGTGCCAGGCACCTTTGCCTACAGAAGAGGGAAAGGGGACAGGTTTACTGCAGGTAGATGAGGCCAACAATGTCAACGTCCATAGGGGAAGCTGGGGCAGTCCCTCGAGGCCTAATCCTGAATCAAAAGGATCAGGCTTAGGCCCACCCTCCACCCCTTCAGACTTCTGATTCCGTAGGAGATATGGTATCTCCTTGCTGACATCTGCCCACATCTATATAATGCTATGTCCAGCTCTGTGCCAAGGGTTCTATATACATGAACTCATTTAAATGTCACATGACTACCCTATGCAGGGGCCCTATTAGGATCAATCCATAAAGAAACTGAGGCATGGAGACGTAGCTGCTTGCCTGGGGGAGATCTAGTTGCCAGGCTAGTTCTAATTTAAGCCCCATACACAGGTACTTCTATTTCCTGAATACAGCATCCTTTAGTCTTTCCATCCCACAGCCTCACCACACACCCCAGCTAAGCAGCTTTAAGTCTGGTCTCGGGCAGATTGGGATGTAAGCTATCAAGGGAGATGAAGGGGTATGTCAGGGCCTTGGACATCATGGATGAGCCATTTCCCATACTGTCCATCCCATTCTGGAAATGGGCTCTCTGCTCTATGATGGTCTCCAAAGAGCTCCCTCCAAACACACTCCTTGTTTAAGGTTTATAAATGCTGGCTAGTAGCCAGGGCAGAGAAAGCCTGTGCCAACTAGCACTTCCCGCTGGTTTTCAGTTCTGCCTCTGGAAGGGTGCTGACAGATCAAGTCCAGGAAGCTACCAAGGTCAGGATCAGAGATGGGGCAGTTCATCCACCTGTGGCAGCCCTGGGGCTCTCACATCCCAAGCAATTGAGTCAGAAGGAGCATCAAGCAGCCACTTCCTTCTGGGGCCCCAGGACAGCAGCTGGGAGCCTCTGAGTTCCCAAGACCCAAATCCCTGTGGTCAACCTGGAGCCATTTCCAGGACAGAAAGAACTTGGGGTAGTCCCTCACCCAGGTCACTGCTTCTCCCCTGGCTACTACTAACTGGTCTCATCTTGTAACCAGCAAATATTCCTTGCTAAACCTCAAGAAGACCAGAGCTTTTCTAAGAAATAGCAATAATCAGACCCTGGATGGGGATCTGGGTTTGAGGTGAGGGCCCAGTGCCCTGGAAGGCCTTACCAGAGCCATGAGGCCAAGTTCTCAGGAGCAGGAATAATGAGGCAGCAGCCACAGGACCAAGGACTTCCAGCTTTTAACCCAGAGACAGGGTGCTCTAGCTAGCCCGGAGAACCTCCCCAGCCCCTCCCATATGCCTCTTTCACTCCACCCAAGGCCAACACCCACCACCTGTCCAGGAAATGAGGCACCTTAAGCATGTCCCAGAGCCACTGACACCCTCTTGTGTCACCCCTGGTTCCCCGAGGTCCCACTCTGCAGCCATCACCATCTGGGCCTGCCCCAGTCAGCCCTGACTTAAAGGAGGAAGCTCCGGGAGAGGTGCTGTCAGGTGTTGAGCAGAAGGAAGGCAGACAGTGGGTTCCACAGCAGTGGTGAACAGAGTAGTTGAGCATCTTCAGCAGTAGGGTATTGTGCAACCTCCCAGCACCAGTAAGACAGGAATGCCCAGTCCTGACTGGAGCTCTTTGCCAATCTGAGAGGAGTACCCCAGGCTCCATCAAACTGGCAAGGGGTGTGGCTGTCACATAAAATAGCCCTTCAAAGCCATGTCTGGATTGCCTCTACCCTTGGAGTTGGGTGGCCGTGGATAAGGCTGGTAGGTTGGCATTCCTGCTCTTCAGATGGGTGCAGAGGGAGGCTGGGTGTGGAAACCAAATCTTTCCTCAGAGGGATGGTCCCAGGAGGGGTAGGGTTTTTGTCCCTTCCCTCCAGTGCTTGTTGTACAATAGAGGTTATCCTAGGACAAGAGATCCCACCAGCAGCCATGGAGCCAGGGGACAAGAGCAAACCAGGCCAGGGTAAAGCTGCGAATAGCATTAGAGGCCTTCAGCCAAGGAGGACCCAGTCAGGCAGTTACAAGACTGGGGTCAGTCCATTTTTCCCATTGAGGGACTGCACAGGCTGTCACAGACAAGGGGTCTGGGTAGCAAACAGCTTCCCATGCCTGGGTCTGGCCCATAGCCCCAGTCAGGGTTACCCTGAAATTTTCACCTAAACCCTCAAGCCCTCATTGGGCCACAGGAAACTACTGTGACAGGGAGTATCAGAACAAATGACTCACAGCTACCTTTTTTTTTTTTTTTTAGAGAGAGAGAGAGAGAATATTTTTTAATATTTATTTTTTAGTTTACGGCGGACACAACGTTTTTGTATGTGGTGCTGAGGATCGAACCCAGGCCGCATGCATGCCAGGCGAGCACGCTACCACTTGAACCACATACCCAGCCCCTCACAGCTACCTTTTATTGACCACTTCCTTTGTGCTGGTCCATGCTGGACCTTACAGATATTATCTCCATCCCTGTGCAGTAGAACCATTATTATCTCCAGTTTACAGCCAGGACACCAATGCCAACAGGTGGTGACTTGCCCAGAGTCTCAACACTGGTAAAAGGTGCTATAGGACCTGATCCCCACTCCTCCTCACCTGTGTGGCAACTTCCTGGGCATGCTCACTCAAACCTGCCTGGCATCTCCTAATCACATCCCAAGATCATATCCCAAGATCATCCAAGGCTGATTCCAAATTAAGCTGGACCCTGAGCAGCAGACAAGTACTTAAACTCCAGGTGGTCTCTAGAATTAAGCCAGCAGCCTAGGAGGGGCTCAACCTCTCCCTCAAGATGTCCTTAGCAGTATTCACCAGTGGTACATCAGTCAAGGACTACAGCCTTAGTTAGGGAGTCGAGCAGCTGGAAATAACTGTACTTGAGGTCATATTCCATGTCATACCAGAAGTTCACTGTGGGGAGAACAGAGATCTGAACATGAGGGTCCCTCTTTTAATCCCGAGCCCCCAACCTCTCCCAAAGATGCCCTACTGGGCCTTGACAGGGCTTTCCCTTGGGTGCCCTGTGTGTTCCTCACCAGCAATGCAGCCATGGGACTGCTGGACATGGTGGAACCATAGAGATGGCAGGTAGAGCAGCTCACCAGCCCGCACAGTACAGCGAAGGGCCTGTGCCTGACTGTAACAGGGGTACTGGGTCAAGTCTGGAGCCAGTGGGTCCAGTGGGATCCAGGGCACCTAGGGACACAGCAGTTTCCAGGAAACAGGCCCCAAAGTTCCAGGTCCTCCAGCTCTGTCCCTTCCCAAGCTGAATACCATGAACCCTGCTCTACTTGGCATGGAAAAGCCCCATACTTACAATTTTTCAGAGCAAGGTATCACCTCCCCAGACCTTTTGTGCTTATCCTCTGGGGCTCAGGTTCTTGCTCCTTCCCCTCCCCAGAACCCAGGAACAGAACAGACACCTTCTCCATGGTTTCTTCATCCACTATCTTAAAGGTACCCTCTTCCGTTAGTTGGTAGGTTGCAGGTGTGTACAGTTCTAAAGCCCAAGGAAGAAAGTTGTGGGGAACCTCAAGTGACCCACAGCTTGCCAGTTCCTCCCTACCCCAGCCAGCACACATGTTCCCTAGGTACAGGGTCCAGAGGGTTGGGAGTCCTGGTGCACCTTAGACCTGTGGTCACGTTTCAGGTCTAGGCACCAGCCTGCCCCAGGATCTTGCTGTCCTCCCTCCACCACAAGCCACCTGTTCCCCCAAAGCCCCCTCCAGGCCATGTCCCCTACCGTAAGGGATGAAGGGCCGGTCACTGGGTGGATGTAACAGAAAGTGTTTCTCCCCTGAGACCACACAGTACAGGTTCTCATAGTGGTCCTTGTGCACTGTCAATGTAAGTAAAGCCTGGAGGTGAGGTTGGAGGACAGAGGGGAGCCAACCACCTCAACCCTGAAGCTCTAGACTGCCTATGGCAAAAGGAAGAGATCATAAAGGGTCATCTGGCTCAAGGAGACACCAAGGATGCTGGTGGACATTGCAGAACTCAACACACCAGGGAACAGATCTGGTCAAGTCCTGGGCTCACCTCCACCAAGAGGGAAAGTGGTGCCATCAGATTTCTCCTAAATTCCCTCCTGACCTAGTTGGCCTTCTGAGAGCTTCTAGGGATCAACAGGAAAAAACAAATGGTGCACTCTGGTCTCAGTACCATGGGTAGCTACCCAACTCAGCTGTCAGGGGAGACCTTCTGTGGTGCCGGAGTCCAGAATCCCAAGAGAAATGTGAAAGAAGAGCCAGCCTATCTTTAGTCCAGCCCAACCTTCCTCACCCGAACTCATCTTCCCTTCCTCTGCCCCTCCAGCTTGTTCACCAACACCTACAGGATGTCACTGCAGCTGCCTCCCCCAGCCAGAAGTTCACAGCATCAGGCATCTTTCCTGTGGGGCAGATGGCAAGTTAGGAAGGACATGCTAGCTGGGCCAACACACAGGCATACTAGGCAAAAAGCTGGGTGGGAGTGAAGAAATCTCAAGGAGAAGAGGAAGAAATTGGGAGTGCTTCCTTATTCATCTATTATGAAGTCAAGGCCTGAGGCAGGCAGGTGGGTAGCACCTGACCACACAGGCCCAAGTGTGTGGACCAAATAAAAATCAAAGGGAGAGAATGAACAAGCAAACTGATCCCTTCCTTCCCAGATTCCCTGCCCTGCCTCCTGGTCAGAGATCACCTTGCACCCCCCTTCCCCACCTGCCTTCACTCACCCAGTGCCTCAGAGGCCCAGGGTACATGAGGCTCCAGATCAGACAGCAGTTGGGGCAGCTCAGTGGGCAGGTTGGAACACTGCTTCTGCACATAGAGGACTCCTGGGTGTTGGGCCTGGCCCTCCAGCACATCCAGTACATAGCTGAGGGGCAGGCGGCGCTCAGCAGGCATTACAAAGCGGTCCCCTCGCACTGCATCTGCATAACCATCTGGAGTCACAGCCACACTCACCTCTGTGGAACCCACTGTGGCTCTGGAGGAATGGATACTCAGCTCATGCCCAGTTGTCAGTAATCACTGCCCATCCACCACCCCAGGCAGGCTCCCACCTTAAGTAAGGGAGGGACCACTTCTGGAGAGCTGACCAGTGCTTCAGGGCATTTCGAATAATGCATGGCCTGTTGGGGCACACCCAGTCCCGATAGAAGTGGAGTGGAGTAGGGGGCTCATCCAGGTAAGGCACATCAAGAGGCACACTGAGCTCTGAGAAAAAGAGGGAAAGGCGGGGGAGGGGGGGAGGCTGAAGGCAGCAGCATTCAGTCTTTGTCCCATTTCCTGCATAAGAAATACCCTCCCTAGGAAGGCCATACTATGTCACTAAGCCATGCCCACTGGTGACCATAGGACCCTAAACAACCAGGAATAGAAGAGAAGTTGAAGTGAGAAAACATAAAGTAACACACACGAAGATGGGCCATCATGGGCTGCTGTTCAGCCTATGACCTAAATCCTACATGGGTCCATGTATTGTCTTTATACAGTAGACCCTCGGCTTCCCCATAAGGAGGGCAAATCTTCCAGCATCCATTTGGAAATGGAGCCACAGAATTGGTGGTGGGAGGTCTAGAATGACTATGGACAAGGCCCAAGGCCAGGGCCGGGCTGGGGGTGAGACTCTAGAAAGACCCCTTCAAAAGTGACACATCTGAGCACCTGGAATGTGCTCACACTTGGCCTGGTCAGTGTGGATATCAAAGGATTATCCAATAATCATCTCAAGCAGCTTACAATCTACCTGGGGTGAAAAGACACCAGATGAAATAGGGGCTAAACTGTGTTTTGGGTCTCACTGAACAGCAGCATCATCCTTAGATGCCCAGGGCCACCATGTATATTTGAGCAGCTTATGCAATGTGCCACCTGTTTGGACGTCTACAGTGGTCCTACATCACCCTTAAATGCAATCTATTATTTATGACTCACCCTTAGTTGCTCCTGTTATCCTACTATTTCTCAAAGCCACTATCTCTTTCTTTCCTCTGCTACTTTGGGTCCTCGTTAAAAAATTACAATATTGAGGATTCCTTCCCTGAGCATTTTTTTTTTCTTTTTGCAGTACTAAGGATTCAACTTGGAAGCGCTCCACCACTGAGATATATCCTCAGTCCTTTGGACGGTTTATTTTTATTTATTTATTCTTTTGTGTGTGTGTGTGTAGGGTGGGATACTGGGGATTGAACCCAGGGCCTCATGGCAAGCTAAGCACGTGCTCCATCACTGAGCTACACCCCCCAATCCTGCTCTTTTAGACAGTGTCTCACTCAGTTGACAAGGCTGGCTTTCAACTTGCAATCCTCCTGCCTCAGCACCCTGAGTTGCTAGGTTGTCCACTCTAAAATTGCAATCCGTTCCCAATTCTTAAATCCCTTATTTTTTCTTCTTGGTGTTTATCACCAAATGACATGCTATATATTTCACTTATTTAAAATTGCTTATTGGTCTGTCTCCCTCGAAAGACTGAAAGCTACATAAGGTAGCTTGTCTTGTTCACTGATTCATCCCTAGAACAGTACCTAGCATATGGCAGGTACTCAGTAAATACTTGCTTAACAGTTGAATGAAAGTCTCCAATATCTTGGCTGAATGATTTCTGCAGTGAATCATCAAACCATTCAACTGTTTTTTTCTGGCCTAATTCTACTCCCCCTCAGAGTATCCATTATCTGGCCCAGTCATTTGAAAATACAATCTGAACTCCTCACGCCCCTAGTAAAGAATCCTTTGATGGCTTACCACTATTCCTTACAGCATAATCTGCCTCTGGCGTGCATTCAAGGTACTCCATCATTAGGCCCAACCTATTTTTCCAGTTTGATTTGCTCCTGACTCCTGCCTTCCCCTTACCACACACCCTCTACTCAGGCAGTACCACACTTTGTTCCTGCTGCTCACTCAGACTAAATGCCTTTCTCCAGATTTTTACAAGAGCATAGGGCTTCGCATTCCTCCTCCTTGGCCCCAATCAGTAGTTACTACAACCTGCTCCAATGACCATGTCATTCATTTTCACCTCTAAGGTCATACTCCACCTCTCATGCTATGTCTTTATGCCAGTAATCCTTACCTTGCAATCAGTAAGAAAGCAAATGTCTTAAGATCAGAAACTGAAACTGAATGGGAAGACCTTGGTGGGCCCAAGAAAACTGAAAATGAAAAATCTGGCATGTGTGTTTATTTTTCCTGGGTAGGGACAAGATGGGCTCTGCCATCTCCCAAGCATCTCCCTGTTGTACTCATTAGGCTTTATTTCTTTTTGCCTCTGCTGTTCTGGGAATTGAACTAAGGCCTCATTCATGCCAGGCAAGCACTCTACCACTAAGCTACCCCACCGAGCCATGGGATTCATAAAACATGTGGAAACTGCCTTTTTCTTTTCATCCTTTGAATTTTTAACAATTGTATCAGATTTCCTTGCTTATCATTCCTTTAGAGAATGGCTATTTTTCTCTCCTGGGGCTTCAGAAAGAGAATTTCAAAGGGATCCAAACAATTCCTTTGACCCAACAGTTCTAAGAATTTAACCAACAAAAGTATTTGCACAGGGCTGGGGTTGTAGCTCAGTGATAGTGTTCCTTGCATACATGAGGCACTGGGTTCAATCCTCAGCACCTCATAAAAATAAAACGCAGATATTGTGTCCATCTACATATATATATATATATATATATATATTTTTTTTTTTTTTTTAAGTATTTGCACTTGTGCACAAAAACTGCTCCAGACACTGTTCCCTGAATGCACCAAGCACTCTCCCACCTAAGGAGCTGCTGGCCCTGCACTTGTCTTCTAACCAACTTCATGATTTACATGTTCAGTGCGGTTGTCTGTCACCTCACTTAGAATGTAAGCTCTAAGAACTTGCTTTATTCGTGCAATGATGTACCGCAATATACTAAACAGAGCCTAGCACATGGAGGTGCTTAAAGAATATATTAAATGAAAACTCAAGTATTAACTGTAGAATTATTGAAAACAATAGTCTAAAAATGACTGACATGCCTATCAATAGTGGGCTGCTTCAGTGAATTTCACCATTTCACAGATGAATGAGATAGATGTGGAATGACTTCCAGGATGCACAATGCAGAAAAGTTTTTAAAAGGGTACAGTCCTGTGTGCATGGATTTAAAAAGAATCTTCCTGGAAGAATGCAAGTGGGGCTGACAGTGGGAAGCTTATTTTATTTACATTAAAGACTCAGGTCAGGTGCCTGTGTTGCTGGTCAGTGATACAAAATCATTAAAAATAAATAAGAAATAAGGAAGGAGAGAAAAAAGAAAAATCATTTAAAAACAGGCCTGCTGGTACAGGCCTATAATCCCAGTAACTCAGGAGGCTGAGGAAGGAGGATGTCAAGATCAAGGCCAGCCTGGATAACTTAGTGAGACCCTATTTCAAAATAAAAGGGGCTCATTGGTAGAGTGTCCTTGGGTTCAATACCCAGTACTGATACAAGTACATAATAAAAATAGAAAGAAGAAAAATTTTAAAAGCTAGGAGGTTGCGGGGAGGGGGTGATGAGGAAGGACTAGAGGAAGAGAGGAAAGGGGAAAGGGAAAAAAAAAAAAAAACAGTAAGGGTAATAACCAGGATCACTTGAACAGCTATCTATAATTCTCCCAAAACTTGGAGGAGTCTGTTCTGAATAAAGACGACCGTCTCCTTTCTGCAGGGGTTCAGAGACAGAAGCCCACCACCACCTGTGGACATTTGAGGTTACAAATGAGACTTCTTTACGGGAAGAGCAACAATGCACTGCCCAGATTTATTAAGCACAGACTGACCCTGGGAACCCAGCACAACACCACCAGGCCTTGAAATAACGAAAACACACACTCCATGAAGCCACAGCGCGTGCGACCGCGACCCACCGGCCGGCTGGGGGAGGGGCCGTGACTAGAGCGAGCCTAGCGGGGGTGCCAACCACTCTCGCGCAGGGGTGCGAGGTGTCGGCGGTCCCCGGGACTCCTCTCGCGTCGGGCGCCTGCCCCGCTAGCGCACTCACCCCGTGCCGCGGCCGGGAACTCTCGTAACGCCCTTTGCAAAGCGTCCAAAGCCGCCGCCGCCATGACGCCCGCCGCCCGAAGCCCCGCCCCCCACTCCTCAGCTCTCGCCAGGCCGCTGGACCCCTTTCCACTGGATGGAGCGAGAAGCAGTGATTTCTTTCGCCGGCCTCACTTGCTGCCACCCCAGAGTTAACAAATGATTGCATTTATTGACAAGTTCATACATCAGTACAAACGGACACTTTAAAAACAGCTCCCGCCCCATGCGGCTGGGGAGGAGACAAGCGCCACTGCCGGAACAAAGTATAAAAGTTATAAATAAGGGGCTTTCAAAACTGGGACGGGGTAGTATGGACAGGGGCGGCAGTTACCGGTGGCCTCAGACATGCAGAAGGGGTCGGGGTGCCGACACGGTCACAAGACCCCCACCCACCCTGGGCAGGGGTTAGGGAAAGGGCAGCTACCTTCTCACAAACCTAGCAGGAATGTAGCTCTCTCCTAAAGCATCTGACTGAGGACTGCTAAGAACCTGGCCCAGGGGTGGAGCAAGGGGTTGCAGTGCCAAGCCTGAGCCTTTGTGGTGGGCTGTGGCTGTTGGGTGGTGATGGGGGCGGGCACAGCTGGAGTGAATTTCTACCCTCAGGCAAGCAGCTACAGTGCTGACAGGGGTCCACAGCCAGCTGTGTTTTGGAGGCCAGGATTTCATTTGAGTTTGACCACGCAGATGCTGGTGGTAGAGAAGAGTGGGGGCATAAAACGTTTTGGTCTTCTTAGGGCATTCAGGCTGATTGAACAGAGCTGGGCACGCTCCATAACCCAATTTTTTTCATAGCTTCTACATACAGAGCTTGCAGCCAGGTAAGCCAGCTTTTTTGTGGCCTGAAGCTGTGGTAAAGCTGCCCTGCTTTACCTGGGGCAGAGAAAAGCAGGAGGGCCCAGAGACACATTCTTCACCCCTACTCAGAAACAACTGCATCACTACTTGGTCCAACACCATGGGCCTACTACACCCTCTCCTTCCCCTAAACCCAAGAATGGCCCCTTAAATTCTAATCTGTCCCTCACCTCTGCCACTTACCTGTCCCACCTACCACTTTTCCTGTGTGTCTCTTGGCCCTGCTGCCTCCCTCCCCACAACCTCCAGTATCTGTAGAGCCCTTGATGGGTACACCCAGCACTGTCTTTGAGGAGGCTCCTCATACTAGGTGTCTAATGGTCCATCACATAGCTAGGCTGTGGACATGAAGAATCCAGAATTTGGATGAAGTGTGTTCCATTCCTTTTTGAGTTCCACACAAGTTAGGGTAGTGAAACTGAGGCAGAATATGAGAGGAACCCAGGCACATATCAGCCATCTAAGGACTTTAGCAATGAGCACCCAACTGTTTGTGTACATGTACGTATGTGTGAGACTTCGTCTGTGGCCAAGGTCCTCAGAAGGTGTGTAAGTGCCCTGTAAACCATGAAGGAAATTTCACACAGGCTTCTGACAGTATCACTCAGGATGCAGGGAGAACTTGGTGACCCTTGGGCTTCAGTAGCCTGCTGAGGACTAGGGCTGGAGGATAGAAAAGGCTAAGGAACTAAGGAAAGGAGGACAGGGCTTCATGTTTGCCCAGCAGAGGACCTTACTGTCCTGCAGCAATGGCACAGAGCTGGATCCACAAGCTCTGCCAGAGAGAGAAAGGGGGGCACAAGGGTAGAGACAATATGAGGGCCCTCTTGGAAGTGGAATGTGGAGGCTCAGGTCCTGATACCAATTTGAGTTTCCTGATGGCTGGGGATGCTCTGGAAGTCCAGGCAGCTCTGTCCGCCTTCCTAAACTGCCAGGAACTGGGGGAAACAACGCCTGCTCTGGCAACCAGGAGAGTGTAGCTGGTGTGGGAGGAGAAAGGAAATAGAGGTGAAAGTCCTCAGTTGACTGAAGGGCATTGAATACCACATTACCTCTCACCTCTACCCCCATGGAGTACCCTGTGAATGCTCCACCCCAGGGAGCTGATCCCTGAAGTAATTTCAAATGGCTTCTAAAAAAGAGGGCAAGCCCTTCCCAGTGTCCCCCAGATGGGGCAGGCTGCCCTCCTAGCCCTCACAGCACCATGATGACAAAGACCCAAGACCTACCCCTGCCATGAACCACTAGAACGGCTGTGGAGGCTGGAGTTTCAAAAAGGTGAGGCAACAGTCTGGGAAATAAATTAATAAATACAGGGGCTCCCGGAGTAGTAGCTGGGAAAGCTGCTTCACCTCTGAGCACTGATCCCTGCTATCCACTCCCCACAGGTTTTGGTAAGTGGAAGAGGGGCTGCAGTTTGGAATGGGGAAGCATTCACTTGGGACAGGCTTCTGAAGCTAGAGTCTGCGTTCCATCCGCTGCTCCACGGCTCGAAGCAACAACTCTGAATATTGCTCTAGTAGGGCCTGTGTCTGCTCAGCTCCCACAGCCCCAGGGCTCCCGCTTGGACTGGACAATGCTGCACCAGCCAGGGCCTCTAGCTCCTGACGTACTGAAGAGAAGGTGTCTCTGAGGAGCTGAGTGATTCGACTTTGCTCTGCTGAGGGCGTCTTGCAGCCAGCCACCTGCAATAAGACCCCTAGAAGTGAGCTGAAGGAACAGTGAAGGGTCTTATCAATGTATATGTAAAAGGGAAGGGCCCCACCTGCTCCAGGTACCAGTAGGTACCTAGTTCAAGACGTCTGGACTGGCCTATAACTCCCTTGCTGCCTCAGAAGAAGGGACTGGTTGGGAGTTCCACACTCCAAGAATCAATTTCATTATGACCTGGGAATATGGGACCCTCACAGACTAGAAGGTGACCCAGAGGTGATCCCTCCAGATTATGGAATCATCCATATATTGTTAACCACTCCTTACAATTCATATAGGCTCCACTTTCTCTTTCAAAACTTGGGCCCTGTTGGACTGTAGCCAGATAATTTTGGAAAATTTAAATTAAAAAAAAAATGAAAAGGGATACTGTTAATAATTACACAGGGACAACAGGCATAAACTGGGATTGTCTTGAGAAAATTAGAACATGCAGTCTTTCCATGTTCTATCCTCCTATCTGAGGAGATCTCAAGCTCTTAACTAGAAATGACCAGTAGGTACCTAGTTCAAGAGGTCTGGACTGGCCTATAACTCCCTTGCTTCTTCTGCCCGGATGTCTTGAGTGCTTCACACTGTTAGTGGAAGAGCCTTTTTATCATTGTAGACACTCAGCTATCAAACACCTCGCACTACTGTCACCTCGCTCTGTCTTCCTGCCAGGTGGTGCCCAATGCTTACCGAGTGGTAGAGCTGTACAGCCTGGTGCACATTCCCACGGAGCTCTGCCACAAGTTTTTCACACTGCTCCAGGCTCACCACCAGTTCTGTGAGGAACAGATACAGCTCAGAAAGGCTCAGCAAGGGCTGGGATGTAGCTTAGTGTCTACCTTGCATTCGCAAAGTCCTAATTTCAACCCCCAGTTCCAAAAAAGACAAAAAAAAAAAAAAAAAAAAAAAAAAAAAAACACCAGAAAGGCTCAGCAAGCCATTTCAGACCTTCCCATCCAGGGCTGCTCAGAGCAAGAGAGGCTACCCCTCAACACTGAAACCCCCACTAGCCCTCAATCCCTTCCTCCTGTCCCTTTTTTTCTTTTCTTGAATCCCTTCCTCATGTCCCTTTTTTCCTTTTTCTTTTCTTTTCTTTTCTTCAGATGAGGGTCTTACTACATTGCCCAGGCTGGTCTTGAACGTGTAGGCTCAAGTGATCCTTCTGCTTATGCCTCACAAGTAGCTGGGACTACAGGCCTGTGCCACTGTGCCTTGTTTCCCCCCTTCCCTTATAATACATTCTCCAAAACCACAAAGACAACAAAGTCCAGAGGAGAGAGCCAGTTCAAACCCCAAGGTCCAGAAGGGGTAAGTTGGTCATAAAGAGATCATGAAGGTTGGCAGGAGTGTCTCACCAACAGGGATATGACTTATGGGTTGAGTGAGACAGGAGCAGACAGGATGAAGAACACCAGAGGCTGGATGCACAGAAATGGGATGGACCAGAGAGTGGCTAACAGAGACAAAAGAGAGAGAGGATGGGGCAGGAGATAAGAGCTGGAAGCTGTGCATACCTGAGTTCTGGCTCAGGGCTGCGCCTGGCCTGATACATTCCATGGGATTGGGAGTCCTCTCAGGGGGTGGGGGCTGCAGGTTCTCAGGGCTTCGGAGGAGGCTGACTGGCAGTTGCTGGGCACTGGGTCTGTTGGGCCCAGGCTGAGCCTGGCACTGCATCCTAGGCTTGGGAGCAGTACCCTCACCCAAACAGGCCCGCCGCTCAGATGTGCTATGAGCCTTTCCTAGGCCTGCTGGGGAGCCAGCCTGTTCTGCCTCATCAGGGGCCCAGCCCTTCGTTACAGGTGCGAATGTAGCCAGAGTAGGACCATCAGGCAGTGGTTTGGGGATGTCCAAGACCAGATGAGCCCGGCTAGGAAGGGGCAGTTTGCTGAGTGGTGAGTTTCGAATAGAGACAGGAGCTTGAGTTTCTGCCATTAGGCCTAGGTTCTCCCCAACAGAGACGCTGCGGGATATCTTGGCCATAGAACTGGTGGTAGGGTTCTGGTAGGAGTAGGGCCAAGATGGACGGCCATCCTGGACTTCCATGTCCCGTGAGAGCAATGGGCCTGATGAAGGCATCTCATTTGCTGAGGAGACAAGAGATATATACAGGTCAAGTGGTGAGGAAGGACACCCGGGTGCTACAGCTCAAATCTTAGGAGCTGGTGTTCCCTTGCACATGCCCACTAAGGATACCCACTGGCAGACACACCAGTTCTACCCTCCTCTAGTACACCCATGAGTTCCACACTTCCCACATTCTGGGGCTGAGCTCATCAGGCTCCTCACCCTGTGGCACCAGACTGTGCACAGACTGGGCTTTCTGGAGTCCAGCTGAGAAGCCAGCTGTGATCACTCTCTTGGGAGCCCAGCTGCTGTCCAGGTTGTGACGACGACGTGGCAATAGCACAGGGGCTGCCTGATGGGGGCTGGGGTTGGCAGGGGAGGGCTCCACCTCTGGAGGTGCTCCTGGGGGGTTAGCATCACTGCCTCTCTGTTGCTCGCCAGACACCTGTGACACCTGGATGCGTCTCGACATCAATGCCAGGCTTGAGGAGGATGGGTCCCTATAGGGAGGAGATGTAGAATAAGGCCCAGAGAAAACTTAGTGTTTCTTCCACTAAGCAGCGGGGCGGCTGGGAGGGGAGGCACAGAGGGAGCATATTGATTCCTGCACCAGACAAGTGCCAGACAAGTGCCAGGAGAAGACAGGCATAATCTAGTCTACCAGGGTTGAGGTGAGACCAGTTATCCTAATATTTGGAGCACAGAACACCCTTAGAAAGGGGGACAGGAGGGCTGTGTGCTCCCCAGAGGTAGGAGCACTGGGAAGTTAGCAGAGCCAAGCTTCTGTGGGGAGGGGTCTCTGTACCTGAGTGGAGGAGTCTGTGCTTGCAACAGGAATCGTGAAGAGATGCTTTGAGATTCTGTCCTCTCTGGTACTCGCACTGGGCCCCCTGCCAGTCATGGAAATCATGAATTGAGACAAAAAGCCAAGACTTTGCCCCAGATTCTGCTTCCCCTAGAGGCAAACCCCAAAGCATTGCCTTCCTGACCCTCCCTCTCAGCTGGGCAAGGAGAGGAAGAGGACAAACTGTAGTGACCAAATATTGACCCTCTGGCCACACCTGGAGCAGCCCCATTGGCCAGAGTCTCAAAGTGCTGTTTTAGAAACTGCTCCTGGTCCGGGGTATGGGGGCTGCCTTCTTGCAGCTCATAAGGGCCAGTGCCTCCCTCCTCTTCCTCCTCTTCTTCGTCACCCTCAGCTGGTTCTTCAAGGTCTGAGGAGATGCCATCCATACTTAGGGGCTCCGTGCTCTCGGAGTCTGGATGTGGGGGAGTGGAGAGGCATCACACTGCACCCATCTGAAGCATCCCCTGCTTCAGTCAACTGGTCCCTCCCTCAGGGATGTAGCCTCACCTTCATTGGGGTGCTCAGGGCTGGAAAGGCGGCTGCTGCTGTAATCCACAGAGCAGGCACTGTCAGGGCTGTGCTTTTCTGAGCCCCTGCTACCTGGGTACACTCTTCCTAGGGTTCCTCGGGTTGGAGCCTGCACCTGGAACTCACTGCTAGAAAAGAAGAGGCAGTGAGCATAAGAGAGCAGCAGCCCCACTGGATTCCTGCCTGGGAGCAGGACTAGGGAGGAGGTGGTGGTGGTGAGGTGTCAGACAAGCCCTTAGCAACCTGGGGCCCAGCCCTCACCCAGCTGAAAAATGCTCAGAGGGAAGGGAAAATGGGGCTGTGGCCAGGGCAGAACCCTTGCCTGGTATCCATGGTGGGGCTGTCACTGGGTTCTGGATAGACAATACCATCTTCACTGGGTGCGGCCTCCAGATCTTGGGCAAAGACCCCTTCTTCTTGTGACAACAATCGGATAAGGTGGGGACAGGAACAGGGTTGGGAAACCTGAAGCTGAGGGGATTTTTCATTCTGGGAACATACAAAAGAACATTATGGGAGTTAATAAGGAGAGAAGAGGGTCCTAGTAAAGAGGTGAAGGCGGGTAAGGATTTGGTGTGCACCAATTCTGAGAAAACTGAGTACTTCAGCTCTGAGGACAGACACCAGACAGCTAGACTAGGCTCTGACTGGTATTGTGAGCTTCTGGAAGACCTATATTAGCACACTCTGTGCTGCCAATCTCCAGCCCCACTTAATACTAAGTCCTCCAAGGAACCTGGCTGGCCCAGGGCAAAGGTCATCTTTCTCTCTTCACCCCCACCCCTTCTCTGCCCACCTCCATCACCATACCATACAACTAGCCAGCCTTAACCTGAACTTGCAGTTCAGGTGACCTATGTGCCACAGAAGCAGAGCAAGCATAGATGGACCAATACTCAGGCTGCAGCTATTGGCATGAGATATTGGCATGAAACTGATTAAGGCTCCCTGGAGACCGCTAGAGATCTGGGGAAAAGCTGGCTCACCTGGCTAGCATGTGAGGTTACAGGGGCCTTCTGACCATGCTTTCCAGGACCAGATGGAGTCATGGCCAGAGAGTCCTGGCAGTGGCCCTGAGGGCTTGGGGTAAGGGTCTCCAGCTGCCGCAGGTCCAACATAGAGCAAACACTCAGTTCTACGCCTGGCTGAGCCCAACGCCCCCTTCTTCTGGGTCCTGAGTTGGCTACAGGAGCTGGGTCTAGGAATTCCACTGTCTCCTGTGCCTGGTAGAGATAAAAAGTAAAGGAGGAATAACAACAAGAACCACACAATGCTATCAATAAGCACTCATATGTCCCTTACTATATGCCAAGAACTAGTCATTTCATCCTCATAACAATCTTATGAAGTAGGTATCATCCCCATTCTTACAGATGAGGGGATGGAAGCACACAGGGCTTAAGTGACCAGTCCAAGTCTCACAAACAGTAGGTGGCCTTCAGGTGGGGCTGGCTCCAGAGTTCATGCCCTTAACTGCTTTTCATACCTTCACATAGGAATGTCTAGTCTCTGTCTTCACCATGTCTCTAAAGGTCCTTTACCCTGAGGTCAGACCCAACAGGGCCCCAAGGTTCCTTCACAAAATGAAGGACCAAAATTCCAGCTTGAGATGCATGATGTGGTCAAAATAATACACTAGGTACAATTCTACCATCACTCTGTGAAACTGCAGCTACTGATACAGGGTGATTGGCTTGAAATATCTCCATGGGACATAACGAGGGCTGGGCTGCTTTGGGGTTTGCTGTGAAAGCCTTTAACCCCCTCTGGCTACTCTCAAGTAGTCACTCAGTAATTGGTCCTTTTATAGCCTTTTCCCTCCAACTATTCTGCAAATACTATGCTTACCTCCTAATTGGGAGTATTGTACTCTTTAGACCTACACTTTCTCATTTCTGCTCTTTGTACACTTGGTTTTCCTGGACTTTAATTCTAACCATGTGGCTCAGATGCCCTTTTCTATTCCCCATCTCAAATTGCTTTCAGATGGCATTTCTCCCAGGCCCCAGGCAGCTGAAAGGGTTGGAGCAGCTCCCCTAGTACAAAACAACATTTTCTGGTACAGGATGGAAAGACTAGGACTTTCTTCATTCTTAACTGGGACCAGCTGCTTGAACTCCTTCTGGTAATGCCTTCCTTGGAGCATACGGGCAGACCCTCTGTCCAAATACCTCACAACACACAAAGGGCTCTGCTCCCTCCCCACCACCATTTCACCTCCTGTAACCCTGGAAGCACATTTGAATGAAGGAGACTTACTCGGCTCATCTCCCAATGGGACAGGCTTCGGGACAGGGCTGGGCTGGGGACCGAGGCTAGAAAGAAATGGGAAGTGAGAAGGAGTTTCTCAGTGACTACCCACGCCTGGAATTGGGACCCCACATCAGCCTATCCCCTGCATTGCCACAGTGATGCCCCAGTTTCCTCAGTTCATGCTAATCTCACCCTAGGGTTACAGAAAGGATCTATCTAGCCATTACACCACCTGTTGGCTGTCTGGCCCCACACCAGACTGCTACAGACCAGGCTCTTTCTTGGTACTCTTGGCAAGGATGGGAAGAGCTGGCAGTTCTTCTTCTTCAGTACCCTCATCTTCTCCCTCCTTGTCACTGTCTGATGAGAGAGCTGGTCCAGAAGAGAGCATCACTGGGGTCTGGGGCCTGAATCCAAGATAAGGGAGGTCATGGGGATAGCAGATACACTGAGGAAAAAGTCAGGATGATAATACTCTGTGTTTGAGAAGCAAGACCTTGGGAGATAAAGTTGCTGAATGGCAAGAGGAGCAGTGAGATCACAGCAAGCCATCTGGACACCCACCCATCATTTGCCCATATTCTGTTCTCACCGGTTGGGTCCGGAAGCCCTTTGGGGAGAGGTGGGTCCTTGCTGTTTGCCCCCTCGCTGACGCTGGCGCAGCTCGGCCAGACGTTGCCTCATGCTGATGGTCATCTCAGAGCTCAGACGCCATACAAATATGCAGCTGGGATATAGCCACAGAGTTGGGTTAGGGAGAGGCAGGGCAGGACTCTGGAGGTGGCAACACCATTAGTCCTCCTTTCCTGTGGACTGGCAAGAAGACCACAGCCACCCTCCACTTCCAGGCTAGGCCCAGTCAAGAAATTTCCCTGTTCAGCCCTACTTTCCAGAGATACATGAGATGAACAGAGGGGAAGGACAGTGTGTGCTTGTGGCACAGACAAAGAATCTGTTTCTAGGGGAAGCTGGCTTCTACTTACCTGTCCCCTGAAACACTGATGAGATGTTTGCAATCATTACTAAATTTCATGCCAGTGACAATCTCTGTGAAGAACAAAGAATATAGTCTATAAGCCACCCTGAATTTCCAACCACTCCTGTCTGACCTAACTGTGGAGATGGTGGCTGGTTGGAGGGGAAGGTCAGATAGCTCTGTTGGGTCACAAGAAACTAAGTGAAGAAAGAGTAGAGTTCCAGGAGCAGAGTAGTGGGGCTACACTCACCTGAATGGCCAAACATGGTGGCCACACACTCGCCTGAGGAGAAGTCAAAAATTGAGAGGTTCTTGTCGGAACAACTGGTGGCAATGTAGATCCCTGAAGGGTCTGTCTGCACCTGAGGAGTGGAGTCACATAGATGAAGAAGAGTACAAAAGAGCCACTGCTTCTTCACCTCATACTTTTCTGTCCCCTTGTACCTTGGCCCAGTGCCATCCCACTAGGCTCTTACCTTAATTAGAGTGCCATCCTCACCCTGTGATCCTTTAAACAGCTTTTTCTGCTTCCCACTGCTGATGTTGAAGATCCTATAAAAAAAAAAAACAAAAAAAAAACACTTGCTCTTATAAGGAAGAGTTACAATCAAGCACACTTGGGTGGTAGAAATGCCAGCAGTCACTCCTGGGAGCTAACCCCCAACACCATACGGGCCACCATTCTTGGGTGAGGCACAGTACTTATTGTGTAAGTTCAAGGGGATACAAAGTCCTGAACAAAAAGATACATATGGGAAATGAGCTGTATAGAGTTGATCCCTTAGAACTCAAAAGAATGTGGTCTGACAATCTGAGAGGGGGATGCCCACCGAATATTTCTGTCCTGGCAGCCAATGGCCGTGTACTTCCAGCTAGGCTCCACATCCATGTCATAGAGGGTTGTCTTGCGTACCACATGGTGTGTCCGTGTAAAGTGTACTCCATCTCCAGACTGCAGAGGTGGAGCATGTGGTCAGTCCCATACCCAAATGCCTCACCAGACCCACTGAGCCCTGCTTTTACCCCCCTTTACTTCCCAGTACCCTCACCTTCTGTGCAGTGCGGAAGTAGATGCTCTTGTCTGCTCCACAGCTGATCATGCGCACTTGCCCATCGCTGGCTATGGAGGAAGGGGGCCTAGCTACTCCCACCATTCCCACTGCATGAGAGCAACTTTCCTCTGTGTTTTCACCCATTCAAACTATTCTACATGGTGGGTCAACCAATTAAATAAGAATGCTTCCCTCTAAACCCAGGTTTTCCTTTTTCCCCATCCTCAACCCAACCTGGTTTGCTCAGGGTCCTCCAGACTGAAAGACTATATTCCATTTGTCTTCCCATCCAACCCCAGGCCTCCCAGCTGCTGTCCAACTTCCACACCATTGGCAGACCTTTTTCACAGAAATAGAAGGTGGTGTAGGTGGCAGAATGTATCTCAATTGTCCTGTCCCACCTGCAAATTTGACAGCAGTGATGGAAGACGAGTGCTCATCCAGTGTCTGCTGTAGGCTATACTCCCGCCCAGCATCTAGTACATGGATCAGCCGGTCACGGCTTGCCGACGCTAGCAGCTTCAGACCTAGGGTTGGAAGAACTCAATCAACCCACATGTTCCCTGAGCATGTTCTTAACTAGGCCTGACAAAGAGCCCCAAAGAAATTGAACCTCACATCTCTAAGCTACATCAATCATGGAGCAGGGACAGAGCTGTTCTCTTCTAACTCTACAAACACCAAATAATCTAAAAGATGATCAGCCTCACATATAAGAGCTAGGATACATATAAAGTGGCACTAGAGGGATTGGAGGACTCTATGCCATTTTGGGCTACAGAATGGGCATCCTGCTTACCTGTATCTGGCTTAGAGTACTCCAGGCACAGGATCTCTGAGTCATGTGCCTCCACCTTCAGCATCTCACTCAGAGACTGCAGTTCATGCACCCTACAAAGAGGAGCAGAGGAAGAAAGAGGTCACTGCCAGGCCACAGGAGGAAGGACTCATCCCCTTTGTCTACTATATCTTCTCCTCCAAATTCTTCTTTTCAAACTTTTAAGCTTAGAAAAAAGTTCCAAAAAGAGTACAGAGGTTTCTTATTTTCCTTCCTCAGCTTTTGCTAATGTTAACATCTTGTATAACATGATAGTACAATTATCAGAACTAGGGAAATTTACAGTGGTACAATACTGTTTCCATTTGTACAGAAGTAACATATTAAATATGAAAGATCTTATCAATGCTTGATTATTGAAACCATTTAAGTATCCCTAAATAGTGACAAAGAAAACAAAAACAAAGACCTTATTCAAATTTCACCATTTTTTTCACAAGTCCTTTTTACTTGATCCAGGCTCCTACCCAGAGTCCAAATGTCATCTAGTTGTTACTTCTTAACTTCCTGTAGTCTGTAATAGTTTTTCAATCCTTCCTTACCTTTCATGTCCTTGATACTTTTGAAAAGGATTGATCAATTACTCTGTTGTATGTTTCTCAATTTGAGTCCGTCTAGGGTTTTCTCATGAGTGAACTGAGTTTATGCATTTTGGGTAAAAAGACCACAGAAACAATGTTATATACTTAGAACATCGTATTATGGGCTTCATCATGTTGATGTGTGGATATTAACTATTAACACTTGGTTAAGATGGTCTCTCTCATGGTAAAGTTATTATTTCCTTTCAAGTAATAAATAATTGTTCCTCAACCTTTTTGAGACAAATCCTCCTAAAGCTCTGTTCTTGGGGCCCTAACTACCCCAAGCCTACACCACAGGTCAGTACCCACTCTGGACCTGGCATTACCTAAGTGTGCCCATACGGTCTCCAGAAGCTAGATGCTGTCCATTGGGGCTAATACACACAGAGCGAATGCCCACACGGGGATCCATCAGGGACCCATCAGCTTTGTCTCCTCCAGGCATCTCAGTGTCCAGCAGGGCCTGAGTGTTCCCATCCACATAGATTATCTTAATGAGATCCTAATAGAACAGGTTAGAAGATGTGGATAAGGCAAACTTGATAGTATAGCTGAGAAAAGAAAGGAATGCTGGGCAATATAAACCTTGATTCATATAGCCCAACTAAACAAGAGCTGGAAAATCAAGGTCTGAGGGCTCAGTTGTTGAGAATGATGTGTGAAGGCTGTAGGTATGGGAGAACTAAGTATGGAGTGGGGGCCCTGGGGTCTCAGGCTCACATTACTGAGAATGTTTCTGTGCAGGGTGGAGCCATGTACTCCTGAGCTCTCTGTGTTCCACAGGCGGATGGTGTTGTCTGAGGAACAGGTAATAAAGGAACTGGGGGGCAGGCAGGCCTGGTTACTGTCCTTCACCTCAGGATACACCTAGAGGGACAAAGGGAAGAGAGACAAAGGGAAAGGGTCCATTCTCTGCCCAAGGAAATGAAAGGGAATGAAATTAAAAACAGAATGCTGGCTATGACTTAGCTGGGTACTCCACATATAGTATGTAAAGCCATAACATATACTCTATATATTTTTTTAAAATATTTTTTTAGTTATAGAGGAAAACAATACCTTTATTTATTTGTTTATTTTTATATGGTGCTGAAGATCAAACCCAGTGCCTCACATGTGCCAGGCCAGCACTCTACCACTGAGCCACAACCCCAGCCCCATACTTTATATAATGACTAAGGGAAAACTCATTAACCAAGTACTAACTACACACCACTCCCCTATGTCTCCCACTTATATCTTTTCCTTTTATTCTTACAACATTAGATGATTCAGGAATATCATTCTATAGCTGAGGAAACTGAGGCTTGGTCAAGTTTAATAACTTGTTCAAAATCACTGATCCCAGGATGAGGCAAAACCAAGGACAGATGGGGCAAATTGGAAGAAGCCTAGGATGCATAGCAGTAAAATTCAAGCTCAATCCCAGGATCCACAACAGGGACATCACTGGAGAAATAGGGAGGCAGCAGGAACTTATGGTTATACTTAGGGTTCCCCACTTTCTGTCCTCAAAATGGCATCCCAGCAAACCAGGTCAACCCACATACCTCCACACTCCAGACGCAGGAGGAATGATACAGAGCCGAGTACACCTTGCCCACTTTCTTAGGGTCCCTCACATCCCAAACATAGATGCTGTGGTCATTGTATACACAAGACAGCCACTGATTAGTTGGATCGAAGGTCAAGGCAATGGTGTCTGGATACCTAGCATTTGCCCCTCCAGAAAAGAGGCGACTGTTGGGGAGAGGACAAAATAAACTGGTGAGACCAAAGGGAATGAAGAGAAGCTGACTCACAAGAAAGGGCAGGGCATGGGCATCCCCTATAGACATGTAAGTTTAGAGGTAGTTGCTTGAGAACAAAGAAGCAGCCTCTTATACCCATCAGCTGAGAGTTGACCAGTACTAGCTACTGGGCCACAATGCTCTCCTGATGAACAGAATTAAGTTCACAGAATATCAAAGCCAGACAAGGTGATTCTGTAGCCATAATAGGGCAAAACAAAATGAAACTATTCTGCAATCATTTCTGCACACAGAGGAAAACAAGATCATCATCCAAGCCTCAAAAATGACCAAACATCACCTTTTCCTGTCTAACACAATTGATGGCCACTTCTTTACCATATAACAGCTTAACCCCATACTCTTCCTTCTAGTTCTTAGATAAAAAGCATCAAGAGGACCAGTTGTGAAATTTCCCCTAGGAATTGTTCCCTAATAGCATCCAACCAGAAAAAAACTTCAATCCCTTAAACTATTCCTAAAATAATCTAATGCAACCCCAAATCCTATAATAAGCTACTCTAAACACCCACCTACTGAGATACTCCCTGGTCCTCCATAGTGCAAGGTCTCTTTGGTTCGAAAAGTATCAATAAAACCAAATGAATTTGTCTACAGAGGTGATCCTGGTAATCTCTGGGCATCAATACACTATTTATTTCTCTGAAGCACTTTTGACAAGGAAGTCTGGGTACATAGTAAGGCAATGAATGGAGGCAAGGGCCCACATAGCTCACCTGGCCTCAGTGATACTGGCAATGTCTGTCCCCAAGGCATGGGGTCTGGGCAAAGTGCTGAGGAAGTGTAGGTTAGAGGGGTTGAAAAGACGCACAGTACCATCAGCACAGCCACAGAAGATGTAGTCTTGGCTCACAGAGATGCAGTGGGCAACCGTGGTCTGTGGGCAAAGTAACTCAGGTCAGTAAGAGCCACCTGCCCATTCAGTCTTTTCTTCTCCTCCCAAACCCCTCAATAACAGTCCCCTGCTGAGAGGAGAGAAAAGTCAAGGTGGAGATGAGGGAATAGCAGCCCAGCTGCTATGTCTTGAGCCCCTCAACTATCATCCCGTGATACTCTCCCTCCAGCAACAGGTGGCCAGAGGGCCCAGGGTCCTATGCAGTTGAGGGATGGAGATCAGGGAGATCTAAGGCACCAGAAGTTTTGGCAAAGAGGATAAAGTGCCAGGTGTGGGGCCCATGCCTATAATCCCAGCAGCTTGGAAGGCTGAGGCAGTTCAAAGTTCAAAGCCAGTCTCAGCAATTTAGCAATACCCTCAGCAACTCAGTGAGACCCTATCTCAAAATAAAAAATAAAAAGGGCTGGGGCTGTAACTCAGTGGTTGAGTACCCCTGGGTTCAATCCCTAGTACCAAAAAAAAAAAAAAAAAAAAAAGATAAAGTAGGAAAAGCCTAGCAGAGAGAAACAGTCTGAGGAATAGAGGAAGTCTAGGCAGCACTTACTGTGAAGCTGTCTGTGTTCTGAGCAGAAGAGGAAAGCAAGGGAGAGAGAAAGAAAGAGAGAGAGCAAGAGGAGGCAGTTACACAGATCACCAGGAGCTGGCACTGGGCCAACTCTCGCAACCCAGGCTTCCTTCTCCTGGAATCCCCTCCTGCATGCATGAAGGCCCACAACCTAGGATCTGGAGCCCCCAACATCAGTTCTCCCAACTTGAGCCATGCCCTTCTCTGGTACAGAGGTACTTACTCTCAGCTCCACCCACTTGTCCAAAAGCCTGCGATCACTGAACTCACACAGCAGGCCTGAGGATGTGATGCAGAAAGTGCTGTCGGCTTTCTTTCCTCGGCCACAGGCCACATCAGTAAACAGGTTGTTCCGTAGCTCCCCCAGCAACCCTGAGCGGCCCAGCAGGGGTACAGTGGCATTTACCTGTAGAGACATGCCACCACTAGCCATCCATCTACCCCAGATCCTTCCCCCTAGAAAAGAGGTCCTAGGAGAGGGGAAGTGGCAAGGTCCCTTGCTTTTTGAGACTACTGTTTTAGCCCAGATAACACCTGGCTCATTCAAAATTTCTGAGTGGTGGCTGAGCAGGCAGAAGAGGCCCAAGTGGAATAGTCTTCTCCCAGGGTGGGAGACTATCTCAGCACCTCACCTTTGAAGTCTTGCTGTCATCAAGGTACCAGAATTTGATGTGTCGGTTGCCTGCAGTGACAAAGTAGCTGCAATCTTCAGAGAAGGACACAGCTGTCACCCGACTGGACACCTTATTGGAGGCCACCACAATGTTTTTCTGGTGGGAAAGTCAAAAGAAGAATCAAGGGTTTGTCTCTCTGGGCTAAGAAGAAAGAGACTCAAATAGAAGACAGTTAGAAAAAAATTCTACTTGGGGGGAAAAAATGTTTCTAAGATCTACTGGAAAAAAAGAGGGATAGGAGAGAATTCCTTTCTAGAGGAACTGAAATGATACATTTCCTTTAGAGGTCAGAAAGACATAAAGCAAGCCCTTTCTAGCAACATGGTTGAAACACAGTTGCTATTTTCTTCTTCAGATCATTTTCTAGGATGAGACTGAGATCAGCAAAGTCGATTGAAGTAGCTCAGGGCAACAGCTCAGGGTAACAGCTTCCTGACTCCCCAATTGACAATTCAACTCCCACAAAGTTTCCAGGCCATCCCACCTACCACTCACCTTCCAGGCCCAAACGTTGACAATCATATCATGCTGGTAGCCCACGGAGACAATGTACTTGGCACTAGGGGAGAAGGCCACACAAGCCACTCCATACTTATGCTCTTGCAGCTCTGCCACTTGGCTATGCTCAGCCACATCCCAAACCCGCACGGCAGGCATGTGCCCACTCTGCAGGGAGGTAAGAACTATAAGTGAGGACCATAGATAGGTACATAGCCTCCCTTAAAGGTCTTTCAGAATGGGAGCCCTCACCTCCTTACTACTGGACACCATCTCTAATGGTCCCCTGGCCAAAAGTCAAGAGCAGGGTGCTATTCAGAACAAAGATATAGAGGAGACATGATAAATATCCGATGATGTCAGTGATTATTAGAGATACAGTGGTTCCAGATTTTATTCAGTGTATCTGGGTAGAGGCCCAGACCTCCGTATTTGGCCAAAGCTCCTTGAATGATTCTGATGGACAGATAGCTTTCTATCACCACTCATGTCTGTTTCTACCCTTCCTGTAAGAGACTGAGAGGGCAGAAGTATTCTGCACGTGCCCAGCAGGGGGCCTCCAGGGATAAGGAATATTTTAGGTCAGTGGTTTTCTGTATGCTTCCCTAACCACCCACATCATTATTCTCTGGGAACTTGTTAGAAAAGTCATTTGGGGATTCCCAGACCTGTAGAATCAGACAACTCTGAGGGCAGGCCCAGCAACATGTACTTTAACAAGCCTTCTAGGTGATTCTGATGCATACCAATGCTTAGAACTACTTGTTTAAGGTATAGAAAAAATAGGATTTGGCATCAGTTCAGGAAGACAAATTGGCAGTAGCCTAACTGAACATAGGATTATGGTTTTGCTGAGGGCAGACAACACACACTCTTAATAGAATTGCTGCTTCTCTCCTTCACTCACCTCTCCAGTGACCAAGTATTTGCCATCAGGGGAGAAGGCAAGAGCAGTGATAGTTTTCCTGCAAGAGATGGGGCAGATTCAGAGGGGCAGTGGCAATCTGCCCCCCTACCCACTGCCAGGACCTCTCCCAAAGGCACACCCAGGAGACTCAGATGGCATAGCACTGCCTTATCTGGCCCTGGCCCCAACCATGTCCCAGTCAGAGTCTCGGTGTCCTCTCATGCTGCCAGGAGGAAGAAGTTTTCCCTGAAGCCAGGCCCACCTACCTGGAACTGTTGAGGATGTGATGCTGTTTGTGTTTCCGGGGATTGAAAAGCACAACCACACACCTGAGGAGATGAGTGAGACATGAGACTCAGCACCAAATCATAGCTTCCCCAGAAGCTCGAAGGCCATCTAAGACTTCTAGTTACCCAGCAGAGGAAACATTCAAGCTCAGAAAGGTTCCAATGCTTTCTCCTGGAAACCTGTTCTTGCTTCCTTTCTCCATCCAAGAGAGACTGTCTCTGTAGCCCCGCAGGATAAAAAGGCTCCCTGGACATCTATACCCACCAAGTTCCCAAGTACCAACCCACAATCTCTGGCCATAGCTACAAAGAGCAGCAGGAACACAGGCCTTCCCAAAGCCCTTGCAAATACCTGAGGAAGGAGTAAAGGAGGGAAGACTCAATGTGATTTAGGTAAAGCAGGCCTCAGGTGTACAGCCTGTTCTCAGGCTTAGAGCCTGACACAGCCATTTGTGTGTCAATCATTTGTGCCCAAAGGAGAAGTAAGGCCTCTTGTGTGTGGACGTGTGTACACCTGGCAGGAACTGGCCTTCAAAACTTCTACATATTGGATAAGGAAGAGCATGGGAGGCCTCAAAGGGGATCAAAACTACAGGGAGGCCTGGTAAGACAGGAATGAGAGACAGAGATAGCTTGAAGAAAACCTTACAGAGCCACAGAGCTCCCAAGCCCATCTCAAATAATCTCTAAATAGGGCCTCCTGACTGCTACAAAAGGATAAGAAGGGACTTTGCCTGCCTTGCACAGAAGGTTCAGAAAATATCATTTGGCCACTAAAAATTGCTGGGCTGAATTCATGATGATGACAGACCTGGGGTGTATTTTTTTCATACACTGAAAAAAAAGTCTTGGGTTGGGGATATGGCTCAAGCGGTAGCGCGCTCGCTTGGCATGCGGGCGGCCCAGGTTCGATCCTCAGCACCACATACAAACAAAGATGTTGTGTCTGCCGAGAACTAAAATAAATAAATAAATATTAAAAAAGAAAAAAAGTCTTAAAATCTGAATATCTAAATCAACTATAACTGCTATATTTTTTTCATACACCTATTCAGGAATGATTGAGCACTCCAGCCAGGTAATAAGACTGCTGAACAGGATCAGGTCCAGATTGCCCAGAGGCAGCTCCAGGGAGGGAAGCTGGGTAGCAGGCATCAAAAGGAAGAAGCCAGAAGCCAGTAGCCAGGCAATGTTCTTGTTAGGCTCCTTGGCTCTGAGCAGGCTCTGGCCTGTTCCCCACCTTCCTCACCTGTTCATTAGCAGTGGAACTTCTGACCAGAGCAAGCTACACCAGGGAAGAGGAGGAGAAGAATGAGCAAATAGCTACTTCCCCAAGTCCTAAACTTTTGTTAGAGGGAAGCCCACTGCAATCCCCATATCTAATCCCCATTGCTTCTGAAAACTAGAAGTGGAAGAGATACAAGTTGCTAGTGAATGCTTAGCTGACCAATAGCTTTGGAATTCCTGAGCCCATAATCTCCTCTAACTCAATCTACCCGTTCCTTCCTCACCATTTTTCCCCCTCCTCTCCCCATCTACTCTTTCCTGTTCCCTTTATGCCTTTTCTCCTTAGGAGAGCTTTACAAAATGACAAAAACAGGATCAGGTCCAGATTGGAAACAGTGCTCAATCACTCCTGAATAAGTGTATGAAAAAAAATATATAGCAGTTATAGTTGAAAGTCTACAGATTTAGATATTCAGATTTTAAGGCTTTTTTCCAGTGTATGAAAAAAAAATACACCCCAGGTCTGCCGTCATCATGAATTCAGCCCAGCAATTTTAGTGGCCAAATGATATTTTCTGAACCTTCTTAAAATCCGTGCTGACTGGTTAAGGAGGCCCTGTATAGGTTCATCTCTTTAGCAAAGGCATCCATAGTCTGATTGGTTTATGAATTACCTAGTAACCTGGGAATTGAACTCCGGGCCTCACATGTGTTAGGTAAGCACTTTACCACTGAGCTACATCCCAAGCCCAGTTACCTAGCTTTCTGATTAGTTACAGATCAACCATAGCAGAGGGCTTCTACTCAAGAGTTGATATACTTGAATTGACTTGATATACAATCCAACCAACCACATACCACATCCAGAAAAAGTTAAGTGTTGAGGGCTCTACAATAAGCCTGTGAGTTTTCCCTTAAGCCCACTGTCCCAAAGCAGCATTACAGCTTTTAAAGGGCAGTGCATCAGACTGCTTAAAACACTTTCCAGGTCATTGCTCCAAACTTTTCCAGGTCATTGTTCTGAAACTTCTTGGGACAAAACATCCTGTTTCCTCCTTCTCCTAAGTTTGACTCCATGGTGGGAGGAAGAGAAAAAGCAGCAGTGTGTGTGTGTGTGTGTGTGTGTGTGTGTGTGTGTGTGTGTCTAGAGGCAGATGAACAAACTCTCCCTTCTCTAATATTCACACGCTCCACTAGTTAGCCTGGGAAATTCTCAGGTATGGCATGGAAGAGTTAAGAAAGGGAGAGACACACAGAGGGAGGCTCTTAATCTCAACTTTTTTACTCCTAGTTATTCAGATTTGAAAAACATTCAACACAGGGAAAAAGGAAGAGACCAACCCATGGAAACAGCTCCACTGTGGAGACAATAATGTAGATGCGAACTGCTCCCTATGTGCCTAACTGTTTGAGCTCCCAAGAAAACAGGAGGTCCTGTTCAGGAAGGAGCCTCCTTGTTCTTCTTGGTGAACTTTCAGCAAGCTCCTCAGTCAGCTAGGAAAAGCAGGGGGAAGTACAATTGTCATCAGTCTTTGGCCCTCTATTTCCACATCCTTGCCCGGCAGCATGAGCCTTGCAGCAGTTCTAACTGAAATCCTCAACATGACAAGGACAGGGCTGGCTGGGCTGGCTGGGCTGGCCCAACAGTCTAACTCCTGTAACTCAGAACCTGAGGGTGCAGAGAGATTGCCTGATCTCACAGGAAGAGGGTAAGGCCTCAGTTCCTCTGGGCTTCAGCTCCTGGGAGTCATGTGTGGAATACTAGTGCCAGGAAGGGCCAACCCCTCAAGATTACCCAATTCCCTGTACAGGTCCAGGCCTGCTTCCATCAAGAAGAACCCAGCATATTCAATAGGATCCACCTTCTACTATTCTCCAACTTCCAGAAGGCAGCGCTAAACGAACCCTGAAATGAGTTATGACTGAAGCAGCACATGCAGGGAGCAGGCACAGAAGGTTCAATCAGAGATTCTGTGCCTTCAAATTTCTTCTTTCAGATCAGATAAAATCAAGAGTGACTCAACGAGGTATACCAAAGGTCCTTCAAGCCTGGCTCAAATGTCATCCTCTACCCCTAATTATGACTAAAAACCTACTCTCCACATTCTCTATTGCTCTTTAACATCACTGCTTATACTTTTTTCCAAGTGTACATTTACTTGTAATATTCTACATAATTTAACTTCACACACTAGATTGCCAGCTAGTGAAGAGGACATTTTTTTTTTTTTTGTCTTTTTTATTTACTGGTAAGTCCTTAGGGCCTAGAAGATAGGCACTCAGTAAGTATTTATGGATGAGTGAATACAACTTTAAGTTACTAGCTGCAAGATCTCAAAACTCTTGACTGCTGAGAAATCTCCTGGGTAGTAGACCTGTGAACCAGGACAGGTCCTAGCACAGGTCTATGGTTCTCCCACATGGTAGGCATTTTGGATGACCCACTGATGCCCAAGGGCAATATGGCAGAAGAAAGAGCAAGAACACCTCTCTGCTAACGTATTCTATGATCTTGGACATCTACCTTCACTTCTCTGCTGACCCCCTGGATAGCCCTTTCCTTGTATTAGGGGACCCTTCAAGAGCACCATGTTGGTTATTTTGGATACTATCTTCAATTCTCACAACAATTCTATGAGGTAGATATTACTTCTGTTTTATAGATGAGAAAATTGAGGTTAAGATAAGTGAACCAGGTTATGAGGTCTACTGGCATCTCTGGTTTCTGGAACACTGTTTCTTGAGCCCCCTCCTCCAAGACATGGGAAAAGACTGGATGTTATATTACCCTGTGAATTATGTGCCCAATGATTTAGGGCTATCAGCATGCTTTTCTTTGCCCAGAGGACTCTAAACATAATCCTTTCCTTGACAAAAAGTGAATTGCAAGACTTAGAAGCCAGGTCAAAAAGGAAGCATTCACGCACCTTTCTTCTCATTAATTCAAGTGAATTGAGTCCTCCTTCCTTCACCATCTTTGACATTTCCTTCATCTGAAACTTTTTGGAGTCAAATCATACATGTTGCTGCCTCCTTATTATTTAGGTACTATTTCAAATGATTGATCCCTGACCACCCAATCTTAAAGTAGCCCTTCCCTGCTCCCAGTTTTTCACTTAATCTCTTTCCTCCCCTTATTTTGTTTTCCCCTTATTTTAACTATTGTCTGACACTACCTTGTTCACTTACTTGCTTAAATGCTTATTGTCTGCTCACCCTTCTTGAAGCTAAACCCCATAGAAGCAGTGACCCTGTCTGTCTTACTTACTGCTACATCCCCAGTATCTGGCCCAGAGCAGGTTCTCAACAAATACCTGCTAAACAAATGAATGCATCAATCAATAAACTGTTGTGGGAAGAACTAAGGGGTACTGGTTTCCAGTGTAAGATATATAGGGAAGTTGAAAGGAAAGGTACCAAGCTCCCCCTGCTCCGCCCCTTCTTGTATGTACCCCTGCATATGATTTCATCAGGACACCAAGTCCAAGTATCCTCCTCTCAGGCCCACCTGGTCTCTCCATTGTCCCACACACTTCCTGGCAAACACCCACACAAGGCTTGCCTCAGAGAGTAAGAAGGGAGCTCTTTGTTTCTTCAGCTCAGATGTTACTAGAATACAGCATAAGAGGAGTTTCTGTCCTTCCTTGTACCTTGTCCAATGCTTTGAAGCGGGGATCCCAAAATAAATTCCAACATGGGCTGAGTAGACTGAAGGGCCTTCTCAGGTGAAGTCAGTTTCCCTCTTTCCCCCACCTCCCAACCTAAAGCAGTCATGAACCCTCTTAGCTGCTGGATGAGCCTAGTCACCTTGCTAGGACACTTTTTACTCCAGTGGTCAAGGAGCAGCTCTTCCCAGAGCACTTACCCAGGTTACTCAGGCAATGAGGCCAAGAGAAACCCATACTCAGAACTAACTTGCTCCCAAGTGACAACAGGGGCTGTGAAGTGAAGTAGAAAAAAAGGGTGTTCAACTAAATTAAGTCCCTCAAAGAAGCTATATGGGGATTAAGCTGGCATCCTAGGGTAGGAGGGCTTAAAGCATGACAGATGAGGGTGGGCAGTAGAGAAAATGACAGCAAAGGGAGAGCTTTGGAGAAGAGAAGCAGGAGCCACTATAACTGAGGGGTCTCTAACAAAGACTCCACACTCAGCTTGGAGTTCCAAACCATACTGCTGTCTGATATATGCTGTCCACCCTTCTTTCCTTGCGCTGTTTCATTTCCTGTCAGAAAACTTTGTTTTGGTTTGATATTTGCCTCTAGGCCTCTGGGAGAATTTTCTAAGTTTTGTTTCTCCTCTAGTTTCTAGGATACCTGAGAGGGCTTCTGGAGCAACAAGCACAGCAGGAGCAAGAGTGGGGGTTGGGAGTGGTGTTAGGATTACCACATTGCAAGAGAAGGAAGACAGGGGAAAGAAAGAACCAGTTTGGGCTCACACAAATTATAGTGGTCCCTGGAGATCCCAGAAGCACATTAGGGAGTTCAGCAAAGAGTAGAATTAAAACCCCCAGAAAGAGGACATTTTCAAAGAGAAAAATCAAAGTTTCTTTGAACTGACAAAAATTCAAAGGTCAGAAGACAAACCGATCAGGGGCAGAGCCCAACACAGGCCCAAGTGAAGCACAGTTGGAAGACCTACTAGAGGTTGCAGTGTCAGGGAAGCCTGCACACACTACCTGTAAAGATAATGACTCCCAGCCACAAGTGCTAGTCTGGGACTTGCCCATAAACAGAAGCACATAACCTTAAAGGGGCCAGGCCTAGGGTCTCTTAGGGAAGAGGGAGGGCACAGGGTTCCACACTCCCCAATTCAGCAAACACCAGAGCAACACCCTAGGCCTTTCCTGCCCATTCTTCATCTAGATCCAGCCCCACACCCAACAAGAAGGAGCCTGGCTTTCCCAGGCAAAGGCAGGAATGAGTGGAATTCCCCTGAGGCAGGCTGTACAGGGTTATCCAGCAACAGAGGTCCTTCATCAACTTGCCTCTGGAGGGGGAGAAGACCAACCCTACCTCTGCCAGGTAGAGCCAGTGCAGCTCCCATAATCTCCCCACTACAGACACCAAACACCAGAGGGCCCCTCAGGAGAGACACTGACCTCAGAACCTAGGGGTAAAAGACTCTGGCACAGAATGAGCTGCCCATAAATTAGGCTCTTTTCATTCAAATGACAGACAGCTTAGAGGAAAAGCAGCTTTGAAAAATAATCTGCAAGTCTGGTCTTCCCAATCCTATGCCATTTTAAGAGTTAGAGCTCTGAGATCAGACTTCTTGGATTGTAACCCCAATTCAGACATTAATTATGTAACCTTGAGCAAATTGATTTACTTCATTGAATATGTTTCATCCTCTAAAATATGGAGGTGACTAGGCTGGGCATGGTGGCACATGCCTGTAATCCCAGTGACTCTGGAGGCCGAGACAGGAGGATCACAAGTTCAAAGCCAGCCTTAGCAATGGCGAGGTACTAAGCAACTCAATGGGACCCTGTCTCTAAATAAAATACAAAATAGGGCTGGGGATGTAGCTCAGTGGTCGAATGCCCTTAAGTTCAATCCCTGGTACAAAAAAAAAAAAAAAAAATTATAAATGAGAGAGAGAGAGAGAGAGAGAGAGAGAGAGAGAGATATGAAGACAGATGGGATGGAGTAGCACATGCCTGCTATCCCAGCAACCCAGAAGGTTAAGGCAGGAGAATCACAACCTTAGAAGGATCCCAGCCTCAGCAATTTAGTGAAATCCTTAGGCCCTGTTTCAAGATAAAAAAAATTTTGAAAAATAAAAGGACAGGGAATGTAGCTCAAGGTAAGGAGCATCTGGGTTCAATCCCCAGCACTGCCCCCGACCAATAAATAAATAATTGGGGTAATAGTAACAACCCCACAGGACTGCTCTGAGTATTAAACAGTATAAAGTGCTTAAAGAGTACCTGGACCATAATAAGTATTTTATAAAGATAGCTTTTTTGATGAGATTATGAAACTAAGTAAATCATGTATCCGGTATAAAAACTATATAAGTTGCTAGGGAAATTATATTGGGGAACTAGGCATTCCAAAGTTGAGGGTGGGGTAAGAAAAGTAAAACAGTGGCCTTTCTTATTTTCATGTTCCTGAGCCCATCAGCAAGGGACAGAAAGGATTAGAAGAAGGTGGGACCCCCCCAGAAAAAACACTTCTATAAAAGTCTAAGAAACTATGATTCAGGTTTCTCATTTGGAGGAGATTTGTAGGAGCAGAAGATTAAAACAACAGCAATAACATTATCCCCAGGCCCCTACTTCTCTTTCATGGCACGAACACTACTTAAAGCAGATAAACAGTAATATCAGGATTATTTCTAATAAGTGGAAATGAGTCAAATATCCATCAACCAAAGAACAGTTAAAATGTGATATAGCAATATGATGGAACATTATTCAGCCACAAAAAGGAATGGAGTACTGATACATGTGACATGAACGAATCTTTAAAATATTAGGCTAAGTGAAAGAAGATAGTCACAAAAAGCCAAATATATGATTCCATTTATATGAAATGTCCCAAATAAGCAAATCTGTGGAGACAAAAAAGTAGACTAGCACTTGCCTAGGGCTGAGGATTTGGGGAGGGGGATTGGAGAGTGACTGGAAATGGCTATGGAGTTTCTTTCTTTTTTTTCCTTATAAATTTGTTTTTGAGACAGTCTCACTATGTTGTCCAAGCTGGTCTTGACCTCCTGGTCTCAAATGATCTTGCTTTAGCCACCCCAATGGCTGGGACTATAAGCATATGCCATCATACCCACCTATATGGAGGGGTTTTTTGGTTTGTTTTTTGATTCCAGTGCTGGGGATTGAAGCCAGAGGTCCTCTACCACTGTTACACCCCCAGCCCTTTTTTATTTTGACACAGGATCTTATTACGTTGCTGAGGCTGACCTCAAACTTGTTATCTTCTCACCTCACTCTCCTCAGTTGCTGGGAATGCAGGCATATACCACTGTAACCAGCTGGAGTTTCTTTTTAGGGCAATAAAATTTTTTCTTAAATCAACTATGGTGATGGCTGCACAACTTTGTGAAAATACTAAATACTATGATAGTAGATATTTGTTTATTTATTGCAGTGCTGGGGGATCAAAACCAGGGCCTTGCACAAGCTAGGCAAGTACTCTCTTGAGCTATATCCAGTTCTCAATTGGACATTTTAAATGTATGGTATTAAACCTCAATAAAGGTGTTTTGTTTTGTTTGAGTTTATTTTTGGTGGTGCTAGGGATTGAACTCAGGACCTTCAGGACCTTGTGCGTGGGAGGCAGGCATTCTACCAACTGAGCTATAGCCCCAGCCCTCAATAAAGGTGTTTTTAACAATGGCTAGAAGGTAGTTATTGAAGATGGTGCTGGGAACCATGTGTAATATAAAGTATAAATTTGTATGTGTAGGTGGGTAGGTGGGGACAGATGGTCAAAAAGCAGGATAGGATAGCAATAAGGACAATACCCAACAAAGACCTTTACCTAGTTACAGAAATGGCACAAAAACATTAACCTGGATATATCTCCCAGAAGATACCAGAAAACGCCAGCCCACCCCACCTGGTCTAGCATTTCTATAAACTCACATGCAACAACAAGATCCCTTCTTCCAAGGCACTTACCCAGCTGGGTAGGCAACTAAGCCTGATCGGGGATCACAGGCAAGTCCTCTGCCTCCAGACACTGTTATTCCCAACACCTTCTCCAAGGTTACCTGTTAGAACAAGACAGAAAGTGACATGTTATAGACAGAATAGGTTCAGGACAGAGGTGATGAAGTGCTTTCCTGACGCCCTTATCTTCAAGAAAATGGAGCTATGATTTCTCCAAGCTCTGTTTAAGTCAAAGGACTTTTGATCATATTGGAAAATTTCAGTGTGAATCCCCTGTGTTTAACCAGATTCAATGTACAGGTACTGTGGGAAAGAAAATCAACAGGTTAAAGCACAATCCATGGCTAAAGAACAATAAGCAATTCAGGAAGGCACTATTTACAAGTTAGGGCCTTGGGTCCCTAGATTGGGCTTTTGGGTCTATGAGACTCAGGGAACCATGTGTAATATAAAGTTCAGGGAATGTACTGATCTTCATGCCTTGTCAGGCATGAAGGATAGGCCACTGTGATCTACCAAGAACCAAAAGGATATTAGGTATTGATTAGGTGACTCATAATATCTCTTAACTTTTTTTTGGCGGGGGGGGGGGTACTAAGGAGTGAACCCAATGATACTTCATCACTGAGCTACATCCCCAGGTTTTTTTTGTTTTTGTTTTTGTTTTTTAGACAGGGTCTCACTAAATTGCTGAGGCTGGCCTCAAATTTGCAATCATCCTGCCTAAGCCTCCCAAGTTGCTGGGGTTACAGGTATGCACCATCAGGTCCATCAACTATCCTTGACCTCTGCATTCTATCATGTTCTTCCCCTCCCCATCAGAGGTCTCTACCTCCCAAATGTCTACCAGTTCATATAGACTTTGAGCCTAGGAAGCAGAAACATGGCTTAATGTTGTGTTTTGCAAAGTATAGAGGATACTCTATTATTATTTAAGCCACATCTCCCACAGAGAAGATAGGGAAACATGCAAAGTGCTCAGAGATTCTAAAAGGACATGGTCACACATGTCATTCATCACTCTCATTATAAGTATTATCACCTCACACTGTCTGCAGCCCCTAAAACCCATATGGACTAAACTTAAATTAACCCATCACTGGTCTCTCTGCCAGATGATGCCATATGAGGTTCAGACTACCCTGTAAGCTTTTGCTTACTGCTCCACCTCACACTCTGTTACAGGATAGTTTGCTGGTTACTCCAGGTCCAGTCTCCTCCAGTACTGTCAGAAGGCACTTCTTGCACCAGTCCTCTTTAGGGATGTCCTTGCTCTCCCTTCATTCAGAAAGCTTCTGAGCTTCTGAATGCAGAATAGCCATGTAAACAGGCTACACTATAGTCTGATATGAAAACTCTGAACCTGAGGAGTCTTGGAAATCCCAGGAGAGCAATTGAACCAGAAACACCTAAAAGGGTATTCATACTTGTGACATGGTAGAGACACCCAGTCCAGGCCAGTTTCTAGAGAGGGTAATCCCAGAATCAACCAGGATAGTTTCCTCTTACTATTCCAATAGTAGAACTGAAAGTACTCTTTGTTATCTCCAAGGATCATTTTGGTTTGAATTAGGCTGGAAAAAAATGCCCTGTGTTGGTCAAAGACCAAACATAAACTTCCCAGGATGATATAGCTGAAACCTTTTCCTCAGAAAGGTTCCCAAGAGTCTTCTGTACTTCAGGGGGATATGGATCAAGAACTCCAACTTGTATCTATATAGTGATAGAAGTGGTTTAGTTATAAGGCACCAAACCACAGCCATCTGGCCAGTACCAAATTTGTCAGTTACCCTTGGCCTAGTTGACTCAGTAAATCTGATGAGAGAGTGACTAACTTTACCTTATCCTAGACATTCTTAATAGTTTTCCCTTTCTTTCTTTCTTTTACTAGGGATTGACTCCAGGGGCAATCTACCACTGACCTGCATTTTCTGGCCTTTTTACTTTGTATTTTGATACATGGTCTTACTAAATTGCCCCAGCTGGCCTCAAACTTGCAGTCCTCCTGCCTCAGTTGCCCAAACAGCTGAGATTAAAGGTATGAACCACAACATTGGGCAGTTTTCCCTAATTTATGCCTCTTTCTATCGTTTTCTCAGCTTAATGATCCTCCCCCCCCTGACATCTAGTTAACTGACACTGGCTAGAGAGTACATATTCATCCTGGGGAAATCTGGAGGATACTCATCTTAGCACTACACCTTTAATTACCCCCAGAGGAAGGGGTGCTCAGGAACATTCCTGCTATAACTACTGCCTGTACAGTGGAGAGAGAGGATACTGAGGCATGACCCACATAGATGGCAGAAGTCACAAAATTAAGTGCAGTGAGCTAAAAGGCTAATAACTCCTATTCTATTCAAGCTAATCTGATTTAAGGCAAATCCTTTCGGTTCAAATTAGCATCAACTCCTTCCCTCCTTATGTTTGAATGTTGGTCCCAAAGAATCAGAACAAGTCAGGTGGCTCTCAGATGCTCTTCCCTCTGATAGGAATTTGGGTAGGTGTTTTGTGGGTAGATGATCCAGTTCCTCAGAGAATTGTGAAACTAGTTTGTACTTTTCAACAGCAATCTAAAGCAGGAGGAGATGTGGGTTACTCAGATCCTAAAAGACCAGTGATTATCAAATTTTTTGACCATGACCCATAGTAAGAAACATACTTTATATCCCAGTGTATACATATATGTATATCTGGATATACTTTTTCAGCATAAAGCTAAAAGGTTTCGCAAAATTTTTATTGCATGTGATATACTCTAGTATATTCCATTTCATTACCTGGACAGGTATGGTGGCATACACCTGTAATCCCAGTACTCAAGGGACTGAGGCAGGAAGATCACAAATTCAGGGCCAGACTCGGCAATTTAGAGAGGCCATAAGGAACTTAGTTGAGACCCAGTCTCAAAATAAAAAATAAAGGGGCTGGGGGATGTGACTCAAGCAGTAGCGCGCTTGCCTGGCATGCGTGCGGCCCGGGTTAGATCCTCAGCACCACATACAAACAAAGATGTTGTGTCCGCCGAAAACTAAAAAATAAATATTAAAAAATTCTTAAAAAAAAAAGAAAAGAACTGGGGCTTGATGTGATAGCCCATGCCTGTAAATTCTAGTGACTCAGGCGGCTGAGGCAAGAGGATCATAAGTTCAAAGTCAGCCTCAGAAACTCAGCAAGACTCTGTCTCAAAAAGTAAAAAGGGCTGGGTATGTGGCTCAGTTGTAAATTGCCCCTGGGTTCAATCCCCTTTTACAATGACAACAACAACAACTACTACTACTATTAATAATGATAATAATAATTCTAGTTATGACCTACTTTATTGATATCATGACCTACAATGGGCTGGAAGATCTAGTTTGGGAAACCTGCTACATACAGACCATTTCTCTCTGCCAGACTTGGGTCACTGACACCTTTGTGTTCTTCAGTCATTTTCCTCTAAGACTCTGCACAGTGGAACATAACTCTAGACTAGGAAAACCTCACAGGCAGGAGTTTGCCTGGGCTCAAAACTTGGCTTATTTTCAAAGGAGTTATGGTTTTTGGCTTTTTCTGGCTCTCTAAAGCAGCTATTCAAGGGGGGAAAAAGCAGTTTCCTTTGGCTCTGTAGAGAGGGAGGAGTAGGGGAAAACATTCAGGGGCATCAGCTGGTTTTTATTTTATGTTCTTAACTCAAACCAGCTTCCTGTTTGCAGGGAGGTTTGGGCTGAGCTCCACTTTCAAAGGATCTGAGAGTCCAGAGCTCCTGTGAAGCCTCCAACATCTAGGTTTATTTTGCAAGACTAACACAATGGACTTTATAAATGGACTCTCTTCCTCCTCTGATAATCTTTTCCCTCCCTCTCTTTCCCAAAATGTAGTAAAGCTTCCACCCACCCTAGAGAATGGACACCTCTTGCAAATGCCACAAGCTAAATGCATCCAAGTACCATTAGTGGTATGCAAGCATTGCCTTACACCAGCTCATATGACTGTGCACAGCTTTTCCCATATTCAGTGATAGCACACTGATAGCCTCGAAATCACCATTGTGGGAGTACTTACACAGGCTTTCCCTTCCCTTCTCAAAGAACCTGTAAACATTCACCAGTATACCACTGAGTTCCAGTCATTATCATCCCTCCCTTGGACAAAGTGTCTTCTCTCCTGCAGGCTTTGCCCCCTACAGCGTTTCTTGGACATGGCAGGTTGCAGTGATACTTTTTTTTTTAATTAATATTTTTAAACTTTAGATGGACACAATGACTTTATTTATATTTTTTATGTGGTGCTGAGGATAGAACCCAATGCCTCACACATGCTAGGCAAGTGCCTTTCCACTGAGCCACAACCCTAGCCCCTGCAGTGATACTTTTAAATTAAAAATGAAATAATTTCTTTGTTCAAAAATCCTTCAATGGCTTCCCATCTCCAGTAAGTTCAAATACTTGACCCAAATTTATAAGGCCCTAAATCACCCAGCCTCTAGCTCTCTCTCTCTCACCTCATTTCCTATATGCTTCCCCAGCACTCCACCCCAGCCATACTAGCAACTTTAAAGCACCTTAAACTGCTCTAGCCCCCAGTACTTTTCTGCTATTCACATAGCTAATTCACTCAGGTCTTTGCTCCAAGGTGTTTTTTTTTTTTTTTTTAAGAGAGAGAGAGAATTTTTTAATATTTATTTTTCAGTTTTTGGTGGACACAACATCTTTATTTTATTTTTATATGGTGCTGAGGATTGAACCCAGTGCCCCGTGCATGCCAGGTGAGGGTGCTACCGCTTGAGCCACATCCCCAGCCCCTGATCCAAGATTTTTGGGAGGGTTTTTCCAGAGTAGCTTTACTGCAATCTTTCCATATTGGACTTACCCAGCTTTTATTTTTCTTCATGGTACACAGAGGCAGGTAGTGAACCTGATTCCATCTCTGTACAAGTACTTACTGTCTGTCTTCCCCAGCAGAATGGGAGCTCCTTGAAGATAGGACCTAAGTTGCTATCCCTCACTATAGAACTCCCAAGCACTTTGATCAGTGTCTGGCACATAATGGGCACTTGAAACATATTTGATGAATAAATAAATGCCTGGCAGAGGATTCAGGAACAATGATAGATCAG